GACATTGCTATTGCAAAAAGATACCTATGTGAACTATAGCCAAGCATTGAGCTACACAAGCCAGGCACTAAGCCAGAACCTTGCTGGTCTAAGGAAAAGGAGTCCAATCCGGAAAATAAGCACCAAATTAAGCTACTATCTGGAGGACAACTGGAAGCGCCTGTGGGTACTTGCACTGTGGATTGGGATAATGGCTGGGTTGTTCATTTGGAAATTCATACAATACCGCCACCGATATGTCTTTAACGTGATGGGCTACTGTGTAACAACTGCAAAAGGGGCTGCTGAGACTCTTAAGCTGAATATGGCTATTATCCTCCTGCCAGTATGCCGCAACACCATCACTTGGTTGAGGAATACAAGGGCTGCACGGGCATTGCCGTTCGATGACAACATCAACTTCCACAAGGTTAGCGACTAGACTATCTTTGTTCCTTTGTTGTCCTTTAAAACATGGAGAAAACACAGAGTAGATTCAAGATTTATCAATTGATTTGGTTGGAAAAAAATATGACAGCACACAGCATATACTTTGGTTAAGGACATGATACCATGCATGATGCATGTTTGTACCTGTGGGGTTTATTTGTCATTTATGTCCATCACTATGAAGGGGACAATACAACTTTTATTGATAGGCTGCTCATCCATACTCTTTGCATTAATGCTCCTACCATCAGGACAAATAGTTTGGGCCATGGTCTACTGGACTCTCATTTACATCATGGTCGATGCATGTTAAAAGATGGGTTATGATTTATGAATAGCCACAAAACATGGTCAGATAAGGTGTTTCTATTTTGATATATATAATTTTACTGGCTTGGCTTATCCTAGATGAATTAAGCCTATTATAAATAGTCATTTTCATTAGTTCTCCACAGCCAGGAGCCTAAACAAGCTCGTGATTGTTCATCTTTGAAGTTTGCCATTTGCATTAGAGAGCATTATTTTCTTGATTGAATCATAGTCATGCAAGTTCATTCCTGTCAGCTAACAGCATGCCTGTATGTGATATGCTTCTGAATCACCAGTTTACATTCCAAAATATGTATATTATTGCATGGACTAACTAACTTAAAGGAGGCACAAGAGAATATAAAGTCATTTGGTTGGTATCATGCAGAGGGCACATAAGCCATGATTGGACCATATCAATCAGCAGATGGTATAGTTGATGTCACTTAAGACAGTTCATGCCAAATATCTCTTCCTATGGGATATAGCAGTCTGTGAAGTAGAAGAAGCATGAGGTTCAGTTTAGTCTTATTTTCACTAGAATGCACGAGATGCATTTAATTTTACTAAGCAAAAAAATAAACCATGATTATAATATGCTTTTTAATGGCACTGATAATGCCTTTGTGTCATCCTTAAACAAACAGACGCATTAAAATACATATGGTAGCATGGCCAATTCGGACATTTGTGTGACATGTTGACAATGACCCAGAGCAAGAATACAGCTAAGGGTGAATGTTTTGCTTCTTGTAATGGCAGACTATTGCAGCAGCAATTGTGGTTGGTGTTATCCTTCATGGAGGGCTCCATCTTGTATGTGATTTTCCACGGCTCATAGGTTCATCGGAGGAGAAGTATGCTCCACTAGGGAAGTATTTTGGTGAAACTAAGCCAACATATTTGACCCTGGTCAAAGGAGTGGAGGGCATAACTGGGGTAATCATGCTTGTGTGCATGATTATCGCTTTTACTCTTGCAACCAGGTGGTTCCGCCGTAGCCTGGTGAAGCTTCCAAAGCCATTTGACAAATTAACTGGCTTCAACGCTTTCTGGTATTCTCACCATCTATTCATCATTGTGTACATATCACTTGTAATTCATGGAGAGTGGCTATACCTTATCCGCATATGGTACAAAAGGACGGTGAGATAATTATTTTTCATTTCTCCTTTTCTCTGTACCTGTGTACCAGAACAGTTTCATAAGCTTCTAATATAATTCTTTCCTACAGACATGGATGTATCTTGCAGTGCCCGTTTGTTTGTATGTAGGGGAGAGGACACTGAGGTTCTTCAGGTCTGGCAGTTATTCTGTCCGTCTGTTGAAGGTGGCACACATGCATCACAAAATTGTATTACACTATTTACATACTGATTTTGTGTACGGTCTTCTGACACACTATTTATTTGCAGGTGGCCATCTATCCTGGTAATGTTTTAACACTGCAGATGTCTAAGCCTCCCACATTCCGTTATAAGAGTGGGCAGTATATGTTTGTTCAATGTCCAGCTGTTTCACCCTTTGAATGGTATATGCTCTTATTTCCTAATATGCTTCGCCTGGAGTTTCTATTTATAAGATTGCAAATGTCATGTTTATGAACACCTTATTTGTAGAGTAGGTAGATCAGTATAGCTGCTTAGATGTTTAATGATTCTTTCCCCTTTCAGGCATCCCTTCTCAATAACTTCGGCACCTGGGGATGACTATCTCAGCATTCATGTTCGGCAACTTGGTGACTGGACAAGAGAGCTCAAGAGGGTGTTCTCAGCGGCTTGTGAGCCACCAGTGGGTGGGAAAAGTGGTCTCCTTAGAGCAGATGAGACTACCAAGAAAGCGTACGCTTATGCTCTATGTTTAGCAATAATTATATGCTTGTGCAGTTGGGGATTTTCATGACATTGTTTTGGAATGCAGCTTACCCAAATTGTTGATTGATGGTCCATATGGCTCTCCTGCGCAAGACTACAGCAAGTATGATGTTTTACTGCTGGTTGGATTAGGAATTGGCGCAACGCCTTTTATCAGCATATTGAAAGACCTTATCAACAGCATCATCAAAATGGAGGAAGAGGAAGTAAGTGATCTTTATCGTATTTTCAGTTGCATCTTCCTGATGCCTAACTACAGTAATAGATATAATTGGTTGTAATTCTCATTTCTCTGTGATCTATGTATGCATTTATATAATATCGTCTGTGAAGACCATGAGAGACAGGACAGGACAAACTGATTAAGTTCTTCACCTTTCTTTGCAGGAAGCTTCAGGTGATCTTTACCCGCCAATCGGACGCAATAAAGCACATGTTGATCTTGACACCCTTATGAGGATTACCTCAAAACCAAAGAGGGTTTTGAAGACAACAAATGCTTATTTTTATTGGGTGACACGTGAACAAGGCTCTTTTGATTGGTTTAAAGGAGTCATGAATGAGATTGCTGAACTAGATCAAAGGGTAAGTGGGTAACTTATGTGAGCTAAGCCATATATTTTAAGTAATGTAATGTTCTATTTTGCATCTTTTTCTTACAACCTTTCTTCTTGATTTATACCAGAATATTATTGAGATGCACAACTACCTCACAAGTGTTTACGAGGAAGGGGATGCTCGGTCAGCACTCATTACTATGCTGCAAGCTCTAAACCATGCCAAGAATGGTGTTGATATAGTATCTGGAACTAAAGTAAGTCACGTCTCACCACTTGACCTCATGCTGTACTCCTATAATTTGCATCATTGTTATTTGAACTTAACTATTCTATTACTTTTTTTGCAGGTCCGTACACATTTTGCAAGGCCAAATTTTAAGAAGGTTCTTTCTAAGATAGCCTCCAAACATCCTTATGCTAAAATAGGTAAGTTATCATATTGCGATATAATTAAAGAAGCTATCCTTTTTTTAATCTATTTAGCTGTGATATACTCATCAGGATGTGAACTTTCTGGATCAACAAAACTGGGACTAGCATGTGCATATGACTGCAACATTTGTAATTCTCTTGACATGTAACAATGCATATACCAGAAAATAGGAGGGGAGGTGGTGTACGAAATTGAGTAGCCGTGATCTGTTGAAGTACTTGAAACTTAAGTCTGTCATTTTGGTATTTAAGTAATAGCAAGACGTAAAGCAAAATGAGGGGCTCTCAAGTTCAAGTACTTGTGTTCTTCTGATTAATTTTTGTATCAATTCTATCATCTTTTATCACTGTAATGAAGGTAATTGTGTTTGTTTGTGTATAGGAGTATTCTACTGTGGGGCTCCAGTTCTGGCTCAGGAATTAAGCGATCTTTGCCATGATTTTAATGGCAGATGCACGTCAAAATTTGAGTTTCACAAGGAGCATTTCTAAAATCAGGTAAATGCCAAATAGGGAAATAATAGAAGATTGTGCTACTTGTATGACACCTTTTCTTTTACACGATGCCTTGTTCACAATGGAATTAATAGCAAGGGCGAGAAGCATAGAGGTGCTATCACAACGCACCCTCCTGGCTACGGCCAGTTTGCACTGTACACTTCTTGCTTGAGATACTCAGAAGATACAATAAGAGTGCCAAGATAAGAGTTTTGGGGATCATCTGGTACAAAATATATAGGACATCAATCATGGGGAAACATAGGTTCCAACTTCCAAGTGCATCGGCGAGGTGATTGCTCGTAACATGTTGATCTCCTGGATTTGGATTTGGTTTTCGACTATAATCTGGTGTAGGACATAGAAGGCTACCATGAGCACAAGGCTAATTAATTGTATATTGCGTGCAGCTGAGTGGTCAGGCTACAAGATTTGCTCTAACTTTGTAATTATATACAGAGATGGGAAACAAACAAATATAGTGTGATTTTTGTAAGTAGTGTAGGTTGGTAGTGATTGGGTCCAGATTGGTGGCTCAGATTACATTCAAGCTTGTTTTTTTGTTGTGCCGGGAGTGTACAACGTGCATTGTTTTAGGGATGGTTTTACACACATACAGATGATGTAATCATGTAATCCTTGTAGCAAAGGCCTTGTTCTTACGTTAACCTTCTGTCTGTACATGTTTGGCTTGTGGATTGTGTATTGGAAAGAAAAGATGCAGTAAACAGTGATCTTTTGTTGTGTGATAAATTTGCAAGATGAATGCTGCCAACCTGTTGAAAGGAAGTCGAGAAGACTCGCTGACGCTGAGCAACGAGAGTTTTCAATGATAAGTTGTATATGTGTACCCAAAACATTACGCTGCATTATTTGTTCCTGCTAAATTGCAACCAATAGGCCGTATACGTGCCTCGGCCTCAGTCTTAGCTGAACTGGAGCTCTGCGTGCCGCACGAGTCACCTAACTCTAGTATAATTATCAATTTATCAGGCATACTAGCTGGCAATTAAAAAAATACTTTTTAGATTCTATAAAAAAGTATTTTTTAACCCTAAAAATCGTAGTCCAAGATTCAATGCGCTCTATACAAATATAGCCTGGCAAGTCATAAATCCCAGTAACAAGAACTTGATATGATGACAGAAACGGTGGTTGTGAACGCGGGGCTTGGCGTCGGCCATCTGGCCCCAATGGTGGAGCTTGCCAATCTCTTCCCGCGGCACGGCCTCGCCGTCACCGTCGTCCTCATTGAGCCGCCGGCAAAGCCGCCCAGCTTCGCCGCCGCGGTCTCCCGGTCCATGGCTTCCAACCCTCGCATCACCTTCCACGTGATGCCCTCGCCTTCCTGCCACAGCAACGTGCCCGAGCTCATCCGCGCCATGAATGCGCCACTGCGCGAGTACCTACGCTCGTCGGTGCCCTCTGCTCGCGCGGTCGTCTTCGACATGTTCTGCGCCTGCGCGCTCGACGTCGCCGCCGAGCTCGGGCTACCGGCCTACTTCTTCCAGTGCGGCGGCGCCAGCCACCTCGCCGTCGGCTTGCACCTCCCGCACGTGCAGGCCGAGATAAACGCCAGCTTCGGGGAGATCGGCGACGAGCCCCTCCTGTTCCCCAGCGTCCCGCCGTTCAAACCCAGTGACCTCCCCAAGGCAGCACTCGACCGCAACGACGAGATGTACAGATGGATTCTGGGCGTGTTCGAGCGGCTCCCGGAATCCCGCGGCATCCTCGTCAACACGTTCCAGTGGCTGGAGACGAAGGCGCTGCGCGCGCTCGGGGACGGCGCGTGCGTCGTCGGCCGCCCCACGCCGCCGGTGTGCTGCGTCGGGCCACTGGTCTCGCGAAGCGGGGAGGACAAGAAGCACGGGTGCCTCTCATGGCTGGACGCGCAGCCGGAGAAGAGCGTCGTGTTCCTCTGCTTCGGGAGCATGGGCTCGTTCCCCAAGGAGCAGCTCGCGGAGATCGCCATTGGGCTGGAGAGGTCCGGACAGAGGTTCCTGTGGGTGGTGCGGCGTCCGCACGCCGGCGAGGCTTCGCTCTCAGGTTTGCTCGCCGGGTGTCACGGCACGCACGGCGAGCTGGACATCGACGAGCTCATGCCGGAGGGGTTCTTGGAGAGGACCAAGGGCAGGGGGCTCGCCGCCGGGTCGTGGGCGCCGCAGGCGGACGTGCTGCGGCACAGGGCGACCGGCGCGTTCGTGACGCACTGCGGGTGGAACTCGGTGCTGGAGGGGATCGCCGCCGGCGTGCCACTGCTGTGCTGGCCGCTCTACGCGGAGCAGAGGCTGAACAAGGTGTTCATCATGGAGGAGGTCGGGGTCGGCGCTGTGATGGCGGGGTACGACGGCGAGGTGGTCAGAGCCGAGGAGGTGGAGGCGAAGGTTAGGTGGATGCTGGAGTCGAATGAAGCGTCGCCGATCCGTGAGCGAGTGGCGCTGGCGAAGGAGCGGGCCGAAGAGGCGACGAGGAAATCTGGCTCGTCGCATCAATCATTTGTCAAGTTTCTGATAGACTTTGGCGTGACCAAGTGACCGGTCATGAATCTTGTTTATTGGTGACAATGTAAAACGGGATAAGTCAATTAAGAATTATAGTTATTATAAAATTTAAAAATAAGTTTATTTGATTTTTTTAAAATTTAAATCTATATGGAAAGTATTTGAAAAAAAACATATTGTTTAGCAATTCAGAGAACGTGGTAACGGTATATGAGGGATTAGCTAAGATGATTAGGCAGTTTCGAAGGGCGTGGCTAATGCGCGCGCGCGCCAGCAACAGCCTTCCCACGCTGTTTTTTTCTCCGCTTTTCTCTCTTTTTTTGTGATTTTTTTCCTTTCCTTTTGACTTTTTTTTCTGATTTTTTAATCTTTAGCACACATGTTTTCAAAATATTTGAGTTGAATATTTTTAAATCTTGACTTTAAAGTTTTCAAATTTTAACTTAAAAGTTTTCAAATCTTAACTTAAAAATTTTCAAATCTGTACTTGAAAGTTTTCAATCTTGAGTTGAAAGTTTTTAAATCTCGAGTTGAAAGTTTTCATATTTTTTCAAATCTTAACTTAAAAATTTTTAAATCTGTACTTGAAAGTTTTTAAATCAAAGATGAAAGTTTTTAAATCTGAGTTGAAAGTTTTCAAAATTTATCTTGCACATTTAAATTTTGAGCTGAAAATTTTCAATTTTTAAAATTTGACTTCAAAAGTTTTCAAATCTAACTTGAAAGTTTTCAATCGGTTAGTAGAAAAAGTCTTTCGGAAAAAAATAATATCTTAATTACTGTCATTATCTACTAATAACTTAATTAGTTAGGCTAAACTATCCGGAAACGCAACCTTAATATATATCTTATACCACAACAAGAGCTAGTATAAAAAAGACCATGTCAAAAAAATTATACAATCAAAATTGACAAAGCCATCTTCTCTTATGCATTGTATCTGTTACAACCATAGCCACTATTTGTTCCACATTTCCGCTGATCATGTCGCTGATGGAAGAGAGGATAAATAGAGAACAAAGCAAAATCTGAAAAAAAAAAAACCAATTGCACGTTGGCTTTTGAAAATCGCAATAGTCATATGTCCCGAATAACAGATCCATATAACTGCTAAAAAAAACATCGGTGAGGCTACGCCTCGAATAAGATCTGTTCTTACACTGCCATCCATGGACACAATCACACCTCCTCACAACCGGATAGACCACCAACGAGAGAGAGAGAGGACCGTCATTCCAAAGAGCTTCATCATCAACTCCACCCAGACAACGACGCCATGGATACGAAAACATATTCAAACGTGCCTCTATGGATGAAACACCGAAGCAAGATGACCACGGAACCAAAGATTAGAAGATCCGTCATCACCATCACCATTGATGAAGATGATGAAAGATAACTAAATTTATTTGGATGAAAACCTAAACCATCACCTTTGAATTGTAGGATTTAGAAAACGTTGGAATAGGAAAAAGATAAGATATTGATAGAATGTAAGTGTAAAACAGAGTATTGCAAAACGCAGGAAAAACATAGGAATGACCATTTGAATAAACCGTAGGAAAAACACAAGAATTAGATGAGAGAGATAGACTCAAATAAAATTTACCAAGAGGTTAAATCTCTTGCTAAACTTCCTCCATAATCTCTATAGGATTGTACATTCCATAGGAAATTCAAAGGATTAGATATGATTCAATCCGTTGTTTTAAAGGGCTTCATAGGAAATTTTCCTATAGGATTGAAATCCTCTAAAATTCTTATGTTTTTCTTCCAATTCAAAAGGGCCCTGATACTCTTTTTGTTTCAAAATACGAGCGTTCGTTCTGGTGAGATTGGGTGAGAAAGCAAATCATATTCCGCGCGCACGCTTCCCAAACTATTAAACGGTGTGTTTTTTGCAAAAAAAAATTATATAGGAAAGTTGCTTTAGAAAATAAAATTAATCCATTTTTGAAATTTAAAATAGTTAATACTCAATTAATCATGCACTAATGGCTCACCTCGTTTTGCGTATCTTCCTAATCTTCTCAATCCCCTTCTCCTCAAACTCACCGACTTTATCCTAAGTCAAGCTCCTCTAAATTTGATCAAATTTTAATAAAATAATATTTTCTACAGCAAACAAATATATTATAAAAAATATTTAATAATGAATTTAATAAAATAAGATAAGCAATTGTCCCTTTTTCGCTATTAATTTGGTAAATTTTTTTAAAAAATTAACCTAGGTTAAAATCAAAACAACTCATGTTCTAAATTGGAAGAACTTGTCAGACTTAATTGGTACTCCTACAATTTTGAAGCATCTTCTGACCTAAATTTCCTAGTCAAAGATTCAATGCGCTCCAGATAAATATAGCCAAGACAATCACAGGCAATCACAGATCCATCAACAAAAACTTGATAGCATGAAAGATATGGTGGTGGTGTAGCTAGAGTCGGTCACATCTGGTCCCTACAGTGGAGCTGGCCAATCTCTTCCTGCGGCACGGCTCGCCGTCACCGTCGTCCTCATTGAGCCGCCGGCCAAGCCACAGCTTCTCCGCCACGGTACCCTGGTCCATGGCTTCCAACTCGTTCTCACGGTATCACCTTCCACGGCATGAACCCGTCCTCATTGAGCATGCAGGCCTAGTCCTCCCGCCACTACAATTTGTCTGAGCTCATCTGCGGCATGAACGCGCCGCTGCGCGAGTACCTACCTTCGCTTGTCGGTGCCCTCTGCTCGTGCGCTCGTGCTCGACATGTTCTGCGCCTGCGCCCCCAACATAATATCGTCGCTGCCGAGCTCGGAGTACGGGCCTACTTCGTCCCTCCACTCGTGTGCCGCCACCGCCAGCCACCTCGCCGTCGCCTTTTGCACCTCCCGCACATGCAGAATTGCAGACCAAGATAACACACCAGCTTCGGGGAGATCGGCCACGAGTCCCTCCGGTTCCCCTGGCGAGTCAACCGAAGCGTGGCCACTCCGTGAGCGGGTGGCGCTGGCGGTGGCCGGTGAGGAGCGGGCCGAAGTGGCAGTCAAGAATTCTGGCTCGTTGCATCAAGCTTTTGTCGAGTTTCTGTGAGGCTTTGGGGGCTTACACGAAGTCAGGTGCAGGCCTGCATGTGGGCTGTGCGGTAACCGGCTGGCGAACACAGCCTTAAGTACTGGCCGGCAATTCGATATGTTCTCTTGATGGGCTTTTAGTCTAAAGGCCTCGGACTATGGCTCAGCCGCTCAGGTGACCAACATCTGCCCTGGCACGAAAAGTGTGCAGTCGTGCAGGTTAACGAAAAGTTAGTGGTTAACTTCCGCAGCAAGAATATAGTTGGTTCTTTTTCAGGGTTAAGGTCGTGCGTGAATCGAGCCAAAATAAGACTACCGTGTGTTAGCAATATATTGTAGCATGAAGTATACGGAACCATTTGGTGTAGCTCCTTAGGGCATCTTTGGTAGGTTTTTACTGCAGTGTTCTAATTAAGCTGTGCTGTACAGCGTAATCGTTCGGCTGCACAAACACATAGCTGCGGGAAGCTACTGCTTGCTATTGGATGGCTGTGGCTACTGTAGCTACAGCTAGGCCGTCCGAACAAAGCCTTAATCGGCACAAGTTTTCTATATTATTTTTATATTTAAAAGCTCTCTTAACGTTTATACTGGTACCTTTCACATTACGATGGGTTCATATGGGGATGGACTGCACATGCCCTTAGACTTGGACAAGATCCAATGTATTATTCTCTTAACTAATCGTTTGGTTTTTCTGGTTTTCTTTTTAATAGCCAACCATTTGATTATTTTTTCCCCCGAAGATGGGGTGGTTACGCAGGCAATGTAGGGACAGGGCCGGCTCTACAATTTTGAGGGCCCTAGGACAAACTTGACAACATGATCCTTAACGCTCTCTCCCCTATAGAGAGACGTGTTATATGTATATTCACATTTTTTGGGTTGTTCAGATTAATGTCATTTTAAACCATATCAATTTTTGATAAAGTTGTTAAAGATGTGCATCCATTTAGTTTTTTTACCAAACTTTAGTAAATACATAAGAAATCCTGCTAAAACTAGGCAATATCACTAAATTGTAAAAATTTTGGTATTGCCAAAATTTGGTAAGATTTATTTTGGCTACAATATGAATGGCCCCTTCATTTTCAAAGTGTGTTTTCAAATCTAATCATAGAGAGAAATGAACATTGATAATATTTCATATATATGTTTTTAGAAATAGAAAAATATCAACACTTAAACTGATCTTGTTTATTTTTCCCATTTACTTAGCACCATAAAAATGCTTCTTGAGTAAAATTACAACTTATCAGCACCTAAAATTATAAAGGAAATATATATTATCAACAAGAATCTATCTATACATACAATTTTGATTGTTGAATATAGAATCTTTATTAATTCACTAATCAGTATTATGTAGATAATAGTAGATAACCAGGAGTGGTAGATAGTATGTAATTATTCACTAATCTTAAAATAATACTTCGGCTCATACAGTACTCATACAATTTTAGGCATGGGCCCCTAGCTAGGTCGGGCCCTAGGCCGTCGCCCTCATTGCCATGCGGCCCATGCCCCAGAGCCGGGCCTGTGTAGGGAGGATGGGAGTACGATTGCATAGAGATGACGACGTTGGCTATATACTCGGCCTTGTTGATCGGAGGGATGACCTCAGGTAGCTGTGGGAAAGCACGACCTAGATCATCAGGGGGCTTAAGATGTTTCAGTGTTTTTGAGCCTGCTCGAGAACGAAGAACACAAAAGCCGCAGATATGATCACCAGTGGGACTCATACCGAGCCCGCATGTGTAGAGTCTTTGTTTCCTCCACAGTAGGGTGAAAAAGTGGAATGCTAGGGGATGGGATACCGTCCCTCCAACGGGATAGCTCCTCTCCACACGCGATTCTTATCCATACACTCACTTGCCGCCATCACCGTCCCCCGCCGCTGCCGCGTCCGTCCCCCGTCGCCTCCTTCGCCGCCGCCGCGCCCGTCCGCCGCTGCCGCAGCGCCCGTCCCCCGCCGACGCCGTCGCTGTCCCCCGCCGCCGTGGCGGCGTCCGTACCCCGTCGACGCCGCCGTCGCCGCCGCGCCCATCCCCCACCGTCGCCGCGCCCGTCCCCCGCTACCGCCGCCGTCGCCACGCCCGTCATCTGCTGCCGCCGTCGCCGTCCTCGTCTACAAGGGACGGCTGCTGGGGCGACCGCGCGTGTCGGGGTGCTCCTCTCCCAACGGGATGCCCAACTATATCTAGTAGGAATCACCTGATACCTGATAGGTATCATCCGATACCTCGCAAGTATCACGTGATACATGGTAGAAATCGTCTGATACCTCGCGAGTATCACGTGATACGTGGTAGAAATCGTCTGATACATGACAGGTATCGCATGATACCTCGTGAGTATCACGCGATACGTGGTTGAAATCATCTGATACCTGACAGGTTTCACATGATACCTCGCGAGTATCACGTGATACGTGGTAGAAAATCGCATGATACCTGATAAGTATCACATGATATTTGCAGGTATCACCTGAAACGTGTGTAGAATCGTCTGATTTCTGATAGGTATCACACCTGATACCTATTCGGGATCATCCTGTTGTGTAGAATTGTCTGATACCTGATAGGTATCATACCTGATACCTACTCAGGATCATCCCGTTCGAAAATGGGATACCGTTATATAGCAGCCCCCGGAGAAAAATCATGACTTCTGGATAGAAGCTATCTTGCCACGATACGGTAGCACGACAACTCGAGAGAATCTATCATTAATGCGATGGACATGCTCAATAGCTGGTGCATGCACCGCATGTTCGCATCCGAAAGAAGCATGAAATCCCGTGAGACATGTCTATACCATTCTTGAGCAAGCGAAAACTCCAGGAACTTTAATTTAATTTCTCTACCTAATGTCTTATTTTAATAATTACATCTATTCTTCTTTTTTATTTTAGATTTATTCTTAATATCAGTACCCAGCTCTAAGTCCTTATATTTTAATTAAGAGTAAAGTCCTTATATTTTAAAACAGAGTGAGTATTTTAGTTCTTAATAGTGCATTTATTTGCTGTTTGTTGATATTGGTGTATTTTTCTATAAGACGATTAAAATTAGAGAATTTTGACTCTCAACAAAACTAAAATTACTTACAATATGAAATGGGAGTATATTTCATAACTTCAGAGAACCTTCACTGAAAAGAATCGATATGGCCCAAAAATGATAAGGACGGAGCCACAGACCGTTGAAGTATACTCCTTTCATTTTTTAAATAGATGATGCCGTTGACTTTTGGACACATGTTTGATCATTTGTTTTATTTAAAAATTTTGTGCAAATGTATAAGATATAAATTATGCTTAAAGTCTTTTAATAATAAAACAACTCACAATAAAATAAATTATAATTATGTAAATTTTTGAATAAGATGAATGGTCAAATGTGTGCTTAAAAATCAACGGCATCATGTATTGCAAAATAATAGAGGGAGCATTTTTTTCTTCGTGCCCCAGAATGACAAGGACTATACACGGAACCATGGACTGATGAACTACTGGTCTATTTGTACTCCCTCTTCCCTTCAGAAAGCCTCCTTTCATTTTTTAAATAGATGACGCCGTTGACTTTTGGACACATGTTTGATCATTTGTTTTATTTAAAAATTTTGTGCAAATGTATAAGATATAAATTATGCTTAAAGTCTTTTAATAATAAAACAACTCACAATAAAATAAATTATAATTATGTAAATTTTTGAATAAGATGAATGGTCAAATGTGTGTTTAAAAATCAACGGCATCATGTATTGCAAAATAATAGAGGGAGCATTTTTTTCTTCGTGCCCCAGAATGACAAGGACTATACACGGAACCATGGACTGATGAACTACTGGTCTATTTGTACTCCCTCTTCCCTTCAGAAAGCCTGTACTGTACCTTTATGAGCCGGGTCCCGCTCCTGAATCCTAACTAGAACTAGAACACATGTACTTTATACCGGCTTCTGAATAACATGTAAATCTGTAGAGTTAGTACAGTAGATACATAGCATTATAAAAACAGAGGAGGAAGTGTATTTCGGCTTGTTCTTTCCTAGCCACTCTCCTATCCGACTAGATGGATTCTAATTGTCCGAATGAACATTCGCTTGTATGTCAACAAAATGCTTTCAATATTTTTAAATGATAAGATAGATTAATATGTAATATTTCGCTCCACAAACATGTAAGTTAAAATTCAATTTTGTATAAATTGTAATAAATATAACAATTTAGACATTAACTAGCATATGTATATTCATGTTAAATTTGTTATTTTTTTACTCATAAAAATCAAATTTAAACTTATATGTTTATGGTGGGTGATATATTACATTGTTTTGTTTCTTTTCGTGCTGACTCCGTTCTGACTTCCGACCACTTCACCAAACTGGGCTAATTGACCGCTTTACTATTGAGGCATTGACCACCGTCTTTTGATCCACAAGTTTTCTTCGTCTCCCTCTAGAGAACTTTTATATTGGCAGAATATACTATCAACAAATTGTACCATAGAAGTCATCTTGTTAACGTGAAGGAAAACCGTAGTGCGATATTAAGTACGATGTGTATTGCTATCAATAGGAAGCAGCGATATATAATATTCATCAGTTTTTAGGTGAAAATCTTTGAAGTGTAAAAGTAGTATAATTGGGGTATAATTACAATGTAACTCTCGTATGTAATTGAGTAAAACATGTTGGTGCTTGACTAGCTAGGGTTGCAAGCTTGCTACTCCCACTAGCGCACAAATGTGCGAATTTTTTAATTTCCTCTCTTCACGCAAATCTCGGTACAATATTCCAACGATCAAAATTCATAAGTTTTGAGGGGAAAACATCGGCGTAATTTTTTTTAGCAATTCCGATCAATGAATCAACGCAATGCCCATCAAGCCATGAACATCGAAAATAATGAGTGAATGACAACGTTGTACCGACCGCGCCGATGTGCAATCCTGGTCCAACAATGCCCTCCGAGCCTCCCCTCAACATATTTTGCTCTACAAAAGTTCTCTACTAACTCGGAAGAGCACCACTCATCCCACATCGATCGACGCCAAACTAGCTAGCTACTAGCAAATTGAAGCCAAGATGAAGAAGACCATGGTGCTCTACCCTGGCCTCTCTGTCAGCCACTTCCTCCCGATGATGAAGCTCGCCGACGAGCTCGTGGAGCACGGATACGCCGTCACCGTCGCACTCATCGACGACCCGCTCCAAAAGCAAATCGCCTTCACGGCCACCGTCGACCGCGTCATCTCGTCCAAGCCCTCCATATGCTTCCACAGGCTACCACGCGTCGACCACCTTCCCGCCGTCACCACCAACGACGGCGAATTCTACCTCCCCGGGTATCTGGACCTCGTGAGGCGACACAACGAGCCCCTCCATGGTTTCCTCTCTTCCCATTTCCGCGGAGGCATACAGGCCCTCGTCGTGGATATGATGTCCGTCGAAGCGCTCGACATAGCTGAGAGGCTCAAGGTCCCTGGCTACCTCTTCCACCCATCGAATGCAAGCCTTTTTGCCTTCTTCCTCCAGATTCCGTCCATCTGTGCAGAGAGTAAACGGAGCTTCAGTGAGCTAGGAGACACCCCTCTCGAGATCCCTGGCCTCCCTCCCATGCCGGCCTCCCACTTCATCGACAATCGGCCCGAGGAGCCGCCTGAGAGTGAAGTGTACAAGGCCGTGATGGATTTGGTTCGCAGGTACACTAATAAATGCTCCAATGGCTTCCTCGTGAACACTGTCGACTCGCTGGAGGCACGGGTGGTGAACACGCTCAGGCACGCACGCCGTCAAGGCGGCCGGGCGTTGCCGCCGTTCTACTGCGTCGGGCCGTTGGTCAACAAGGCCGGCGAAAGGGGAGAGCGACCCGAGAGGCACGAGTGCCTCGCATGGCTCGACCGGCAACCGGACCGCACCGTCGTGTTCCTCTGCTTTGGTAGCACCGGCATTGGCAACCACTCCACGGAGCAGCTCAGGGAGATCGCCGTCGGCCTGGAGAAATCCGGCCACCGTTTCCTGTGGGTGGTGCGCGCCCCCGTCGTCAGCGACGATCCCGACAGGCCGGACCTCGACGCGCTCCTCCCGGCGGGGTTCTTGGAGCGAACCAGTGGCCAAGGCGCCGTCGTCAAGCAATGGGCGCCGCAGGTGGACGTGCTCCATCACCGGGCCACCGGCGCGTTCGTGACACACTGTGGATGGAACTCGGTGTTGGAGGGGATCACCGCGGGCGTGCCAATGCTGTGCTGGCCGCTCCACTCGGAGCAGAAGATGAACAAGGTTCTCATGGTGGAGGAGATGGGCATCGCCGTGGAGATGGTCGGGTGGCAGCAGGGCCTTGTCACGGCCGAGGAGGTGGAGGCCAAGGTGAGGCTGGTCATGGAGTCCGAGGCAGGCGTCGAGCTCAGGGCGCGCGTCACGGCGCACAAGGAAGCCGCGGCCGTGGCTTGGACCGACGTTGGCTCGTCGCGCGCTGCGTTCACAGAGTTTTTATCTAACGCAGACAGCCGACAGACATCGTGAGTTCGTGGCCGTATCGTGAACTCCGGACATGGGTGGAGGCATAAGTCTAACGGGTGACCGTTCGAGCGCAGCCCGGACACGCTAGCGCATTCGGCCCAGTCCACATGCATTAGGCCAATCATGATATGCTATTCCAAGAAAAACGTACTACCTCCGTTTTTTAATAGATGACACCGTTGACTTTTTCTCACATGTTTGACCATTTGTCTTATTTAAAAAATTTACGTAATTATAATTTATTTTGTTATGAGTTGTTTTATCACTCATAGTACTTTAAGTGTGATTTATATCTTATACATTTGCATAAAATTTTTGAATAAGACGAATGGTCAAACATGTGAGAAAAAGTCAACGGCGTCATCTATTAAAAAACGGAGGGAGTATAAATTTTGTTGTATATGTAAAATTTATATATACTTGGTACTTGCTGAATACCCATAATTTACCAAAAATAAAAATATATTATAATATTGTCTAAAAGAAATACAGATAAGATTCCTATAGGATGTGTTATAATCCTTTTGCTATAGTAAATATTCACCTTGTTTTGGTTTAATATATACTCCCTCCGTCCCAAAAAAGACAAACCCTGGTTTCCGTGCCCAACATTTGACCGTCCGTCTTATTTGAAAAAATTATGAAAAAAATTAAAAAGACAAGTCACGCATAAAATATTAATCATGTTTTATCATCTAACAACAATGAAAATACGAATTATAAAAAAATTTCATATAAGACGGACAGTCAAAGTTGGACACGCAAACCCAGGGTTTGTCTTTTTTTGGGGCGGAGGGAGTACGTGGCTATCCATTGAATTTGATTGTCTTCTAATATTAAGAAGTAGTACCCCATCACATATTATGAGATTCACCAATCACATGCGCCTTGTTGTCACGTCGTCTATCTTTGAAAAGATAATTAGTTGTAAATTGAAGCACCGTAAATGCGAAATCACCATGTGCCTCGCTGTCGACGGGTACATCATCTACCACTGAAAGAATAATTAGCCATAAATACGAGCACCGGTGCCAAATCTAGAACTTGTACCTGGATGAACACGTTCCACCACCAGAAATATAATAAATTGAGTTACACTCACGTTGTAGATTTGATAGTAAGTTCAACAATACTATCTTTGTCCCAAAATATAAGATGATGTGGCAGAGCTATAGTTTCTATGGCAAGCTAAGGTCTGGTAATGCGTTAAATGTGACATAACTAACTTGTGTCTTGGTAAGTTAGGACAACCATCCGAATAGCCCCTTATATTTCTTTTTCTTTATGTATCAGAGAGTTTCTTCTCACATCATTGAGGCGCACTGTACACCTAACAGGGAAGTGGATTTCTTTTCTGGGAGGACATCTCCTTGTTTTGTAGTGTTTGAAAAGTCATCAAAAAATTATAAAAAATGCCAACAAATAGATTTGTATATGATAATTTTTTTACAAATATACAAGTTAAAATTCGACTTATACAATTCAGAAAAAACAACAAATTTGATCACGAATTACATGTTCTATTCGTAGTAAAATTTGTTATTTTTTTTCCAATTGTACAAGTTAATTTGAACATGTATGTTTATGGAGTGGCATATCACATATTGATATATCTTAATTTTTTTAATTTTTTTAAATATTTTTTCGGGTGACATAAAAAATAAAGGACATCCCCTTAATTCATGTAGACTTTCCCACCAAAAAGAACTTAAATGGTAGGAGCTCAGGCTCAGCACCCACCCACCCCCACACTACCCATCTCATCAAACAGCGTTCCGAATCATCAATGATCGCGTTCATTCGTCGAGCTTTAACTGCCACCAAGCTTTCTTCTCCCCTCAAACGCCAGATCGTCGGGAGACCACTCAGTAATTTCCGACGTAGACTGCAAACCAGCTAGAAAATTCAGAGCCCACAATGAAGAAGACCATCGTGCTCTACCCCGGGGTCGCCGTCAGCCACTTCCTCCCCATGATGCAGCTCGCCGACGAGCTCGTCGACCACGGTTATGCCGTCGCCGTCGCGCTCATCGACCCCGCCTTCCAGCAGCACACCGCCTTCCCTGCCACCGTCGACCGCGTCGTCTCATCCAAGCCCACCGTACGCTTCCACAGGCTCCCCCGCGTCGAGCTCCCTCCCGCCACCGCCACCGACGACGGCGACTTCCTCCTCCTCGGGTACCTGGACCTCGTGAGGCGACACAACGAGTGCCTCCATGATTTCCTCTGCTCCATGCTTCCCGGAGGCGTACACGCCTTCGTCGTGGATTCTCTCTCCGTCGAAGCGCTCGACGTCGGCGAGAGGCTCAACGTCCCCGGCTTCGTCTTCCACCCGGCGAACTTGGGCGCCTTTGCCATCTTCCTCCAGCTTCCTTCGATCCGTGCAGAGGGTGAGCCGAGCTTCAGGGAGCTAGGAGACAACCCTCTCGAGCTCCCTGGCCTCCCTCCCATGCCGGCATCTCACCTCTTCTCCCAATTTCTCGAACACCCAGAGAGTCAAGTGTACAAGGCCATGATGAACGTGAGCCGCAGGATGTTACCGACTTGGAAGAGAAGCAAGATATTTTCAGAGAATCAGAGAGAATTCGGAAGAAGAGGAGAAGAAACAGAGAGAAAGACAGAGATGTAGAGAGAGAGAGAGAGAGAGATTGAGTTTGTATTGAGTTGGAAATTCTGTCTTTACATGTCATCCTCCCGATTCTCTCTCCCTCCTTTATATACAGCTAGTTAACCCAGTTTCCACCCTTATACTTCGGGTTGGGCCTAGTTACACGAACATGCCGTTGCTGGGCCGTACTCTGAACAGAGCCAGCGATCTTGGACACTTGTTCCTGTTCATCATCAGGTGTGCCGGTGCCGGATGTAACATTCCCCCTTCCTTGAAACACAGCTTGACTCCAAGCTGTGGCAGAAGGAAAGCGATGCCTTAACTCCTCCAGATCTTCCCAAGAAGTGGTGGAAGACGAAGTACCAGACCAACGAACTAAAGCTTGAACAATCATCTTATCACCACGACGACGTAGCCGCTGTTGCAGAACCTCTACTGGAGTAGCCAGATGCCCAGAATCAGGATCCAATCGTGGTAATGTTGATTGAACAACTTCAGAAGCAGCTACTGCTTTCTTCAATTGAGACACATGCACCACTGGATGAATCAAACTGGTAGCAGGTAATTGCAACTTATAGGCAACAGAACCCACACGCTGAAGGATCTGAAAGGGCCCATAGAACTTGAAAGCCAGCTTCTGATTAGCACGAGTCATGACAAATTGCTGCACATAAGGCTGAAGCTTCATAAAAACCCAATCAGCAACCGCAAACACACGATCAGTACGCTTAGAATCAGCCTGACTCTTCATTCTTTGTTGAGCTCGAACCAAATGATGATGAATCAAACTTTGCATGTTATGACGATCCTGCATCCAACTATCCAATGCACTAGGCACCCCAACCGAATCCACTGAGAGCCCAAAATGACGAGGTTTATGACCAAACATTGCTTCAAAAGGAGTCAACATCAAGGCAGAATGAAATGAAGTGTTGTACCAAAATTGAGCAAGAGATAACCACTGACTCCACCTAGATGGACAAGCATGAACAAAACAGCGCAGAAACATTTCCAAACATTGATTCACGCGCTCCGTTTGCCCATCCGTTTGTGGATGATAAGAAGAGCTCATTCGTAATTGAGTGCCAGAACGCCGAAACAATTCCTTCCAAAAAAATACTGGTGAACACTCGATCACGATCAGAAATGATGGCCAGCGGTAGTCCATGTATTGAATGAATTCTGTCCATGAATAATTGTGCCACAGACACAGCAGTGAATGGATGGGATAAAGGCAAAAAATGAGCAAACTTAGTGAACTTATCCACAATCACCAAAATGCTATTATAAGAGGCTGAACGGGGCAATCCTTCAATAAAATCCATTGATATGACTTGCCAAGCATGTTCAGGTATTTGAACTGGTTGTAGTAACCCTGGATAAGGCACATGTTCAGGTTTAGCTTGTTGACAGACTACACAACTGTGCACAAAATCCTGCACAGTTTGCCTTAAACCTGGCCAAGCAAACAGCTGCTTAACGCGCTGATAAGTTACTTGAATTCCAGAATGGCCCCCTAGAGCAGCAGTGTGCAAATTTGCTAGAACTTGCTGCTGAAACTGCCGATTATTGCCCACCCAAACACGTTTCTTGAAATAAAGAATACCATTTTGCAACTCAAAATGAGCAGAATGAGGTGTACCTTCCTTAAAAGAATGCAAAAGCTGAAGAGCTTCGGGATCAGATTTATAACCCGAAACAACATCCTGTAACCAATCCGGTAGACCAACAGATAATGCACTCAAAATTGGAAGACCATCAGAAGATCTACGAGATAAAGCATCTGCAGCTCCATTCTCTAATCCTTTCTTGTAAACAATTCGATAACGAAGACCCAACAACTTAGTCATTGCTTTATGTTGCCAAGAGGTGGTTAATCGTTGGTTATCAAGAAAGGCCAGACTGCGGTGATCAGTGCGAATTAAAAATTCCTCGTGTTGTAAATACGAGCGCCAATGATCAACAGCAAGAATAATAGCCAGACTTTCCTTCTCATAAGTGGAAAGAACTTGAGTCCGAGGTCCTAAAGCCTTACTCAAAAATGCCACCGGATGCTGATCTTGCATAAGCACAGCACCAATTCCTCGGTCAGAAGCATCAGTCTCCACCACAAACATTTTCTGGAAATCGGGCATGACCAACACCGGTGCTGATATCAGACTCTGTTTCAAAGTGTCAAAAGCTTTTTGATGGTGTTGAGTCCAGATAAAAGGCTGCCCTTTACGCAATAGCTCAGTAAATGGCTTACTAATGATGCCAAAATGTCGGACAAACTTGCGATAATACCCTGCCTAACCTAGGAAGCTGCACACATCTTTAACAGATACAGGAACTGGCCATTGCCGAACCACCTGAATCTTTTCTGGATCTGTTGAAACTCCATCAGCACTAATAATGTGCCCTAGATAAGACAGTTGAGTCTGTGCAAAAGAACATTTGGATAATTTGACTCGTAACTGATGCTTACTCAGAGTCTCAAACACCTGACGCAGATGATTCTTGTGCTCCTCCAAAGTGCGACTGTATACCAAAATGTCATCAACAAAGACCAAGACATTTTGACGCAATTGATCAGCTAAAACTGTATTCATCACCCCCTGGAAGGTAGCTGGAGCACTCGTAAGTCCGAAGGGAAGCACCTTGAATTCAAAATGACCATTGTGAGTTTTAAAAGCTGTCTTAGCCTCCTCACCAACTGCCATCCGAATTTGATGATACCCTAAACGCAAATCAAGCTTAGAAAACCAGCAAGCTCCCGCCAATTCATCCATTAACTCATCAATTATTGGAAGAGGATACTTGTTTTTGACAGTGATAGCATTAAGATGGCGATAATCCACACAAAACCTCCACGTGCCATCTTTCTTTTTGACTAACAAAACAGGAGAAGAAAAAGGACTAGCACTTGGCTGAATAATTCCTTTTTGTAACATATCCTTAACTTGTTTTTCGATCTCATCCTTTTGAGCAGGTGTATAACGGTAAGGTCTCACATTAACTGGCACAGCCCCAGGAATCAAAGGAATTGTATGGTCATAATCTCGAGCAGGAGGTAATCCACTTGGTTCCTCAAATAAATGAGAGAATTCCTGTACCAAAGACTGGACAGCATCTGGAATTGAGGATAACTGGTCTGTAGAATCACTGAGGGCAGCACATAAGTGAACCAAACCTGCCACTGAGTCGATACTGTGCAGATGCTGTAAATGCTGACTAGAAATCAAAGCACAATCAGACGTATTGGACTGCACCCCACGCAACAAAACTTCATGACCCATAACTATCAAGTGAATAGACTTAAGCTGCCAATCAATGTGCATTGGACTATACTTAGTTAACCAATCCATGCCTAATATTGCATCATAACCTCCCAAAGCCACCACTTTAAATGTGGTCAAGAACTTCTGACCACTAACAAACCATTCAGCAGAAGGCATTTCTTTCTGACAATGCAACACCTGTCCATTGGCCACCTTAACAGACAGAGGATGAGCTAAGAACTGAACTCCAGTAAGACGGTCAGCCAATTGATCACTGACAAAGCTAGCCGAACTACCAGAATCCACAAGCATCAGTATATTCAACCCCTGAATTTTGCCTTGTAACCGAATGGTAGACTGAGAATCAGTACCCTGAACAGCATGAACTGACATAGCTAACAATGAAGAATCACTATCTTCAGAAGATATGCCAGCCTGATCCTCATTTACGTTGTCAGGAAATAGTGCAAAGAGCTCCTGAACAGCGTGAAGCTGAACTGTTCCTGAACATTTATGTGTCGGCGACCACTTTTCGGCACATAAGTAACACAAACCTTGTGCACGACGAAACGATCGAAGTGCACTAACCTTGTCAGAAAGATTAGTACCCCGATTGAGCTCTCCACCCTTCTTCTCCTCAGATTTCAGAGCCTTGGTTGGTGGCAATGGTAATGGATATGCATTTTTAAACTTCTGCGATCCATCCCCAAATTTCCTTTGCTCTTGATTCCGCTCAGACAACTCCTCCTGTAATAGAGCCAAAACCAGAGCAGACTCCAAATCCTTGGGGCAATGTAACAAAACAGCTTTGCGAATGTCAAAACGCAACCCTTCTATGAACTGGTGAACCAAATTCAAAGTGTTATACATAGGATCATACGTCAACAACTGATTCATCAGATCATCAAACCATTCATAAAACTCGCTCACTGAACCGGTTTGTTTAATCTGATCAAGCTGTCGAATCAGTTGCCGATGTTGATTTCTATCGAATTTTCGGTTCACCGCTTCACAGAATCGACCCCAATCGACAAAAACTTCATGAGCACGAGATGAACGTAGCCAAGACGCTGCCCTCCCCATGAAGTAAATGGTGGCTACCCAAACCCACAAATTTGGATGAGTTCCATAAACCCCAAAATAATGCTCACAACGCAACCTCCAACCCTGTGGATCCGAGCCATCAAACTGAGGAAAATCCAACTTTGGTAGTCTATGATTGAACCCTTGCTCCCCATGCAAATCCCGATTTCCCCGACTCGAATTTGCGCCAAACTCAATCCCATGAGGAACAGAAAATTCAGTGGGAATTTGGTACGTACCCTTGACCGGAGGTGGCCCGAGAGTATGAACTACCCCCGATGCCTTCCCCCGGTGAAAATTTGCGACGCGGTGGCCATCTGGACCGAGTTCGCTCGCCGCTGTTCCGGAAAACAACGGCGGCGTGCTGGGCGTAGGAAGCAGAGGAGTTTGGTGACTCCCTTCCTCCGCCATCCTTGACGCCTGCGAGGTGTTCGACGAATTGCCGCCCTCCTCGCTCTGCTTCTCCAACTTGAGGACATGCAGCTTCAGCTCCTCCATGTCGTGCTGCAACCCTTGTATAGCAGCATCAACTTGAGGTCGCCATCCAGCCACAGATTTGTCCAGTTTGAGCAGCATCTCTTGTGTCTCTCCTTGCTTGACGACCATGGTTCCGATCGCCGCTTGAATCTCCAACAAAGTCTTCTCGAATCCCTCGTTTTGCTTCGCCATGTCGTCGACTTGGATCTGAAGATGAGTTTTGAACTGAGGTTTCTCCAGGATTGCGGCTCTGATACCAAATGTTACCGACTTGGAAGAGAAGCAAGATATTTTCAGAGAATCAGAGAGAGTTCGGAAGAAGAAGAGGAGAACAAACAGAGAGAAAGACAGAGATGTAGAGAGAGAGAGAGAGATATTGAGTTTGTATTGAGTTGGAAATTCTGTCTTTACATGTCATCCTCCCGATTCTCTCTCCCTCCTTTATATACAGCTAGTTAACCCAGTTTCCACCCTTATACTTCGGGTTGGGCCTAGTTACACGAACAGGCCGTTGCTGGGCCGTACTCTGAACAGAGCCAGCGATCTTGGACACTTGTTCCTGTTCATCATCAGGTGTCGGATGTAACACAGGAACGCGCAATGTTCCAAAGGTTTCCTGGTGAACACGTTCGAGTCGCTGGAGCCGCGGGTGGTGAACGCGCTCAGGGACTCGCGGTGTCACCACGGCGGCCCGGCATTGCCGCCGTTCTACTGCATCAGGCCGTTGGTCGAGAAGGCCGACGAGAGGAGAGATAGAGCAGAGAGGCATGAGTGCCTTGCGTGGCTTGACAGGCAACCGGAACGCAGCGTCGTGTTCCTCTGCTTTGGCAGCACAGGCGCGGGCAGCCACTCCGTGGAGCAGCTCAGGGAGATCGCCGTCGGCCTGGAGAAGTCCGGCCAAAGGTTCCTGTGGGTGGTGCGCGCGCCTCGCGTCGCCATCGACGACGACGACGACTCGTTCAATCCCCGTGCCGAGCCGGACGTCGACGCACTCCTCCCGGCGGGGTTCTTGGAGCGAACCACCGGCCGCGGCGTCGTCGTCAAGCTGTGGGCGCCACAGGTGGACGTGCTCTACCACCGGGCGACCGGCGCGTTTGTGACGCACTGTGGGTGGAACTCGGTGCTGGAGGGGATCACCGCGGGCGTGCCGATGCTGTGCTGGCCGCTGCACTCGGAGCAGAAGATGAACATGGTTCTTATGGTGGAGGAGATGGACATCGCTGTGGAGATGGCCGGGTGGAAGCAGGGCCTTGTCACGGCCGAGGAATTGGAGGCCAAGGTGAGGCTGGTGATGGAGTCCGAGGCAGGCAGCCAGCTCAGGGCGCGGGTCACGGCGCACAAGGAAGGCGCGGCCACGGCCTGGGCCGACGGCGGCTCGTCGCGCTCGGCGTTTGCCCGGTTCATGTCGGACATGGACCGTACAGCCAACATCCGCTAGGACAACGTGAATTCGTGACCATCCAAGACACAGGATATTACGCCTTTCCAGAGTATCGTGCATGACGCTCGCCCAAATCTGTCCTTTCTTTTTTTTGTTTCTGATTAAGCCTAATGACGTTTTCACTCCTTTTTTAGCACCATTTTCCCCTGAAACGTACGTGTGCGCAAGAACGGGTTTCCCCGTGCACACGGCCACGCCTACGTGTTCATTGAATATTTTCTCATTGTAAACTTTACTAAATATGTTTTAAATGTATATGTAGAAAGTTTCCTTATAATAATGGAAAATTAAAAGTGCTCGTGGGCATGTGTAACATCCCAGCTTATGACTTAATAGGATTTATAGAATACTCATATCAACAAGTTGCAACTTTTTTCCGAAAGCCGAACACCGACTAGGAAATTCTTCCCGGGTGCATACGAGTGGTTTGGGGCAATTTCGGGATGGGTGACTGACTGGAAAATTCTTTCCGGATACACACGAATGAGGGCAGTCTATGACATCTGAAAGCTGCCAGATGTAAGCGGGCCCGGCCTGGGAGAGGCAAGATGTTACAGCATGGGAAAGGGAAAAGGCTGAAACGAGAACATAATATTGATCATTTTGACTTTGATCTATCGTACTTTTGAGTTCACAATCTCACTGTAAATTTACGAAGATTTTATCCATCATATAAATGCTCATATTTTTTAAATTTTTTTTATATAAGAGTACGTCAAAATGGTTAACAGTATGGTTTTATAAAATTTTAGAATTTACGTATTAAAATTTATATAGTTTTTCTTATTTAGAACATAAATTATGTGCTACGTACTAGGAGTTTTATGATATAGTGCTATCAATCATAAAACTCAGATGATCATAAAACTCGACCAAGAGAACAGACAGAAGGAAAGAAAAGCATATGATCACACTGCTATGATATAGTGCTATCAATCATTCAAGAATGCAATAAACACAGATGAGTAAGGCCCTGTTATTTTCTTATGAAGATTATGATTTTCCCTCCATTTCCATTAGCATGCTTTTCAAACTACTGAACGGTACGTTTCGTTATGGAAGTTGCTTTAAAATATCACATATATCCATTTGTGCATCAACTTTATCTCCATCAACTTGGTCTTTATCTCGTTTTATGTGAAAAGCATTGGCCCCAACCCGCAGGCCTACATGGGCTGCAGAAAGGGCTGTCAGGGATTGCACGTTAGAGTATCTCCAACAATCTCTCTATCCCACTCTCCAAGCCAAAATTTAGCCATTATAGACAAAAAAAAACGTATTCCAGCAGAATTTCTATCCGGCTTGCCAAGCCATCCGGCTGGCTAAACTCCCCCAGTGAGTGGCCAGATTTGGCCATGCTATTTGGCTTGCTAATGGTGAGCCCCACCTTCCTTCTCTCCCCGTCTGCAGCCGCTGTAGTTAGTCCCGTCGCCGTAGCCGAGGAAAGCGGAAGTGGGAGGCGCCCCACTGCGGCGCGATAGCAAGGAGGGAGGATGGCGAGCCGGAGCCGAAGCTTTGCCGCCCCGCTGCCCCTACCCTCCCTTTCCCTGCCCTCTTGCGCCATCTCCCGTGCTCGCCTCGTTCGCCATCTGCACAACCGCCGTTGTGCCGTGGTCTGGATCGCCATCCACTCAGTTGCCTATCGTCGCTGAGGTCTGGGCCGCCATCCGCCACCACCTTCATCTTCACCACCTCCCGTGCTCACCTCTCCGCCACCATCGTCATCGGGGCCGCCATCCCCACCGCCAACTTCGCTGTCGGCGTCCACGGATATGGATCGGAGGACCTCGTTGGAGGCAGCGGGTGCACCGACCTCGAGCGCATTGGGGAATGCTATGGCGGCGTGGGCGGGGACCAGGGGTGGCAGTGTGGCGGTGGGGATGAGAGAGGCGGTGGTATGGAGAGAGAGGAGAAGAATAGGAGAGAGGGAGAGGAGGGGTTGAAAAAGGGTAGTGAGCCTAACATATGGGACTCACTATTTAGGTTGGACAGTGTAATAGAGAGTCTATTGGAGTGAAATACAAATTTGGCCATCCAAATTTTTGACAAACTGGCCAAATCAATATTTAGAGTCAAATTTGAAGAGACTGTTGGAGATGCTCATACCCACCAGCTCGATGGAGTTGTTGTGTACATATGTGTGTGAAATCGTTGTAGGAATCATTGTCTTGAGTTATATGTCGTGATGAACAATTGGCCATGGTGATGGTTAGTCCGATTGTTGAATTGTTGTGGTTGTGTTGGTGAAGGGTCGGTGTACAGGTGGTCCAACCAGAGCTTAAGTCCGATTAGACCGGATGCGCATGGGCGGCCGAACTGATGGCTGAGGTGCAATTAGACCAGAACATTCTTGATTATATTGGATTTTGAGTTATTTTTTTATGTTAATTCCGTGATGTTTATGGCTTCCAATTATTTCGTATGTGTATTGTGTTTATGCTAATGTGAGTTTAAGTTAGGAAAGTCGGATATGGTTTCTTCGTTTCCCATATATAAGTGTTGCTTAAGGCTGAGAACTGTCTATGGTGGATTGGAATTGACTTAAGTATAGTTGTCCTAACGATCAAGAAGATTATACAATATGCTAAGGCTAAAGATTGAACAATAAACTGGAGATGGAGTTTTTGTTTGGCATAAGCGAGATGTGTGTAGATAAAAGAAAAAGTCAAAGTTGAAAAGAGTACTAGCTGAAGTAGGATTTAGGGTTTGAATTTACAAAGAGATAAAATAATACATGGTTTGGGAGGCTTTTCTATATATAGAAGTAGGATTCCTAATTTAAGTAGGATTTTGGCTTTTGTGGAGTGCCTTTATGTACAAATAAATAAGGTTGAGCATCAAGAGGTAACACTTTTTTAAGGTGAAAAATTAGGGTTATCTTTAGGTCTTGACTCTCGAGTTGAGTTTGAAAGTTGAGAGAGAAGTGCTTGGAGACACTTTATAAACACATCTTGATGTAATATAAAGTTGATCAGCTTATTTTGTCGAGTTGTGTTTTTGTCTTCTACCAGTTGTCTTGCACGAGCACCAGCGGTTAGACTGGAGGAACACTGACTGTCAGATCGAGATCCCATCAACAGTCGAACCAACGATGTAAAGATGGTCAGACTAAAATTCCAACACCGGTCTACCAACTTTCTGAAGCTAGCTCAAGGAACGTATTAATGGATGAACAACCCAACCCTTAGGGTCCATTCTATATTTTAGAGCTCGGTTCTTTCAACTTAAAAAAGATTTTTTTTTATGATCTCCTTGTTCACCTTCTCTGGTAGTCTTGCTTCTTATGCTTAATCCTACAATATGAACTACATCGTGTTAAGTGATTCCATCTAAAAACAATCCACTATTTCCCTTAAATTCAGCATGTGCTCTGTGAAGAGGCCACCAACCTTGTTTCTCCACCGTTCCCATATGGTGATGAAATGCGCGATTGGAGTCTGTGTTAATATTATCTACTCGCCGCGCTCGATCTCAATCCCCTTTCAGCCGACGAGCAGGGGCAATTTGGTCTCATCAAGTAGAATTCCAACGAAAATGGAATTGAAAATGACGAAAATGGAGAAAATGGCAAAGTAGCTGTGATCTCGCGCTTTAGATTGGCATTTTAGCGAAATGCGTTTTTGGGATGGCATTTCAGCGAAACCGCTTTTTGAACGTGGCCAAATGTCCATTTTCTCCATGGGAAGGGGAGCTGGTGGTGGCAGGGGAGCGATGGGGCGAGGGGAAGGGAAGGAACCGATGGGGGCGATGTGCGGTGGTGCTGGTGGCGACAATGGACTTCAAAGGAGGAGAAATGTGACTGTGGATCTAGGTTTTTGACTGGGAGAAGAAGGGTAGAGAGAAGGGTTTTGTCCCCTTTTAGCCCGTGCAATCCATTTTTTCTAGCCTATTGTGCGCTCGACTTGGTGAGCTAATCTAAATTTCTGCCCCCGTGATGTACCCTTTGCCGACTGTTGGCGTGAAGGCAATTGTTTTGTCGACAGATAATACGTTGCCCATGAATCACCGACATTTTGTTTGTCTCAAAAGACTAGAATCGCCGACACATAATACGTTGGCAGTGCTATATACATATTTGCCTACAAATGATGTGTTCTGTGTACCGACGTTTTGCCAACAGTAGTAGTCAGTTGGTGAAGATGGGCCATCATGTAGTGATTGTCTAAAATAAATATAAATAAGTTTACCTATTTAAGTACAGTTATGGATTTCCGTATCCAACGTTTGATTGTCCGTTTTATTTAAAAAGTTTATAAAAAATTAAAAAAATAGCCATACATAAAGTACTATTTATGTTTTATCATCTAATAAAAAAAATATTAATCATCAAAATTTTAAATAAGACAGACGGTCAAATATTGAATATAATTGGATATAAACAGTTTAAAACTATACTCTTCTAGGATAGAGCCACGGAGGTAATATTAAACTTGCTCCTAGGAGAGTATAGTACCACTACCCACCTCACCAAACAGACCCCCATCATAAATGGCTGATTTAATTGGGCTGTACTCCCTCCGTCCCAAAAAAAGATAAACCCTGGTATCCGCGCCCAATGTTTGACCGTCCGTTTTATTTGAAAAAATTATAAAAAAAATAAAAAGACAAGTCATGCACAAAGTATTAATCATGTTTTATCATCTAACAACAATAAAAATACGAATTATAAAAAAATTTCATATAAGACGGATAGTTAAAGTTGGACACGCAAATCCAGAGTTTAACTTTTTTTAGGGCGGAGGGAGTATATATGGGGCAATCTAGTTCTCTTCTCCCCTCAATCAAACGAGCCAGAGGTAGGTCGGGAGACCACTCTACAGTCTACCCTCCAGTGCCTCCACAGTACAAACTAGCCAGAAAAATTCAAAGCCACCATGAAGAAGACCATGGTTCTCTACCCCGGCCTCTCCGTCAGCCACTTCCTCCCCATGATGCAGTTCGCCGACGAGCTCATCGACCGCGGCTACGCCATCACCGTCGCACTCATCGACCCCGTCTTCCAGCAGCACATCGCCTTCCCTGCCACCGTCGACCGTGCCATCTCATCCAAGCCCGCCATACGCTTCCACAGGCTCCCACGCGTCGAGCTCCCTCCGGCCATCACCACCAAAGACAACGACTTCTCCCTCCTCGGGTACTTGGACCTCGTGAGGCGACACAATGAGTGCCTCCATGACTTCCTGTGCTCCATGCCTCCCGGTGGTGCACACGCCCTCGTCGTGGACCCTCTGTCCGTAGAAGCCCTCGACGTTGCCAAGAGGCTCAACGTTCCCGGCTACGTCTTCCACCCAGGGAACGCCAGCGCCTTCGCCATCCACCTCCAGCTTCCATTGATCCGTGCAGAGGGTCAGCCAAGCTTCAGGGAGCTAGGAGACACCCCTCTCGAGCTCCCTGGCCTCCCACCCATTCCGGTTTCTTACCTCTATGAGGAACTTCTCGAGGACCCGGAGAGCGAAGTGTACAAGGCCATCGTGGATTTGTTTCACAGGGATATTCAAGACTCCAATGGCTTCCTGATGAACACGTTCGAGTCGCTCGAGGCACGGGTGGTGAACGCGCTCAGGGACGCGCGCCGTCACGGCGACCCGGCGGCGTTGCCGCCGTTCTACTGCGTCGGGCCATTGATCGAGAAGGCCGGCGAGAGGAGAGAGACAGCCGAGAGGCACGAGTGCCTCGCATGGCTCGACCGGCTGTGAAAATCAGAGGTGCAGAAGCGTTGAACCTCGTTAGTGGCCGCACCTTTGTTAATATATGGTGATAACAACCATCACCGTGGTTTTTACATCCATATAGCATGCAGTCTGTTTTGATGGATAGAAGAGGCTAACAACCTAACAAACTCTATCTTATCCAATCTAACAGATCTCACACGCATGTATACAATATAGTTTCACAGCCCCCCTCAATCACAACCTTCCCAGGTTGAGATTGTGCTTAAAGTTCTCTAACTGTCTTACAGGCAAAGCCTTGGTAAAACCATCAGCAACTTGATCTCCTGTAGGTACAAAATCAATCTCTAATAGTTTCTGAGATACTCTTTCTCGAACAAAATGATAGTCAACTTCTATATGCTTTGTTCTGGCATGAAAAACAGGATTAGAAGAAAGATACTTAGCTCCCAAATTATCACACCACAACTTGGCCATAGGCGGACTCTGCACTTGTAATTCTGTCAATAAAGTCTGTACCCACATAATTTCTGCTGTAGCATTAGCAAGAGCTTTGTATTCTGATTCAGTACTAGACCTGGAAACTGTAGCTTGTTTGCGTGCACACCAAGATACAAGATTATCTCCCAAAAAAACTGCAAAACCTCCAGTTGATCTTCTATCATCAAGAGATCCTGCCCAGTCTGCATCTGAATAAGCACTAACAAGCATAGACTTGGACTTGCATAGTTTCAACCCAAGTTTAGTACACTGTTTCAAATATCTTAAGATTCTCTTAACTGCAGCCCAATGAACAGTGGTTGGTGCATGAAGAAATTGACAGACTTTGTTAACTGGAAAGGCAATGTCTGGTCTAGTCAGGGTTAGATACTGAAGAGCACCAACTACACTTCTATAATTTGTTGCATCCAGAGGCCCTAGTAAGTCACCCTCATGAGCAGATAATTTCTCACTAGTAGACAACGGTGTACTTACTGGTTTACAATCAAACATATTTACCCTTCTCAGGAGATCACAAGCATATTTATCCTGTGTAAGAATTATTTCATCTGTTACCTTGTTTACTTCTATACCCAGGAAGTAATGAAGATCTCCCAAATCTTTCAGGGCAAACTCCTTTTTCAAATCCTGCAGAAGAGCTGACACTGCCTCCTGTCTGGAGCTAGTGACTATTATATCATCAACATAGATAAGAACAAATATGATTAGTCCTCCTTTGTTATAAAAGAATAAAGATGTATCCCCTTTTGATCCTTGAAAACCAAGATCATATAATTTCTTGCTGAGCCTGGAATACCATGCCCTTGGAGCTTGCTTTAGCCCATAAAGGGCTTTATCAAGCTTGCACACATATCCAGGAAAAGATTCATCCTCATATCCTGGTGGTTGTTTCATGTATACCTCTTCTTCAAGGAATCCATGAAGAAAGGCATTCTGTACATCTAGTTGTCTCATGCACCAACCCCTAGACACAGCAATAGACAAGACAATCCTGATAGTAGCAGCTTTGACTACTGGACTGAAAGTATCTTCATAATCTATACCGTATCTCTGTTTAAATCCCTTTGCAACTAGGCGAGCTTTATACCTGTCTAGACTTCCATCTTGTTTTCTTTTAATTTTATAGACCCACTTGCAGTCTATAACATTTCTACCTTGCTTAGGTGGAACTAGGTGCCAAGTTTTATTATTCATCAAAGCCTCATACTCTATATCCATAGCCTTTTTCCAGTTTGTATTTTGCAAAGCATCAGTTAAATTTTTTGGTTCACCAGTCACAGTAAGAAAGGTATTCTTGTATTTAACTGTGCCATCGGTATATACCTTCTCTTTTCGAATACCTCTTTGCAGACGAGTAGTTGGGCGAGACGGCGCTTGAGTCACTTCCTCCCCTGTCGCGAACGGCTCGGATGCAGAGATGTGTGATGGTGACGGGACATCATCATTGCTGGCAGGCGTCGCGGTGGCGTGACTAGGTTGGCTCGGCGAAGAGCTGTCGGCCGAGTGATGCGTCATCACGTCAGGAGAGGCAGGAAAATGTACCACGTCCAGGGATGTGGCAGCGCCGGGTTGACTGGCAGCGGTATCTGATGCAGACGGTGATGCAGCGGTATCCTGATGGATCTGTTCAGCCAGATTTTCTGTGGCACCGGAAGAATCATCTGCTTCATCATTTTCTGCAGAAACAGGCTGCACATTGCTTCCAAAAATTTGATTAGCAGGATTAACAGGAATATTAGCCATATTGTCATCTAGCTGTTGTTCCCCAGGATTTGATGTTGGATTTAGGAGATGTGAAGGAAGCAATAAAATTTCTGAACGAAGTCTAGCACCGGCGTTTGTGTGAAGTTTAGCAAAGGGAAAATTTGTTTCATCAAAGATAACATCACGGGATATATAGACACGACCTGTGGAGGGATCAAGACACTTGAACCCCTTGTGTAGTGTGCTGTACCCCAAAAAAGTGCACTGCTTTGATCTGAACTGAAGTTTGTGTGTATTATAGGGTCTCAGATGTGGCCAACAAGCACAGCCGAACACCCGGAGAGAACTATAATCTGGGGTTTGATTAAACAAGTGCTCAAGCGGTGTGAGGAACTGAAGTAGTTTTGTAGGTGTCCTATTAATAAGATACACAGCGGCTTGAAAAGCTTCATCCCAAAATTTTAGAGGCATGGAAGAATATGCAAGAAGGGTGAGACCAACTTCTACTATATGTCTATGCTTTCGTTCAGCTGAGCCATTTTGTTGATGAGTATGTGGACAAGAAACGTGATGTGTGATTCCTATCTTTGTAAAGAAGGAGTGAAGTTTTTCATATTCACCTCCCCAGTCGGATTGCATGGCTATTATCTTCCTATTAAACAAACGTTCAACAAGAGCTTGGAATTCATGAAACTTTTGGATGACTTCAGACTTATGCTTAATCAAATAAAGCCAAGTAAATTTACTATAATCACCAATAAAGCTCACATAATATTGTTTGCCCCCAACAGAAGTGAGGGCAGGACCCCAAACATCAGAATAAATAAGTTCCAAAGGATGACTCGACATACTAGAAGATCTAGAATAGGGCAATTGATGACTTTTACCCTGTTGACATGCATCACAAACCGACTGTTTATTTGACTCAGCTAAACAAGGAAGATTATTTTTGCTAATGACTTTCTCCACAATTGGAGAGGCTGGATGACCCAGGCGACTGTGCCATCGCTCAAAGGATGGCTTGATGGCTCCAAAGGCTTCTTTTAGAGGACGAGGACGTTCATGAGGTGATGAAGATGGAAGAGCGTACAGTCGCCCCCGGCATGGTCCCCTAAACAGAAGTTTCTTCGTGGCCAGATCCTTAAGATTAAAATATTTAGAGTAAAGCTCCATGTAAGCAGAATTATCAGAGACAAGTCTATTGGCAGAAACAAGATTCTTATTTGCATTGGGAACATATAGGATATTGCGAAGATGAATATCACGATTTGGGGTTCTAACAGTAGAATGACCAATATGACTAATTTCCATACCTGCACCGCTTGCGGTGTGAACTTGATCTTGCCCCTTGTAGCGATCGCGAACCGTGAGCTTGTCCAGTTCGCCAGTCACATGGTCCGTCGCACTCGTGTCGACGTACCAATTTGTATCAATCCCATAAGATGTTGCCGATCCTGCATATTTTTCATCGGGAACAAAATCTTCATCATAGCGATACCAGCAGTTGATTACCGTGTGTCCCCTCTTGTAACAGAGTTGACATTTAGGTCTGTTGTCGACGCCTCCCGGTGGTCGTGCGCCGCCATTGTTGCCGCGTCCCCTGCCGCGGTTAGCGCCATTGTTGTTGCCGCCACGGCCGCGGCCGCCGTTGCCGGTGTTGCCGCCGCGTTGTTGTCCTCCACCACCGCCACGTCCTCGGTTCGCCAAATTGACAGAAGAGTCTCCACCGTGACGAAGCGCGAGACGCTGCTCAAAGCTGAGCAGCTGAGAGTAGGCTTCTCCCAGCGTCATGGTGTCCTTGCCAACGATGGTGGAGATGACAGGTTCATACGTGTCGTCGAGGCCGGCGATGATGTAGGAGATGAGATCATCGTCATCAACGATCTTGCCGGCAGCCGTCATCTCATCAGCGAGGGCCTTCATCTTGGAGACATACTCGTTGATGGAGAGAGTGCCCTTCTTGGTGTTGGAGAGAGCGATGCGAGTGTTGATGAAGCGCGCCCTCGTGACGGAGGAGTACATCTCCTCCAGCATCTGCCATGCTGCTGCAGCCGTGCCGCAGGTGGCCACCTGTGCCAGAACGTCTCTAGCTAGGGTGGAGAGCAGGAATCCTAGAACCTGCTGATCGGTTGCAACCCAATCATCAAATTCTGGATTGCGAACAGTGACTTCTTTCTCTCCCTTGTCGCCTGCTGTCGTCGTGATCAGGGCGTTGGGAGTTTTGGTGGCACCGGTGAGATGCCCCTCAAGGCGAGCTCCTCGTACAGCCGCCATGACCTGCGCTTTCCATAGCGCATGGTTTGATTTGGAGAGTTTCTCCGAGATCGCGTTCCCGCCGAGAGGATTCCCGGCCGCCGTCTTCGACGAACTCGCCATGAGTTGGATTAGATGCGATTTTGTGGATGGATAGGCTCTGATACCATGTGAAAATCAGAGGTGCAGAAGCGTTGAACCTCGTTAGAGGCCGCACCTTTGTTAATATATGGTGATAACAACCATCACCGTGGTTTTTACATCCATATAGCATGCAGTCTGTTTTGATGGATAGAAGAGGCTAACAACCTAACAAACTCTATCTTATCCAATCTAACAGATCTCACACGCATGTATACAATATAGTTTCACACCGGCAACCGGACCGCAGCGTCGTGTTCCTCTGCTTTGGTAGCACCGGCACGGGCAACCACTCCAAAAAGCAGCTCAAGGAGATTGCCGTCGGGCTAGAGAAATCCGGCCACCGGTTTCTGTGGGTAGTGCGCGCCCCCATCGTCGTCAATAACGATCCGGAGAAACCATACGACCCTCGGGCCGATCCGGACCTCGAAGCGCTCCTCCCGGCGGGGTTCTTGGAGCGAACCAGTGGCCAGGGCGCCGTAGTCAAGCAATGGGCGCCGCAGGTGGACGTGCTCCATCACCGGGCGACTGGCGCGTTCGTGACGCACTCTGGATGGAACTCGGTGCTGGAGGGGATCACCGCGGGTGTGCCAATGCTGTGCTGGCCGCTCTACTCTGAGCAGAAGATGAACAAGGTTCTCATGGTGGAGGACATGGGCATCGCTGTGGAGATGGTCGGGTGGCAGCAGGGCCTTGTCACGGCAGAGGAGGTCGAGGCCAAGGTGAGGCTGGTCATGGAATCCGAGGCAGGCAACCAACTCAGGGCGCGGGTCACGACGCACAAGGAAGCCGCAGCCGTTGCATGGGGCGACGGCGGATCGTCGCGCGCGGCGTTTGCCGAGTTCCTGTTGGATGCAGACAGCCGACAGTCTCACTAGGGCACCTATGGATCTGGCACATCTACCTTCAATTCAAACATACTATGTATCTTTGTTATTGTTATATGAGTCCGATAAACTTTAAAATAAGTATTTTATCATTGACACGTGATGTGATAAACCATGAATTCACGTATCAACATGATAAAGGCACGGTGGCTTTTAAGTCAGAGGATCTCAATCCAACATCTATTTGTCTTTTAATTTTTTGTGTTGTCTAAAATACTATAAAAAAATTATCGTTTAATTTAATAAGTTAGATCGATATATGTGATATATCACTATACAAATAAGAAAAAATAAAATTAATTTATACAATTAAAAAACAAACAAATTTGACTCCCAATTTAACGCATAGTTCCAGTAAAAATTGTTTTTTTTCTAACGTGCAGATCCAATTTTAGCTTATAGGTTTAGACCCCGTTTAGTTCCTAAATTTTTTTCCCAAAAATATCACATCGAATCTTTGAACACATGCATGAAGCATTAAATATAGATAAATAAAAAACTAATTATATAATTAGGGGGGAAATCGTGAGACGAATCTTTTGAGCCTAATTAATCCATGATTAGCCATAAGTGCTACAGTAACGCACATACGCTAATGACGGATTAATTAGGCTCAAGAGATTCGTCTTGCGGTTTCCAGGCGTGTTATGAAATTATTTTTTTCATACGTGTCCGAAAAGCCCTTCCGACGTTCGGTCAAACATCCGATGTGACACCCAAAAATTTTTCTTTACGCGAACTATTATGCAGTGGCATATCATATATTCATCTATCTTCATACACACGATATAAACAAGAAGATATCCTCTGGTAGGTTAAAAATTCATCACTATAGTACTTTCTCAGTCCTAAAATATAGCTATTTTTAGCACAGTACCTTGTCCCAAAATGAAGCTATTTTTCCAACTACCTCCTCTCAACCAATCACAATCATTCTCCTTCACCTACTTTTTCTTTTCAACCAATTACACACCTTCTCTAATCATTCTCACATACTTTTTTAAATACCAGTACCAACCTTAAAAATACCTACATTTTAAAACGGAGGAATTATTTATCACCCTATCCATCTACATGTGCCCTCCGTCCCAGAATAACCGTTTCAGGAATTGTCACTTCAGTTCAGATTTTTTGTCCCTAACCCAGCAGGCCAGTTAGTACTCACACGTGAACGTTCCTGCTCGCTGTTCGTAATACGGTAGATGCGTTTTTTTTTTAATCTCCAGGATCAGAAATGATACCACCAGTCTCAGAAGATAGTACATGTAGATGAGTTAAATTTCCCCCCAAAAAAAGTTAAATTTGTTATTTTATATTTATTACTCATATATTAAATTTGAATTTAAATGTTTATGGAATGACATATATTATATTGATATATCATGTCAGTTTTTTAAATATATATATAATAACTATTTGAATACTACCTCTGTCTCAAAAAGTAGTTTTGCACTACTTATATACCACATTTGACCGTCCGTTTTATTTGAAAAAAATATGATTCGTATTTTTGTTGTTATTAGATAATAAAACATGCATAGTACTTTATGTGTGACTAATTTCTTTTAAATTTTTTATATTTTTTAGATAAGACGGGCGGTCAAACGTTGAACACAGAAATCCACAACTACAATTAATATGGGACGGAGGTAGTACCATATACTTCCTCCGTCCAAAAAAAATAATCTAGTATTAGTATTAGATGTGATATTTTTAAGTACAACGAATTTAGACAAAAGTCTGTCTAGATTCATTGTTGTATTAGAAAATGTCCAATCCAACTAATTTAACTTATACAAGTTGATACAAAAATAACATATTTAACTTTGTATTTAATGTGAATTTTCACATTCAAAATTATTATTTTGTTTATACACTATGAATTTAATGTGGATTTTCACATTCAAATTTATTATTTTGGTTTCTAATTGTATAGATGGAATTTGAACTTGCTCGTGTATAGTCAGTCATATATCACATATGAATCTATCTTATTAATTTTTTTAAAAAAAATAATGACTTTTTAATCGACATGCACAAAACGAGTAATGTCTCATATGAAAAAAAAATCCAGCACCATCTACACGTAACCCTCAATCCTCCCAATACAATATAACGAAGCCAATCCCAACAAGGCGACATGGGGCATGTAACGGCCGGGGCTACAAACCGTGTAAAAAATGAAGGGATTATCTTAAAAAAAACTGCTGCAAGTTAATGGCTCCGAATAGTTTTTTTTTGTCTTTTTTGTTTTCGTTGGATATACTTCCGTATCGGTTTCCAAAAATTGTCTTAATTATTCCCTCCATATTTATTTTGAGATAGAGGTTGTAGCTCGGTTCGGATCCGTTTTGTAGCAAGTTACCCGGCCGGTATTCAACTGCTCGCTGTTTGTAGTAATACGGGAAGATGTGATTTTCTTTTTAATCTCCAGGATAAAAATGATACAGCGGTCGAGCTTTGGTTGGAGGAAGGACTACAGCCTACAGGGAAAACGCCGTTTGCCTTTGTCCATTGAATGCTTTTGTTGTGGTCGGTCACCTTCGATCGGATGCATTTCTGATTCTTTCTTCTTGGAAAAGAAGGGCTAAAGATTGTCCTACGGGGCTCGGTGCTGTAGTATGGGACAAAGGCAGAGGATGTGAACCCGTATGACTTTATTTCTAACTCTGTATCACGATCACCGGACTAATTGACTTTCCCGACTAATAATAAACTCTATCACGATCTCTATCTGATTCGTCGTGTCCTTATTTTACTCCTGTAGACATCACCACTGACGGCGGTTCCTAAAAACAATCAGGCTTGTGAATCTCGAGGCCTACCGGCCAATTAATTTAATCACATCTGTTAGTTGGTGGCGGCACAGACGAACGACTAGAAGCCATCGATGTGTATCCTGCCTTGCCTGCGTGTGATGATCATACTGTGATCCCATCTTGTGCAGTACTCCATCCGTTTCACAATATAATCATTTTAGCATTTTACACTTTCATATTGATGTTAATGAATCTAGATATATATATTTATCTAGATTTATTAATGTCAATATGAATATGAAAAAGCTAGAATGACTTACATTGTGAAACGAAGGAAGTAGTATACGCCAGACGTGAGCTCTCTTCCTTCCTCGTCTACCAGTTTACTGAACTGCTGACTTTAGTGAAAGAGTAGTCCTCATAATTCCTCCAAAACTTTATAAAGCCAACGTGAAATTTGTGTTGGTTATGCAGGTCACATTGGGGCGTGTCAACGTTGCTCACCATGGCTTACCATACAACCCCTCTATATATACTTGTGGCTGTCCGATTTGAGGGCATTTGTTTCCGTCTTTTTTACATCCCGTTTGATCGGAAGTTCGGAACAGCAGCGAGCCATGACGACAAAGACCTTTGTGCTGTTCCCGTCGCTGGGCGTCGGCCACCTGAACCCCATGGTGGAGCTAGCCAAGCACCTGCGCCGCCGCGGCCTCGGCGTCATCGTCGCGGTGATCGATCCGCCCAACAACGACGCCATGTCGGCCGACGCGATGGCGCGCCTCGCCGCGGGCAACCCTTCCGTCACGTTCCGCATCCTGCCGGCGCCGGCCAGCCCGGACCCCGGCGCGCACCATGTCAAGCGCAACCTCGACACGCTCCGGCTCGCCAACCCCGTGCTCCGCGAGTTCCTCCGCTCGCTGCCCGCCGTCGACGCACTCCTGCTCGACATGTTCTGCGTCGACGCGCTCGACGTCGCGGCCGAGCTCGCCATCCCCGCCTACTTCTTCTTTCCCTCCCCGGCCAGCGTCCTCGCCGTCTTTTCCCACCTCCCGTATTACTACCGCAACGCGCCGTCGTTGAGGGAGATGGATAAGGCGGCGCTCATCCGATTTCCCGGCATTCCGCCGATCCGCAACGTCGACATGCTGGCGACGGTGAAGGACAAGGAGAGCGAGACGACCAAGATCAGGTTGTACCAGTTCAAGCGGATGATGGAAGGGAAGGGCGTGCTGGTGAACAGCTTCGACTGGCTGGAGCCCAAGGCTCTGAAAGCGCTCGCCGCCGGTGTCTGCGTGCCCAACGAGCCCAAGCAGAGAGTCTACTTCATCGGGCCACTGGTCGACGCCCGCAAGAAGGTAGGGAGCGGCGCCGAGAGGCACGCGTGCCTCGCGTGGCTTGACGCCCAGCCGCAACGGAGCGTCGTGTTCCTCTGCTTCGGCAGCCAGGGCGCGTTCCCGGCGGCGCAGCTGAAGGAGTTAGCTCATGGGCTGGAGAGCTCCGGCCACCGATTCCTGTGGACCGTGAGGAGCCCACCGGAGGAGCAGTCCACATCACCGGAGCCGGACCTGGAGCGGCTGCTTCCGGCGGGGTTCTTGGAGAGGACGAAGGGCAGAGGCATGGTGGTCAAGAACTGGGTGCCACAGGCGGAGGTGGTGCAGCACGAGGCGGTAGGCGCGTTCGTGACGCACTGCGGGTGGAACTCGACGCTGGAGGCGATCATGTCGGCGCTGCCGATGATATGCTGGCCGCTGTACGCGGAGCAGGCGATGAACAAGGTGATCATGGTGGAGGAAATGAAGATCGCCGTGTCGCTTGACGGGTACGAGGAAGGAGGGTTGGTGAAGGCCGAGGAAGTGGAGGCTAAGGTGAGGCTGGTGATGGAGGCCGAGGAAGGGAGGAAGCTCAGGGAGAGGCTGGTGGAGACGAGGGACATGGCGTTAGATGCCATCAAGGAGGCTGGGTCTTCTGAAGTGGCATTTGATGAGTTCATGAGAGATTTGGAGAAGAGCAGCTTGGAGAATGGAGTTCGCAGCTGATCAAGCAGAGTATGGGTCATGACTGCATTAGTGTACCAATGGCGTCAGTTACCACATGAAATGTTTGCGATTTTTGTTAAGTTAGAAGCAAAGTTGTCCGCATAGCGATGTTTTTTTCGTCCTCCGATGACGGACGCAATTGTCTCCCGTGTCCAAAAGTTGCAGTGTCAACCATTTCTGTATAAGCAAATTAAAATAATGCATAGTCTTCAAACCTGACCAATACTAGCGACCAATTATTCAGAGCCACACAAACAACATGAACCCACTAGACTGGAAATCACTGGCTCTAGTCAAATGCAAATTCTCTAAGCTAACTGAAATGCGAAATTAAAAAATAAGGAATACTAGAAGAAGAGTATAGAGTCCATATAGAAATACAATTTAAAAAATAGAAAATAGGAAATAAAAAAAGGAATATTAGAAGAAGAGTATAGAATCCCTACAGGAATTTAGAATTGAATAAATTTCAGAATAAAAATAATAAAATTAAAAGTAGAGCTTAGAGTCCATATAGAAATAAAATTTGCAAATAACTAATATTCAAAATTAAAAAAATAATATGGGAAGAAGAGTTTATAATTCATATAGGAATATAATTTAGACATACTGAAATTCGAAATTTAAAAAATAAAGAATATTGAAAGATGAGTTTAGAGTCCACATAGAAATACAATTAGAGATCATTGAATTCAGAATTAAAAATAAATAATATTAGAAGAAGAGCCTAGAGTCTATGTAGAAATATAATTTACAAATAACAAAAATTCAGAATTAAAAAATAAGAAATATTAAAAAGACGAGTCTACAGTCCATATAGAAATACAATTTAGAAATAACTAAAATTTAATATTAAAAATAATTAATAACTATCACGTATATACAGTACAACATGAATATTACACATTGATAGTTTGGTAAAGTTAGTACAAAATTTAAAATTATGTTATCATTTTAATATATTTTAATAAAAAAAGAAAATATAATAATGCTAGCCTCGCAATTTGCGCAAACCTCTATACTAGTTCTTATTAATTTTTTAACTCATCCCTAATTATATGGATCTGGTCCGTTACACCGTACAGAATAAAAACTTTCTTTTCTTCGTCATTGCTCACGAAAACGGCCGTGACGTGAGCTACCTGGTCTCTCCTTCCTCACGTAGACTTCTACAAAGCCCATGTGAAATTTGTGTCGATCATGCAACTCACCGTGAAACGTTTCAATGTTGCTCGCCATGGCCTTCTTTGCCAAGAAATGGGTTACCATTCAACGCCGCTCGCACTATTTAGCTTGTGGGTTGCGAGATTATATTGGTAAGCCAATTTGAGAGCATTTGCTACGTTTTTATGCATACTGTTTGATCGGAACAACTCGTAGCCATGACGACAAAGACGTTTGTCATGTACCCGTCGCTGGGCGTCGGCCACCTGAACCCCATGGTGGAGCTAGCCAAGCACCTGCGCCGCCGCGGCCTCGGTGTCGTCGTCGCGGTGATTGACCCGCCCAACAACGACGCCGTGTCGGCCGACGCGATGGCGCGCCTCGCCGCGGCCAACCCTTCCATCACGTTTCGCCTCCTGCCGGCACCGGACAGTCCTGACGTCGGCGCGCACCCGATCAAGCGCAGCCACGACACGCTCAAGCTCGCCAACCCCGTGCTCCGGGAGTTCCTCCGCTCGCTGCCCGCCGTCGACGCACTCCTGCTCGACATGTTCTGCGTCGACGCGCTCGACGTCGCGGCCGAGCTCGCCATCCCCGCGTACTTCTTCTTCCCATCCCAGGCCAGCGCCCTTGCCGTCTTTCTCCACCTCCCGTATTACTACCCCAATCTGCCGACATTTATGGAGATGGGCAAGGCGGCGCTCCTCCGCTTTCCCGGGATGCCGCCGATCCGCACCGTCGACATGCCGGCGATGTTGCGGGACAAGGATAGCGAGGCGACCAAGGTTAGGTTGTATCAATTCAAGCGGATGACGGAAGCGAAGGGCGTGCTGGTGAACAGCTTCGACTGGCTGCAGCCCAAGGCCCTGAAAGCGCTCGCCGCCGGCGTCTGCGTTCCCGACAAGCCCACGCCGAGGGTCTACTGCATCGGGCCACTGGTCGACGCCGGCAGGAAATCAAGGATCGGCGGCGAGAGGCACGCGTGCCTCGCGTGGCTGGACGCCCAGCCGCGGCGGAGCGTCGTGTTCCTCTGCTTCGGCAGCCAGGGCGCGTTCCCGGAGGCGCAGCTGTTGGAGATAGCTCGTGGGCTGGAGAGCTCCGGCCACCGATTCCTGTGGACCGTGAGGAGCCCACCGGAGGAGCAGTCCACATCACCGGAGCCGGACCTGGAGCGACTGCTTCCGGCGGGGTTCTTGGAGAGGACGAAGGACAGAGGCATGGTGGTCAAGAACTGGGTGCCACAGGCGGAGGTGGTGCAGCACGAGGCGGTCGGCGCGTTCGTGACGCACTGCGGGTGGAACTCGACGCTGGAGGCGATCATGTCGGCGCTGCCGATGATATGTTGGCCGCTGTACGCGGAGCAGGCGATGAACAAGGTGATCATGGTGGAGGAGATGAAGATCGCCGTGTCGCTTGACGGGTACGAGGAAGGAGGGTTGGTGAAGGCTGAGGAAGTGGAGGCGAAGGTGAGGCTGGTGATGGAGACCGAGGAAGGGAGGAAGCTCAGGGAGAAACTGGTGGAGACGAGGGACATGGCGTTGGATGCCATCACGGAAGGTGGATCTTCTGAAATGGCATTTGATAAGTTCATGAGAGATTTGGAGGAGAGCAGCTTGGAGAATGGAGTTCGTAGCTGATTAAGCAGAGTAAGGCTCACGATTGCATTAGTGTATCAATGGCGTCAGTTACCATGAAATGTTTGCGATTTTTGCTACGGAATTGCTATTAAGTTCAGAAGCACAGTAGTGCGCATAGTGATGTTCTTTTCATCCTCCAATGACGGATGCCATTGTCTCTCGTGTCCAAAAGTTGCAGTGTCAACCATTTCTGTATAAGAAGATTAAAATAATGCAGTCTTCAAACCTGACCAATACTAACGACCAATTATTCAGAGCCACACAAACAACATGAACCCACTAGCGTGGAAATCACTGGCTCTAGTCAAATGCAAATTCTCTACGCTAATTGTTAGTCATCCAAAATAGTCCTGAGTAGGCTAGAGAATAGAGATAGCGCAGGATGGACAGTGACAACTTACAAGAGGATGGAACCATCACTGAAATTCAGGTGCCTGGGAATACCAAAGAAGGTAAAAATCATGTCTTCTTTTTTTTTTTTTTTGAAACGAAAAAAAAAATCATGTCTTCCTCTCTGGCCATACTTGTCAATTAGGAAATCTGGAAGTAACAGACCGCTAGCACCAGATGCTGCGTGGTTTAACCTTATTGAACGAAACCTAAACAAGTTTCTGCTAGTCCATAATGGGTGTAAGTTGAAACTGAAGCACTGAATCTGCTAACCTGACTAACTGTGACAACCTGCAATAAAACACCAAATCGGACAGAGCATAATTCAGAGCAAAAGTGTCACCTCTCAGCAGCAATCTTGTCGAGTCGCCGATCAGGCACAAGGGATCATCCCTGATCATCTTCGACGCTTCATCATTTGCAGCGCTGCAAATCATCCACGAAATCAGAGAACGCCGTGCACGACGGCCCGCCGTCTGCCAGCGCCTCCGCGGCCATCTCCTTCGCCATTGCCAGCCTTCCTCTGAGCTTCTTGCCTTCGTCGGAGTCCATCACCAGCCTCACCTTCTTCTCCACTTCCTCTGCCTTGACGAGCTCCTCGTCGTAGCCGTCCATCACCACCCCGAGCTGCATCCCGTCCACCACGAGCACCTTGTTCAGCCTCTGCTCGGCGTACTGCGGCCAGCACAGCATCGGAACTCCGGCCGTCGCCGCCTCCAGGATGGAGTTCCACCCGCAGTGCGTCACGAACGCGGCGGTCGCGGCGTGCCGGAGCACCTCCACCTGCGGCGCCCACGACATCACCACCATTCCCCTCTCCCTCGTCCTCTCCAAGAACTTCTCCGGGAGCAGAGCACCCAGGTCTGGCTCAGAACGCGGCAGGGAGAACTTGGCCGGGTCCTCCGGTGGTGGGCTCCGTACCACCCAGAGGAAACGGTGGCCGGAATTCTCTAGCCCACGAGCAATCTCCTTCAGCTGCTCCGCCGAGACGGCGCCCATGCTGCCGAAGCTGACGAACACGACGCTCCGCTCCGGCTGCGCGTCAAGCCACGCGAGGCATGCGTGGCGCTCTCCTTTCGCCGCGTCCTCGCCCTTCACGATCAGTGGCCCGATGCAGTACACCGGCGGCGTGGGGCGGTCGGGCACGCACGCGCCGTCCCCGAGCGCCGTCACGGCCTTCGCCTCCAGCCATTCGTAGGTGTTGATCAGCATGCCCCGCGCCTCCGGCATGCGGCGGTAGTGATAGACCAGCGAAGCACCGATCACGTCCGCGCAGTCGAGCACGTTGTGCGGCATGTCCGACGCCGGGATCGGAGGGACGCCGGGAAAGTGGAGGAGCGCCTTCCCCATGTCCTTCAAGTCGCCCTCCGTGGTGGCGAAGTAGTGGGGGAGGTGGAGGAACGCGGCGAGGACCCCCGCGGAGGAGGTGAAGTAGAAGTACGCCGGGACGCCGACCGCCGCGGCGGCGTCGAGGGCGTCGACGCAGAAGAGGTCCAGCACGACGGCGGCGACGGGCGGGAGGGAGCGGAGGAAGGTCAGAAGGATTGGCACGGTGAGGCGGATCACGTCGAGCAGCTGCTGGAAGCCGTCAGGGTCCGGCTCGGGGTAGTCCGGAGGCGGGAGGTTGTGGAAGGAGATGGAAGGGTTGGCGGCGGCGATGCGCGCCACCGCGGGGGCCGACGAGGCGGCGACGTCGGCGGTGGAAGCCGGAGGGGTCGGGACAGCGATGATGACTGCGAATCCACGGCCGAGGAAGAGCTTGGCGAGCTCCACCATGGGGGCGAGATGGCCGGCGCCAAGGATGGTGTGCAGCACCACGGTCTGACTCTGTTTTGAATTGGGCTCCATTAGAGCGAGCCGGCGACACGGTGAGTCTATGCGAGTGTTAAGGGAGGTGCCTTCTCGCGAACCACTTGAGGGGAGAGTTTAAGCCTCGGTTGCTCGTATAATTTCTACAAAACTTCAATGCTCAGCCTACAGGTTTGAAACTCGCACTGTGCGCTGCTATATAACGGAATCCCGTTTTCAAACGGGATGATCCCGAGCAGGTATCAGGTGTGATACCTATCAGATATCAGATGATTCTACACAATAGGATGATCCCGAGTACGTATGGTGTGATACCTATCAGGTATCAGACGATTCTACACACGTTTCAGGTGATACTTGCAAGTATCATGTGATACTTATCAGGTATCATGCGATTTCTACCACGTATCGCGTGATACTCGCGAGGTATCATGTGAAACCTGTCAGGTATCAGACGATTTCAATCACGTATCGCGTGATACTCACGAGGTATCATGCGATACCTGTCGTGTATCAGACGATTTCTATCACGTATTGCGTGATACTCGCGAGGTATCATGTGATACTTGTCAGGTATCAGACGATTTCTACCATGTATCGCGTGATACTTGCGAGGTATCGGATGATACCTACCAAGTATCAGGTGATTCCTACTGGATATAGCTGGGCATCCTGTTGGGGGAGGAGCACCTCGACACGCGCGGTCAGTACCCTGCAGCCGTCCCTCGTAAACGAGGACGGCGGCGGTGGCGGCAGCGGGGGACGGGCGCGGCGGCGGCGGCGGCGGTGGCGGCGGCGGCAGAGGCGGAGGCGAGGGGGGACAGTCGCGGCAGCGGCGGGGGACGACGACGGCAGCGAGTGAGCAGGAATCGCGTTGTGGAGGAGGAGCTATCCCGTTCGGGGACGGGATACCGTCCCCTAGCATTCCCGATGATTTAAGCTTACAAGAGTACTACTCCGTGGATTCTACAGAAAAGGGGATACACATCGCTCATTGCTGACCTCAATTTTCATTCCTGCCAAATTGCTGTCAGTTATCGTGTATTCTCCAGCCCAAGAGTGTCCATGAGTGTACAGTTGTACATAGGGAGTGAATTTTCATCCCTGGAGGGGATATCCACTCGTTGTTTGCATATCACTCAAATGGTTATGAAAAAAATTGAAAAAAATTAAGAAGATGTATTAACATGTGATATATCACTCCACAAACATACAAGTTCAAATTCAACTTCTACATCTCGCAACGAAAAAAACAAATTAAACTACAACTAGTTAAACGTATATTCATAGTCAAATTTGTTTTTTTTGTTACGAGTTGTAGAAGTTGAATTTGAACTTGCATATTTGTAGAGTGATATATCACATGTTAATACATCTTCTTAATTTTTTTATAACCATTTGAGTGACATGTAAACAACGAGTAGATATCCCCTCGAGGGTGAAAATAGTTTCCGTTGTACACACGAGTCTACTGAAGTGTGGAAGTCTCCAGCCTACTGAGACAGAGCTTTTGCACCATGTGGTATTCTCTACACGCTCAGCTTAATTGCCAGATATTAACAAACCGAAAGTAGAAGAGGAACATTGATCTTGCATATTGTGATAGAGCATAATACTATTCCATCATGTAAGCACGGCTCCAGAGTGTAATCTACAAGTGCTGACTGCTGAAGCAGCTAATCAGCCTGAAGAAACTCTCACACCTTCTGCTCACATCAGAAATACAGAAAAATAGCACAGTTCACAGCGGGTAAATAATGCAGATATGTGATTTTGTCACATTCCAGCAGCAATATAAATCATTCCAACTCAATGTTCATCTTTTGTGCTTGATCGTTTGCACTGCTCAATGTTCGTCTTCTACGCTTTTTCCTTTGTAGTGTTTCCAAAGTTCAAATCCTTCAGAAATTCGGTGAACGCCAACGACGACGACCCGCCGTCTGCCAGCGCCTTCGCGGCCATTTCCTTCGCCATTGTCAGTCTATCCCTGAGTTTTTTCCCTTCCTCGAACTCCATGACCAACCTCACCTTCTTCTCCACCTCCTCGGCCTTGACCAGCTCCTCATCGTAGCCGTCCATCACCACTCCGAGCTGCATGCCATCCACCAAGAGCACCTTGTTCATCCTCTGCTCGGCGTACTGCGGCCAGCACAGCATCGGCACTCCGGCCGACGCCGCCTCCAGGACGGAGTTCCACCCGCAGTGCGTCACGAACGCGGCGGTCGCGGCGTGCCGGAGCACCTCCACCTGCGGCGCCCACGACGTCACCACCATTCCCCTGTCCCGCGTCCTCTCCGTGAACCCCTCCGGGAGCAGCATTCCCAGGTCAGGCTCCGGACGCGGCAGGAAGAACTTGGCCGGATCCTGCGGCGGGCTACGCACCACCCAGAGGAAACGGTGGCCGGAATTCTCGAGCCCACGAGCGATCTCCTTCAGCTGCTTCACCGAGACGGCGCCCAAGCTGCCGAAGCAGAGGAACACGACGCTCCTCTCCGGCTGCGCGTCCAGCCACGAGAGGCATGCGTGGCGTTCCCCGTTCGCCGCCTCCTCGCCTTTCGCCATCAACGGCCCGATGCAGTACACCGGCGGCGTGGGGCGGTCGGGGATGCAGGCGCCTTCCCTGAGCGCCCTCACGGACCTCGCCTCCAGCCATTCGTAGGAGTTAATCAGAATACCCCGCGCCTCCGGGATCCGCCCGTAGTGCCCCAGCCGCGTAGCGCAGGTCCGGTCCGCGCGGTCGAGCACGGTGTGCGGCATGTCGGAGGCCGGGATCGGAGGGACGCCGGGAAAGCGGAGGGGCGTCTTACCCATGTCCTTCAAGCTGCCTTCCGTGGTGGCGAAGTGGTGCGGGAGGTGGAGGAACGCGGCGAGGTCGCCGGCGGAGGAGGTGTAGTAGAAGTACGCCGGGACGCCGGCCGCCGTGGCGGCGTCGAGTGCGTCGACGCAGAACAGGTCGAGCACGAGAGCCGCGACCGAGGGGAGGGAGCGGAGGAAGGCGAGGAGGGGTGGCACGGTGAGACGCATCGTGTCGAGCATCTGCAGGAAGGCGTCGGGATCCGGGTCGGGGTACTCGGGCGGCGGGAGGTGGTGGAAGGAGATGGAAGGGTTGGCGGCCGCCATGCGGTCGACCGCGGGGGCGGACGAGGAGAAGAAGTCGGCGGTGGAGGCCGGCGGGGTCGGCACGGCGATGACGACGGCGAGGCCGCGGCGGAGAAGGAGCTTCGCGAGTTCAACCATGGGGATGAGGTGGCCCACGCCGAGGCAGGCGTGCAGCACCACCATCGGATTGGGGTCTGCCTCCATCGGCGCCGGAGATTCGGCGGCCGGCGGCGGAGAGAGTGACAGACTGACAGTGCGAGTGGAGGGGAATCCGTGGGCGAGAGAATTTCGGCGTCCTGTGTTTCGTCTCTCCACCACTAGTAGTGGCGACTGACGACGTAGCGTACTCCATTTGGGTTGCGGCGGAATTGCCTACTGCTCCGTGGTAGCGGATGTATGGCCCATCAGCCCATATAGTGAAACATGACCCGGGCTAGATGCCTAGATTGCGTCCTGTTGCTCACGTTCCACCCAATGGCCCATGTGTGACCTTCCTTAGCTTCTAGCAACTTTTGCTGAAAGCCTGAAAGGAATGAAACTGCAGAGGTGAAGAATATGATTAGAGGTTTGGAATAAGTTCATTTATGGTCTCTTAACTTGACAACGAGTTCGATTTCGTCCCTGAACCGAAATACCAGATACAACGGGTTCCTCAACTATCAAAATCAGTGCAAATAAGGCCTCACGACGGTTTGAATAGCGTTTTCACTTTTCAGCTGCCGTGATGCCTACGTGGATGGTTTGAATTGTCCTCGTCTTACGTGGCAGTGAGCCGGTGATATGGCACTGGAAGCAAAATATAAAAATTAAGAATTAAAACAAAAATATAGGCCCCACATGTTAGTAAAAAAAAAAAGTGGGACCCACATGTTAGTAGGTCCCACCCTCTTCTCATCTGCAGTGGATGACGGCACGTCAACACCTTTTCTCGTCTCCCTCCCAGCCATCTCTCTTCCCTCCTTCTCCTTGAGCTCCCTCACTTGCCGACAACCGCTGCCGGCGACATGCGTCCAACTCCTCCCCGACTTTCTCCCTATCTTTTGGCCCCTAAACGAGTCCAACTCCTCGCCCTCGCGCCACAGGTGCGCCCCTCTAACTTGCCATCGCCATCCCCGTCCCTCGGTCAACTCCACCTAGGGCTGTCAAAAAAGCTCGAGGCTCGTGAGCTGCTCGAACTCGGCTCGCTCAAGGCTCGACTCGAGCTCGACTCGTCGACGCGAGCTTCACGAGCCGAGCTCGAATTGTTTGACGAGCCTGTCTTTACTTTCTTTTTCTTTTGGCAGTGAGTAATAGCATACCGAGTAGTACTACCAGTAGTATTCATTTATCATGTCAACATCACCTAGCTGCTTGCAGAGTGGAGTAGTACTCCTACTAGTTAGTAGTGCTAGGAGTAGTACTACTGCATGTCTGTCATTACGAGCGCCATCGTCACCAAAATCCAACAGTCCATCCAAGCAACCAATGCGACTAAGCTCGATAGCAGGCTCGAGCTCGAGCGAGCTCGAGCCGAACCCATCTATGAGCTCGAGGCATAAACTAGGCTCGGCTCGAGCTCGACTCGAATATGTACCAAGCTCGAGCTTAGATGGGTAAGCTCGCTCGAGCTCGGCTCGTTGACAGCCCTAACTCCACCCCCGCCCCGGCGCTTCGGCCGCAGGCAAGGAAAGGCAAGGGATCACGAGCCACAAGTTGCATTTCTTCCACCACTTGTTCAGTGACCCTGCAATCGAGGTTTCAAGGTAGAAGAGAAGGGAGGCAAACAACCAGTGGTAGAGAAATGCGAAGATCCGGTGGAATGCGGGGATGTGGAGAAGACATATGATATTTCTCCCTCATTGAACGCCTGAGAGGAAGCATTATCTTTTTCCAATGAAACAATATTTTACAATACGAATAATACTTTTTTTTCTCCATTTCATTCAGGAAGAATTCAAGTTATCCTTGCCCCCCCCCCCCCCCCCCCCAAAAAAAAGTGGGAAGAATGCCAGTGAATTAGTGTCATGTGCCAAGTGGCCACATTCCAATTCATGCGCTCAATATCAACTCTGATTACTCCTCGGAAACGAGTAATCGCCAGCTTATTGTCAACCCCATGTTTTTTTGCCGTCTCCACGTGTTTCTCATGTCATTTGTTTAGTCTCGAAGTGAACCATCATCAATCGGTGCTCTGATTATATGCACCAGATAATCGGATTCCATTGAGAAAAGAAATATCAGTATATCTAGAAGAATCATGCGTTAAACGATATCAAGAATCATTCAGTCAGGACGACCCGGTTTTTCTTTTCACGCAGTTTGGAAAGATGATACATACAATCTTTCCCATCTAGAAGGAAGAAATAATTATTCAGAAGTCAGAACTCACAAAGACCCCCGGACCAATCACAGTCCGTGAAAATTACACGGCTATGGACTCAGCAGCAAACGTAGTCATCATCTCAAGCTTCCACGAGTCAAGCGTACGTGTCAAATCCGGCGCATGACAGTGTCGCAGCCACGACAGTGGACTTGCTCGGCCACATGTATAAATCGAAGACCAAGACCAGGAACAGCGGAGCAGGTTCGAGCTAGGTGGTGTGATCCATTCAGACAAGTAACTAACAAAAACGGTCGTGTCCGTTCGTGACATTTGCTATAGCTAGCTAGCTCCAGCTCCCATGGCGACGGCGGCGGAGAACAAGAACGAGCCGGCGCGGCCATTCGCGGTGCCATCCCCGTCGGTCCACCCGGCGGCGACCGGCGTGGGGGAGGAGGAGGAGGCGCAGGCGGCGACGGGGTGGCGGTCCATGCAGTACCTCCGGAAGCGGCGGCGCGCGCTCTGCTGCTGCGGCTGCTGCGTGACCACCCTGGTCGTCGTCGGCCTCGTCATCCTCGTCCTCGCGCTCACCGTGTTCAGGGTGAAGGACCCCCGCATCACCATGAACGGCGTGTGGGTGACGGCCATCAGCACCGGCCCCGGCACCGGCGCCGGCATCGGGAGCACCGTGGCGACCAACGCGACGCTCACCGCCGACGTCTCGGTCAAGAACCCCAACGCCGCGTCGCTCCGGTTCTCCCGGAGCGAGACGGACGTGTACTACAAGGGGAAGACGGTGAGCGTGGCGTACGTCCCCGCCGGCAGCGTCGGCGCCGACCGGACGGTGCGGATGAACATCACGCTCGACCTGCTCGCCGACCGCCTCGCGTCGGTGCTCAACGGCACGGGGCTGATACTCGGGCAGGAGTACGACCTGACCACCTACACGGCGATGAGGGCGAGGGTCAGCGTGCTGGGGATCATCAAGAAGAGCCTCGACGTTCGGATGAACTGCTCGGTCATCTTGGACGTCGCCGGCATCGCCGGCGTGCTGCTGCCCGGGGACGGGGCCAAGTCGGGCGTGCAGACTAGGAGCGTGGATTGCGTTGCAATCGTGAGCTGATCAGCGGTTTTCTTGTGTGAGTACTGCATTGTCATTACAGCACCTCATTACATATGAATATGTATTTTTCTGGATGTATATTCTGCTACTCTCGTATGTATGTTTTTCTGGATATATATTATGCTACTTTCGTGTGTTCACAGATCGAATTCTCTCTAGGAAATAATACCCAATAGCATTATTATATGCCTGTGTTTGATGGATTGGGTAGACCCGATTTGGGTAGCAGTCTCACAGCCCTGAGTTACATGAACTTTATAGATGCAGACGCACTACCATGTTTACTGACGATGCATAAGGATTAATTAGCTAAAAGGATGTAAAGAAACCTTTGCAACGCCAGTAAAATGGTGATTTGAATAGACTGCATGAAAATGAAACACCATATACCTCTGCCAGCAAGATAGGAGTGCATTGTCAACCACAACAGCCTCAGAGTATGTATAAAACAGACAGGAAAATAACCAATTAAAGGTGATATACAGTAGATAGCATTCTGATAGCATTCCAGGTTTCCTCTGTAGATACCAGCTATAGAAAAAAAAAACTAGCTTCTTACCAGCACAGATGGCCGTGCTACTGTGCTAGAAGCCTAGAAATGAACGACCAAGGGAATGTAACTAATGAAACTGGACAATACATAAAACTTATCAATTTACATAAAACAAAAATTATCACAAAAGTTTCAAGAATCACATACATTACATTAGGGGGGAAAAGCAAAACAAAAGGTAATGTGGCTAAAAAAATAATTCAGAACTTGAACTACCGATTGTCCCTAACGATTTTAGCTATTGACTTGGGTAAGGTCCCGTGCCAAAGAAAATTGTTAGGTACAACCATACAGTAATTAGAAAATAATAACAGCACAGCACACAAACTGCATGTATCAAACATGAAAGAAAAAGATCAACCTAGACTATCACAGTCAGTGAATTGGAATTTAGAGGTGTAGCTGGCAGGTACTCATACAAGTGCATTGAGTTTAGCACACAAAACATTCTAATCAGTGAGGTATTCGTAACTACATCAAGTAAAATGAAAAAAAAATTTCCAAGTTTTTGCTGCTCAAAGTTCAGGCATAACTAGCCAACAGATACCAAGGCATGTGCAGAGCATGATAACATGTTCCACATTAGCTCTTGTTGTTCAACCCCATATGAAGTTATGAACACATACACACCCCCTCAAGATTCCATGAATGAAAGTGGGGTCATAATAGAGTCCCTCCAAGTTCCAACTCACATAACCATCTTCAGATGGCGTCAAAATCTGCAAGCTGTCTAACCTCACAGTGCAAATAGAATAACAAGGAAATGACAAGTTAAAATAGTGCACCCAAACAGAATGTCACCATGAGAACAGCACAGTGCTAGATGGGAAATTCAGACTAAAACAAAATAACTCTGACATCGACTATTCATAACAGTATAAGGGTTATTATTCAATAGGTAGTTGTCTAAATATGAAACTAGTGGGTAGTCACAACTTTCCAGTTAACATGAAAAAACCTTCTTACTCTGCAATTAAAGAATCCTGAATGACATAGCACACATTCTCACATTTAGGGACATACAAGTTCATTACAGCTGTTACTAGCTTAATTCATGGAAAACAGCGGTATATATACCTCCATAGAAACAAAGAACATTAACACCGAACATGAACTAAACTAGTAAACACAAATCAAATGACCAAAGTGGGGAAGTATGACCATTTCACCCAATAAGGATAACAGTTCAGAATTCAAGCTAACTTAAAAAACAGGATGAACTGATCTGGAGAAGCAACCGGCATAACAGTTATCTCAAATGTTATTACTTATACCTCCCTGAAAAGTTCAAAATAACTGATCCTGTTGAGGAAAACACAATTGCCTAACAAGGCAAGTGATCTACAAAAGCGAATAAATGTTCTCTGCTACTTAATTTATGACTCAGGAACCAAACATTAATTCAAAAAAGTCCACGCTACATACATCAATGCGCAAAATTATCGATAATCCAGTAGCCAACTGTATTTAAAACCAAGAAATATGTCGAGTCCCGACAAAGACCGTTAGTTAGGATATTCCCCTTCCGTTACAGCATGAAAATCATTATGATGATAAAATGCTATATCCTGTGATAAATAACTTTTTTTTTCCTTTCATGTCCTTGCCGCCAAAGAATGGTAACCAACATACAAGTAATGTAAGTGCAATAATCATATATATATATATATATATATATATATATATATATATATATATATATATATATATATATATATATATATATATAACTGGAATGAAGCAATTCAGATATTGATCTTGCACATACAACTGTAGGGCAAGTAACCTTACTTGGTAAAAGCTACTATATCCGAATGGAAAAAACAATGTATATACACTGCATGTCTGCTTCAGTGCAACGATCTACTGCTACTAAGCAAAACTTCCTCAAAGTCAAGGCTGTCCTAGTCCACAATCTCACCTAAATGGCTAAATATACTAATATTGCCATGGATCAGCCAAACCTCATCTGAACAATAAAACAATGGATACACCATCCCATCGTTGATAACCAGTAGAAAATGGTGCCAAAAAACGAATATAGAAGAGAAGACATGATGCACCCAATTCCGTCACCTGTGGCGCCGGCGGTCGGCGGCGTACTGTGATAGCGGGACGAGCTCCGACAGCGGGGTGGCGAGCGGAGTGGAGACTGGAGTGGGGATGGGCGAGGACCGGCAGACCGGGCACGACGCGCTCCGCCGCAGCCACGCGTCCAGGCACATGAGGTGGAACCTGTGCCTGCACTCGGGCATCATGCGCTGCATCTCCCCTTCCTTGTACTCGCAGAGGCAGATCGAGCACGCGGCCTCGGCGTCCGCCCCCGTCGCCGCCCTAGAGAAGGGCACCTTGGGGTACGAGGCGATCACCGCGGGGTCGAGCCCGACGGGCGACGACGCCGCGCCGCCCCCGGCGCCGCCGCGGGACGAGGAGCCCGGGGAGTCGGAGTCGTCCGCGACGAAGATGACCCGCGGGACGGTGATGGAGATGTGCCCGGAGCTGGACGCGGAGGACACGGCGTGGCGCGCGGAGTGGACCCCCTGGCCGCCGCCGCGGCGGACGACCCCGGCCCCGCCGCGGCGGGAGCAGAAGTAGAAGGCGAGGAGCAGCGACGCGAGGAGGACGAGGAAGCCGAGCGCGATGGCGACCGCGTACCCGACGCCGAGCGAGGAGAACGAGTCGAGGAACGACGCCATGACGGCGGCGGCGGTGGCGGCGGCGAGACCGTGGGGCGGAATGGCATGGCGTGCGGGGGGGCGCGGCTGGGGTGGGAGAAGAGCCGAGGAGGGGCAAAACGGGAAGAGGGGTATTTTGTTTTAGGTTTCCGGAGGGGTGGATCTGGTAGTTGGCGGCATTAATTGCCGGTGAGGAGGGGGAGGCCGAGGAGGAGGGGATCGCAGTTATGGCGCGGAGCTGGAGTGCAGGACGCGCGCCGTGCCGCGCACCGCGGTTTGCCGGTTTCCTCTGCCGCTCGCTGCCGAGCCGAGGGAGCGGCTGGGTGAGTGAGCGGGGAGGGGGCCAAGGGGGGAACGAAACGCGTGAGGCTTTCGCCGCGTCGCTCTCCTTGGAAGGCCACACGGACCGGCGGATGATGGGCCACATAGGTTTTGGCGATTCTCAGCGCGCGGACCGAGGAGACCAGACTAGAGATTAATGGGCTGGGAATATCCAAGTCTGACAAAGGGACATACATTTGCTGGTTGACTAAGTCTATTTTAACTCCCTTCTTATCTTGCTTATGATTGAATCGCATCTCTCAAGGCTCAAGCGCAAAACCGGGTATAACGCCTCTCCAAGACAAAAACTGGTGCAAATCGACTTCTTCGATGGTTTAGGAAACGTTTTTTTTTCTAATGTGACAGGTTGGTCATGATTGACTCGGTGAGTAAGCAAGTAAGATAAGAGTGTAAGACCCACGTGTCAGGGACTACTCTATTTTCCATCTCTCCCGATGGTAGCAAGGCAGCGATAAGGCGGTAGTAGCAGCCGGTGAGGAAGGCAGTCCGGCGAGGCGCTCGACGAGGTCGGGACGAGAGCTTGGGAGGTTGTGGTGGTGCAGGAGGACGCGAGAGCTCAGGGAAGAAGGAGTAGTGGGTGTTGTCGGCGGTATGGGAGCCGAAGAGGACGACAATCTTCACGGTAGCAGAGCATGTCGTGGAGAGAGGAGAAGGGTGCAAGGAGGTCAACCTTCTAGGCATTGGACTGGAGATCATTGTTGGGGGGGGGGGGTGATGTCACAAGTGAACCCTCCTAGGGCTGGCGACGGAGCCTCGTCTCATGAGGGCCAACGTTTCAGCGCAGGGGACGATAGCGGGGTAGGTAGCCTTGACAATGCCATGAGCCCCCAGCATGTGTCGGCCAACACCCCTCTCCTCGCCAACCCTCATGTCGACTCGCTAGGTAGTGGTGGGTAGGACCTAACGGCTAGCGAGATCGCTCTCCGCCTAGAGATCTGAGGACGATTGGCCCACCGCAGGTCCTTGATCTACTTGCACACCAAGAGCAGCAATGGACACGTTGCAATCATCCACCATGGCGAAGCCAAGAACAGCAGCACAACCTTGTTGAAGAACCCGTGCTTTGCGTGGGCGGTCACCATGGCCACGTAGGAAACGATGTCCTAGTCGACTGGGAACTTGTCGAGGAGTGCCCATGGAGGCGAGCTCATCGCGCGTGAGGTAGAGCTCGATGAGCCCGTTGCAAGCAGCGCGACAGTGGTCAAGATCGAGCTTGGCGCATTGACATGGATGGCTGGCGCACCCTCACCATGCTCCCCTCTTCCCTTGCACGCGCCGAGAGCCTCCCATCTACTGACTCAGCGAGTCAACCTGCCACGTCAGCGAAAAACGTTTCCTAACATCAAAGAAGTCGATTTGCACCGGTTTTTGAAAATGTGGGAGGTAGGGTTCGACTTACCGTCGGTAACCGCGCGGTTACCACTGTTACCGGCCTTATCGCGGGGGTACGGTAATAGAAAAACCGCGGTAACCTTCTTAAATTCAAATAAATTTAAAAAATAATTTGAATTTTTGATAAATTTTGCACGGTTTCGTACGGTTACCGCGCGGTAACCGTGCTTACCGCCGGGGCGCGGTAACCCTAGCCCCGGCAGTTTGGGAAACCCTAGTAGGAGGCGTTATACCTAGTTTTACGGTTGAGGGATGCGATTCAATCGGGAGAAGAGATGAGGGAGGGAAACAGACTTTGTTAGCTGGGTCGGGATCGAGTAGTTAGTTCCTAGTAGGCTATGTACGAAGGTCACATGATCGATTGGGCCTTTTTAGAGCTTAGAAACCTGGAAATGTCGTAATATCGTGCAAAACGTCCGTTTGATCTCCCCCACTCCAACTTTCATCGTTTATCCATACAATCGAATGCGGAGGTTTATTCATTTAACAACCGGTTCGTTTTCCCTCTCTTGGGGTAGTTTGGACAGGGGACAACGATTTCATTTGATGTGGCATCTAGATGATACTCGTAGTATAGGATGTGCTAGATTTTCTTTTTGAAACGGAGGGAGTACATAGTATTTCTATTAGAAAAAAAAAACAGTGGAACCTACATGGCCGGGACTCTATTTCTTCCTCCCCTTCCTCAATATCTCTCCTGCCACTAGTGGATCATGTGGGGCCATATTTTTTGTTTTTATTTGATTTTTTTTTCAATCGGACTGCCATTGACATGTGTGTCACATTAGTGTTTTTTTTTTCTTTATAGTGTCACATAAACACCACGTAGCCGTATAGGATAAAGATAAGGTCAATGTATCATATAACTGACACGTAGGATGAAACGGCTTTCAAATTAACGATAGTGGTAAATTGGTCTAGTCTTAAGAAATGGAAATCAGGCGACACATGGGATGAAACCGCTTTTCAAATTGACGAGAGTTAAATACTTAAATTGGTCCAGTCTTAACAGTTGTGGGAGATTTCATATTTGATTTGCGGTTAAGAAATGGAAACCAGATTTGGGCTATTGTAAAGGGAAGCAAAATAAGATTTTTCCTAATATATATCTCGGCCTCCTCCACTAGTTGACTGCATGAGGATATACCATGGCTTTTAGAGAGGGATCGCATTCCAATCCACGCGTTGATGAGAAGATCAATATAGCATAGCACATGATAATTGGGGAAAAAAAAAATTCCCCGTTGCCGGGGATCGAACCCGGGTCACCCGCGTGACAGGCGGGAATACTCACCACTACACTACAACGACTTCGATATTCAGTTGTCGATAGGCACATATTTATTTATCGGTATCTTTGCCTCGTTTGTAAATATGACATGATAGACTAGTGATCGGCCATGCCAGCCTGGAGTAATAGCATATGCTATTACGTATTTGCATGTAACACAAAAGGGTTTTAAGTGTTTATCGTCGCAATTAGATGACACAAAAGAGTATAATAAGATCTAGGCCGGCTATATACACCATTATACTTAAAAAAAAGCTAAATCGTACTTTATTTGTTTTACATTATAAGATATTTTGGATAAATGTTAGAGCAAGGTCAATAGTGCAGCCCACTGCTAGCTCCAAATCTTCTATAGCCAATTCATACAATAGTTACTTACTATACTATTAATACTTGGTCCCACCTGTCATACACACATTACGTCATGGAGTCCGTGCTGCAGCTAGTTACAGATCTGTAGCCCGCTGCTTTTCTCTCTCTTCCTTTATCTCTTTAAAATATGTTTATAGCTGGCTTATAGCCTGCTATTGTACCTGCTCTTAGTGAGTTTAGATGAAACATAGAGAGACTAAAACATCTTCCGTATAATGTATAAAACGGAGGGACTACGTAACAGTGTCGCCCACACAACTGATGGTACACTTTGTCCCTTTGCCTTTGCGATGCCTTCCGAAGAGACACTGGGCTACGAGCCTACGAGAGCACTTGAGCCTAACCTGGACTTGGCCCGCAAGAATCAGCCAGCCAGGCCCACACCACAAAATCCTCCTCCTTTTCAAACTCCGCACCTTCGTCTAGAAGCTTCTAACTCGCCCACTAGCTCCCTTCCCCTTGGACTCTTTGGAGTTGTTGGAAGGAACACGCGCGGACGCGCCCACGACCCCTCCCCACGGACGGATGCCGGCGAAAGCGCAGGCACGCCACGCGTCGTCACTCGTCACGGTGCCAGTAACCTCCTCGTGATCTCCACCCCCTTCATTACTTCCCCGTGCTAAACCCCAACAGAGGTCCCACACGATCGCTGACAGGTGGGCCCTCCCTGCGCGTGCAAGCCGATTAGCGCTAATTACCCGTCGTCTCGAGGAGTTATTACCACGCTTAACCGCGCCAATTACTTCGCCGGGTTAACGCAGGACTTAATCACGCGGTTGATCGTGCCCGATCCAACGGCCAGGATCGCCTCACTCCGCGCATAAAACCCAACGCCACGACTACGGAGAAAAGGAGGAAAAAGAAAAGCAAAAAGGCAAAAAGAGTTCGTGCGAAAAAAAAAAGAAAGAAGAGTTCGACTGTTCGAGCGAGGAGGGAGAAGAAGAGGGGGAGAGAGAGAGCCAGCAGCTAGCCATGGCGGAGCACAAGGAGGAGGAGTCGTTGGTGGAGTCGGTGATGGACAAGATCTCCGACAAGCTCCACGGCCGCGGGGGCTCGTCGTCGTCGTCGTCGGACTCCGACGGGGAGAGGACGGCCGACTTGAAGGCCAAGATCTACCGCCTCTTCGGCCGCGAGAAGCCCGTCCACTCCGTCCTCGGCGGCGGCAAGCGTAAGACCCAAAGCTTAAAGCTCTTTTTCGCTTGTAGGCGTCTGTGTTCTTGCGAGCGTGTAGATCCGACCGCATCGGGGTTTTCGCTCCGCTTTTTCTGAGTGGGGCTCGTTTGTTGTACTTTCTCCCGGAACTACGAGCGTGTGGAGAACGTCGCGATCCGTGATTTCTGAAGTCAAATTTATGCTGCGTTTTCGCCACAATGTGAGTAGGTTGTGATCAGATTAGTATTTGTTCGTGTAGATTTCGCATCTAGGTTGGGATTTAAATGCAATAGAATAGTAACTGAGCGGTGATGTTGATGCGCTATATTCCTTTATGCTTAAACCCTGAGATTCTTTGTTTGGTAGTGTAGCTGGGTATCTTATTGTTTATATGGGGATTTGCTCTCCTCTGATGTGCTTATGTTTGTGGTTGCAGCTGCTGATCTCTTTCTATGGAGGAACAAGAAAATCTCCGTTGGGGTACTCGCTGGCGCCACGGCCATCTGGCTGCTGTTTGAAGTCATGGATTATCATCTCCTCACCCTGTTGTGCCACTGTATCATCCTCACCCTGGCCATGCTCTTCCTCTGGTCCAATGCCTCAACTTTCATCAACAAGTGAGCTTCCTGTAACTTCAACTGTTATTCACAACATATCAAACTTAAATTGTCAGTGGCATGTTAACTTGATCTAGCTTTTTATTGGCCTATAGATTAATGTTGTGTAATTGTGATACCTTATCATGTTAACTTCATGTAGTTTTTTATTGGCCTGTAGATGAATGTTGTGTAATTGTGATAACGCTTCTTAGGACATCCTTTTATCGGCATGTTAACTTATAATGTATTAGTAGTTTTTTATTGGCCTGTAGATGGATGTTGTGTAATTGTGATAATGCTCCTTGGGACTTACTTTTATCGCCCTGTTACTTTGTGGATCTGTAGTCGATGGTCACAATGCCTGGAATGTTACACGTTCTAAGCTTGTGGCTGTAATATGTTGAGTTTGTGGAATGCATAAATGGTGAATATGTTTAGTTTGTGGCTGTAATTTCTGTCTTGCAATTTTTTTAGGTCCCCTCCTAACATTCCTGAAGTGAAGATCCCAGAGGACCTGGCTGTTAATGTTGCTCGCTCACTGAGATTTGAGATCAATAGGGGCTTTGCTACCTTGAGGGAGATTGGTCAAGGGCATGACCTGAAGAAATTTCTGATTGTATGTCAGATTGGCAACATGATTACCTTTTTTAAGCCTTCATTGTTTAATGGTATCTCTTCGACATGCTCAATTTGCTTATGCTGGTCCTCTTTATTAAGGTTGTCGTGGGTCTCTGGGTTCTCTCTGTTCTTGGGAGCTGCTGCAATTTCCTGACCTTGTTCTACATAGGTAATTATTTTGGTACAACAACTGTACAAGTTACCACATTTAGCACTGTTACCAACTACAGTTTTCTTTCTTGCAGTCTTTATGGTACTGTACACCGTGCCTGTTCTGTATGAGAAGTATGAGGACCAAATCGATGCTTTTGGAGAGAAGGCCATGATCGAACTGAAGAAGTACTATGCTATTTTCGATGAGAAATGCCTCTCTAAGATCCCCAAGGGTCCGTTGAAAAACAAGAAGCATTAGAAATTGTAGGATGAGCCGTAGAAGGTACTATGCTAATTTATCATCCAGCCTGATCACTAATTGTCGGTTTTAAAGGATGGCTACGATTCCATGCCTTTACTGATAGTAAATACCTACATTTTGGTGTGGCTAGTAGTTGCGATGTGCTGAACTTCAATGAATTCGAATTATGCCAGCATGCTCTATCTATATCCTGTTTTCAAACTCATGTTTAACTCAACTTCCGCCCCTGGAAGCTGTTGGTACTAAGTGCTATCAATATGTGACTTATCTTTATGGTATTCCATTTGAAAGGCTTGGGACCTATGGTAAAGTGGTTGTTTGATGTAGGCTAATCCAGAGGTTTGACCGTTGAGTAGGAGTTGTTTTGCTTTGGCCTCCATAATGTCCAAATGCACGATTCTTATGGATGGGTTATGCTACCTGAGTTTTTTTAAGTACTATAGTGAGCATCCATTCTTCAAAAACAATAGTCTTAAGGCTCTATAGGGTGCGTGGTGCGTCATACAGTTATTTGGCTTCCATTTTGTACGGTGGGTATACCTTATAATGATAGAGCTTTTCTATTAGCTTATACTTCTAAGTTTTAACTCGGTGTGCCGTTTCATTCAGTCGCTACCAACGATGCACATACCACACTCAGAAAACTACCAGAAATTAAAGAGTTATAACAAGTTCACAATCCACATCTCAAGTCGATGTATACATTGTTTTCCTTTTACTATGACAACGACCAAAAGCGTGCCTGGGGATAATTTTCAGAATCGCTATCTGTATCATCACTTTCTGTCGATGAAGCTGCTAGATCAGCGATGTCCAATATGTAGTCAGCAACCTTGTTCAGGAAAGTATAAAACAATGCTGTCAGCACATTGTAGTGAAGAAGGGAAAAAACATTAAATTTTAACATTTAAAAATTGTTGCTGCAATGAAATGAGCAGTGAATTTTAGACTTCATTATCTATCTGTTGGGTTCAAAACTATCATAAAACACTACTATTAACAATAAATAAAAGTACTTACTGTATGAGGTAATAGAGGTCCTAGTTTTACTCCATCTTTTCCATTATTAAGGCAATAGTGTGGAGTAGCACACGTCAAGTCGCACAACCAAATGACAGATCGGCAATATCCACATAATGCTCTATTTGATGCGGAACTCCATGTTTCTTGTTCTGTAATGAATGATATTTTAGCCTTTGGGAATAAGTTAATGTAGTTTATCAAATTTATCTACAATAGAATAGCCTTACCTGCATACTTTTTGTGGAAAGCCTCTTTCCAGTTAAAACCAGGATCCGGAGATACTTGATAAATGCTATTCTGTACATGATAATCAGTGTTCTGTACATTACCAGCTGTAGGTGTGCTATTGCAGTTTATATGGCAGATGCCGAAGAAAAGGGAGTAATTCATTTCCCACAGGTGGTTGTCATTTGCAGCAGAATTCCAAGGCCTTCTAAGAAAGATAGATAGTTGTCAACAATAAAGTAATGCTTAATGAATTACACGGACAAGAGAAAAAAGAAATACCAGCAGACAAGACCAGCAGCTACCAAGGAGCGCATGTCAAGAAAACTGAAAATATGAACAAGCACATCGTATGGTATATGTGGTACACCTGCAAAATGGGCACAAAACAACGCATCACGATGACTGCCATTAGTTAGTAAATATTTGTACATTTGTTCTTTTAAATCTTGACAGGACACTGCAGCTTCAGTAGGTAAATTAGTTTAAAAACTGCCGAAATCTATCCTAGCAATTGAAAAATGATGAAGGTTGAAAGCACAGACAACATTTACCAGTTTCTAAATCGTTGTTTACCATCCTAACAGATCAGTAAGCATGATAGTGTAAATGCACATCATACAACACACTTGACAGGAGCCTGTCACATACCTGGATCTTGTTGAACCCTAGCACGCCGCTTATGTGCAACAACAGAACGCTTGAACTCTGAAACAGCCTGTGCCTTCTTTTGCTTTGGTAGGGAACCGTCTACAGCTTGGAGAAGACCATTAGCTGCGCTTAACGCATATCCTGTCTGTACACTACCGGGTAAAATGAGTTAATACAAGCTCCTGTGTGCCAACTGCCAATATAATAGAACAATGACATTAAGCCAGAAACATAGCATGCTAAGTGAGCATTTGCGTGCCATTCGTCTTTAGTTCTATGCCTTCTATAATAGAACACATAATCACAAGTCCTAACCAGACATCATGAATTTATGAGCGACAAGCACGACACATTTCCAAAAAAAATCTAACAATGCATGACCTAAAAGTACACAATTTTCCAACAAATTCGAACTATGCACGAGTCATGACCTTAAAATTCAACAGGTCAGTGGGATAGTGAGGTGGACGCGGCTGTTATAGACATAGCCATCGACAGACACATTATCTGGAGAAATTGCGCATAAGCGTGTATGCTCAAAATCACAATTTGTAAGGGATCGGTGCTTTAATTGATCGAGCTTGGTGCCTACCCGCTCAAACAAAGTTTCATAATTGGACAGATCAACATAAGAAAGCAATGCCTCTTCACGAGTTGCTAGAGGGCTAGAGCTGGTTCCACTAGACAGAAACAGTGCAAAATCACTGGAAATTCGTCAGAATTGTGCACATCTGGGGAGCGGCACGAGCTTGGAAGAGAAAGGGGCTTACTCAGGGAGGAGCCGGAACGCGAGCAGCACGTCGCCGGCGACGAGAGCCTGGGCGGCCTTGGGGAGGTCGCCGTACCCGATTCGGAGGAGCGCGGCGATCTCGCCGCACGCCGTCGGGTAGTCCCACGGCCGCGACAGCGCGGCCGATATCCCCATCTCCCTGTACCTCTCCGCCGCACCCGTCTCCCTCCGCCGCGGCTGCCGCCGCCTCACCGGCATCGCTGCGACCTCGGAGGGGCCGTTCCCTCGTGGATCCGCCCGGACACCGCGAGCCGCCGCGCCGCCTCGTCGTTCCGACGGCGAGATGTTCCGGGCGGCCTGGACGCCGCCACCGACGCGGCCCTTGTGGTGGTTTGGGCTACGCGCGTGACCGGAGTACACGTGTCAGGCTTCCATGGATGGGTGTGATGTAATGGGCTTCCGGAATTCGCTGACCGTGATGTTTGGCCCGTTAGGCGGCCCAGGATGACCCAGTTTAGAACAAAATGTTGCTCGACTTACTAATCTTTGTACGTGTTTTAGTGTAAACTTTGACTGATATAAATTCATGTTTAATTACATAGCATAAAAGTGATAATGTTAAATGCATAACAAAAAGTACTTCATTATACGTTTAGAGAGTCATTTTGAAAAATATTTGGCTTAAATTACAGTAAGTACAGACGATAATATAGATTTGATGATAGTAGAAAGTAATGCACCTGTTGGTTTTGCCATCTTAAACGATGCCACGTCTGTTACATTTTTATTCTTAGTAAACACATGTAGCATTAAAAAGTACTGTAGCAGTAGACATTTTCTGAGCATGTCACAACGTACAACTTCATCTTACAAGGTTCTGAGCTCACTCACATTGCAATTCTAATGAACCGAGACCATTGTTTGGCCTGCGTCAACTGTGTCGCAAACTTGCAATCTATGCTGATTTCTATTTCCCTACGATAGCTGACCTTCCTAGCACATCTTAGGAGAAAACTCGGTCTATGACAAACACGGCCAAGTAAGCCATGCAATTTCTGTTTCTTGGCCTAAAAACGACGTCTATCTGACAAAATTTCCCAATGTGTTCTGCACAATGCTCATGCCGAATCCAACTTGTTCTGCTTGAGAAATTCCAGGTCCTTGAGTTGCCGCTGCGCTGCTTCCTTGGACACGGTCTTGACGCCGGGGCCCTTCCTCTCGCCGGCAGCCACCTGCTTCGCCATGGAGGTCACTATCCTCTCGACCGCCTGCCTCCCGACGGAGGGGAAGACGGCGTTCAGCATTTTGCACAGCAGCTTCACGTCCACGTCTTCCACCATGTCCTGCCCGAAGCAGCACACGTAGATGGCCTCCAGGGCCTTCTCCGCCCGCGCTTCCATTGGTATCTGTGGCGCCGGAGCCTTCAGCTTTGCTCTTTTCTGCAATAAAATTCATCTTCTCTTAGGGACCAATTTATAGGACATATAGTATGCATTCAAATTTGCAGTGCAGGGACATGTTCTTCCAGAAAAGTTGCTGAATTAAGCATGGCTACCTCCTTTGCCGTCTTCATCATGTCGAGGAACGTCTCCTCCTCGAACTCGATGTCGTTGGAGAGGCGGAGCCGCGCGACGCCTTCCAAGATCTCCTCCGTTTTCAGCAGCCCGCCACCAACGGCGGCCAGCCAGCAGCACAGCAGAACGTAGAAGGGATCTCCTGCCTGTCAAACAACGGAACATATGCTCACCAAATCAATTAAAAGAACATTTTTGGCATTTCTGCTTGGTTTTGCATCATTTTTGGCATTGAGAAGAAGAAATCGACGGCGAGAGGAGCGACGGGTACCTTGCCGCGGCGTTCGTTGAAATCGTAGAAGGCCTGGGAGTCCATGACGGTGCACTTCTTGCTGACGCGGCGGCGGAACTCGGCGAAGTCGATCATGTCGCCGCCGACGCCACCCTCGTCGCTCAGGATGCGCGCCACGAGGCCCACCACGGGGAGAGCCCCGATGAGGCGGCCCGCGATGGAGGACGGCGAGTTGGGGTTCGGCTCCATGTACGCCACCACCGTTCCATGCCGCCGGCGCCGGTTGGGGGCGGACGGCGATGGCCGGCGGTGGCGCGGCAGGAAGGCCGAGGCGAGCGAGAACCTGTGGGCGACGGGTAACGTCCCCATTGTGTGTGGTGGACGTGGCGCGCGCCTTATCTGCTCATGCGCCTGCTTGACTGAAGCCAGCTTGGACTTTGGGGGTGGCTTGGCTAGTTGGCTTCGCTACTGTGCTACACTGCGCTACACTTGTGGTAGTTGGTTCGGTACTCCTAATTTGCACGCAAAACAGTCACAATCATTGAATTTTATTGAGTAATTTCACAAAACTACATGTATTTTGATCAATATATCATAAAACTACAGATTTAAAAATAGGAAAAAGTATGAATTACCTCCCTAAACTATTGCGACAACACGAATTACCCCCCGAACCACAAAATCGGACATATTACACCTCAAACTATTGATACCGGATAAATTACCCCTTGACTCAATCCTGAGCGGTTTTTCTTCTACACGTTGCACCGACGTGAAAATACAATCAGCAAAAAGAAATAAAAGAAAATATAGGACCCACCTGTTAGTACCCCTCTTCCCCCTCCCCTCTCTTCTCTCTCGGGCGTGCGTGAACGGGCAGCGGGCAGGGTCGCGGCGCAGGAGGCGAGGTGGCGGCGAGGTTCTCTCTCCACCTCGTTCCCTCTCTCTTTCTCTGTGGTGCCGTCGGGAGAGCCGAGCAAGGAGGAGGCGGCGGATCCTAACAGGCGGTGGAGGAGGCGAGGCGAGGTGGCGGCGAGGTTGGCTCTGCAAGCGTAGTGGAGGAGGTGAGGCGAGCGTGACGGCGGAGAAGTCGAGGCGGTTCTGCTCGCCGCCGTCTCGAGATCCCTCGGCGACCCTCCCACGACTCTCCCTGCCGGCGCCGTGAACGACCACCGCACTCCTCCCCCGACGAGCGTGTGAGCGGCGACGCCTCTCTCGTTTCCGCCTCCATGCTGGGCGCGCTCGTGCTCCTCCTATATGGCGAGCGTGTGCGCGGATCGCCCGCCGTTGCGAGCTCGCCGTGGAGGCGGCGAGATCGACGACGAGCTCCACTACTTGCCTTGATGCGCCAGAGATGGAGAGGGGGGAGGGGCAAAGAGGAGGGGGGAGAAGAAGAGGATTGGCTGATAGTGGGCCCCACCATATTTATTTGTTATGGCTGACAAGTGGGTCCCATATATTTTTCTTTTGTTTTGGCTGATCAGACTGCCACGTGTGCATCCACGTAGGACCGAAACCACCCTGGATCGATCTAGGAGGGTAATTCGTCCGGTTTGTAAAGTTCAGGATAAAAAAATTAGTATTGAAGTTTAGGGTTAAAAATCGGACGACTGCTATTGTTGAGAGGGGTAATTCGTACTTTTTTTTCTTGAAAATATGTATCACAAAACTATAGATTTTAGATATTATATTAGAAAACTACAGAATTAAAATCAGTTTTATTACAAAACTATAACTTTTGAAACTTTAATATGTTATGGATATAAACTCTAAAATATATAGTTCTTTTATAATTTAATCATTAAATCTGTAGTTTTGTGATACGATACTTTAATTTGTAATTCTAAGATAAATTTGACACTAAATTTGTAGGTCTGTGATACACATATTTAAATATGTATTTTTTATAATAGTTTAATCAAAATATATGTAGTTTTATTATATTTGTTTTCACCTAGTACTCCTACCAGTACGCGATGAACGATTACACCCAGATCTGAGCAGTTCCAAATTGGCCCCTTGAACAGGCTTGCACGTTTTGAGCAGTTGAGCTTTAGGGGACACCGGAACATCACAGTTTGCTGCAGGATGGTTAGATATTTTCAGGGTAAGGACCATTTTGAGCACAGGTAATCGTTATTCTTAATCATTTCATTGTTGGTCATACACTCATAATGGTGTACTCTGGTCCATTTCACATCAAGTGGCTGGGCATTGGCAATCTGGTACATCCATTCTTCCCTTGGGCACTGGTAGAAAGAATCAACCTGCAACATTCAGATCCTTTGTCTGAATGAATGATCTAACTCACTCGTAGGAGTACTAGTTACGACGGGGTAAGTGGCTAGACACGGTGAAACGGCAAAATCGACAAAGGGCCGGGAAGATTATGAACAATATCCTTCGTCAGATGTGAAACAGCACACACAACAGATGAGCCTACAACTGACGCGATAAAAGAGGGATTAATCATAACCCAGCCCAGCAAAAAACCGCGGGACCTTGAGCGGTTGAGGCAGACGAGATCATCCATACCACGCGTGCCGTGCGCTGCGTCCATTCCCGCTGCTCGGCACGGCACGTCACGGCACATCGCTCGCTTATCCGCTCCTCCCGCGCGGCGCGCGGCTCCGCCCGCCTCCCGCTGTTCCCGTGTGCCCAACCACCTGTGGCGCCCGTACGTGGGCGAGTACACCACGCTTCACGCATCAGCTATGTCGGAACAGGCCGCGCGGCCCCCGCGCCATGGATAAGGCAGACGCCCCCACCCAAGCTCACCGGCCCGCGCGGCGCTGCAGCGCGCCAGGTCGTCCGTCTTTATCCGTCCCTTGCCTCGGCAACTTGGTGCGTTTCCCGTCGTTGGCGTCAAGGTAGCCGCAGGTGCGGTAGATATCCGACCAGCGAAGCGCTCCAATCGCCGAACAATCCGGCGGTAACGTTAAATCGTAGTAAGAGGAAGCTCTCACGGAGGAAGTGGTCCTGTCGACCGGGTCACCGGGAGCTCACAGACTCAGCTGATGTAATCGTGGCAGCCGCTTTTTATCACCGTGTTGCAGTACAATACAGTAGTATATACATGGGTGTTTGGGAGAGAGGGGCTAAACTTTAGGTCCCACATACAGGCTCGCCGTGGCATAAACAAAGAGGGAAACGCCCAGGTGTCTCGCCACCAGGCGCGACTCGACACAAGCAGTGATGCAAGCTGCCCCCTGCTTTTCCCCCATCCTCTGCTAGCTGTACTGTGCCGACTTGCCTCATTAGGGAAAGTGAAACAAACCACCTCTGATTAGCCCCAAAGCAACGGAGGCACGAAGGTTTGACTACTACTTTTCAGTATGACTGTATGAGCGAGCCTCCGCCCGCCACCGATAAAACTTCCGTACAAAACCACCCGAGACGCGACGTGGCGGCGGGCATGCAGCACCCGCATCCACGACCCTCCACGTACTGGCCCCGCGCGCCCACGTACCCCCTCGCCTCGCGCCAAAACCACCCACGCTAACCCGATAGCTCGGCAACCAACAAAGGGATGCTACGCAATACCGCCTTGCCTTCCTCCTCTCCCCGCCGAAACCCAACGGCGCTTCTCGCCAAGCCGCGCTTGCTATAAAGGCCACTCGCCACCCACCACACCGGGTGTCACCTCAAAGTACAGTTTCCTCTTTTTTTTTTCTTCGGTGGTGTTGGGAGTGGACAAGGTAGTGTGAGTGAGTAGTGAGCACCATGGCGAGCCGAGAGCACCTCCTGCTCGACCCGGCGGCGCTGGCCGTCTCTTGGGCTGACCCCGCTGCGGTGGAGATCCCGCCCGAGCTCCTCGCCGCGCTGGGTGAGTACCTGTCCGCCAGGCGTAGCGACGGGGAGGCCGAGGCCGACGCCGAGGCGGAGGCTGATGATGAGTTCATGATGTACGAGTTCAAGGTGCGGCGGTGCGCGCGGGCGCGGAGCCACGACTGGACGGCGTGCCCGTACGCGCACCCTGGCGAGGCCGCGAGGCGGCGTGACCCGAGGCGCGTGGCGTACACGGGCGAGCCGTGCCCGGACTTCCGCCGCCGGCCGGGCGCCGCGTGCCCGAGGGGCAGCACGTGCCCGTTCGCGCACGGCACGTTCGAGCTCTGGCTCCACCCGTCGCGCTACCGCACGCGGCCGTGCCGCGCGGGCGTCGCGTGCCGCCGCCGCGTCTGCTTCTTCGCGCACACCGCCGGCGAGCTCCGCGCCGGGTCCAAGGAAGACTCGCCGCTGTCGCTCTCCCCCAAGTCGACCCTGGCCTCCCTCTGGGAGTCGCCGCCGGTGTCGCCGGTGGAGGGGCGGAGGTGGGTGGACGGCATCGATGAATGCGACGCGGACGCGGAGATGGAAGAGTTGATGTTCGCAATGCGGGAGCTCGGCCTCCGGAAGGTGAGGCCGTCGGCATCGTCCGTAACGCCGGTGCTACCGCCGGTGACGGACGAGGACGGGCCGGATTTCGGGTGGGTGTCCGAGCTTGTGATGTAGAAGCACCCGACAAGCTCAAAGACATCATCTCTCTCGGCGGCGACGATTAAGATGCAGAGGCGCCTCGCAGAACAGCTTCATTAATTAAGTTCACTTCAATTCGATGATCATTTCGCAAATTGCATCATTCTTCTGTACATAAACAAATATGGTGCAAGTTAATCTGAACACAGCAATCCGTAACTGTAAGTGTGGCGTGCGTTTGCCTGCCTTTTTTTTTCGAAAATCTTGGGGAGCTAGTAGCACCCTTGCTTTTCGATTATTATTATTATTATCTACCAGTGTAGATATGGAGTGTAATATGCTAATAGCCTCTGCCTGTTTCGTGATATTATCACATTTGATGTACTTAATTATGCTAAATTCGATGCTTTTTTTTATCTATCTTCCTGTGGTTAATCACCAGGTTTCGAGTCATCAGCTGCTTTACTGCATGTCTTGATCGAATTCGATTCGACGGAATACACGATTGGTGCTCGGAGAAGATAGTTCTTCTTGCTTCGGCTTGGCTATCGATAGAGATCTATCAATGTCACCATCGCTGAGTCAGACAAGGTACGAGAAACATTCCCCCTGGCGGTTCCGGTTTTGGAGTAAAAGCGAAGAAATTTGAGATAACCCATATGGTCCCCGGCATAACATAGTACAATGCCATCATAGGCAGGCTTCGCGAAGTTGTCTCGATTCCTATCTCCTGCCAACCAGCTTCCTCCCTACTGAAAAAGAGAACAGGGAGTGCACGGATTCATGTTGCCAGCGTCAATCGTTTTTAATCACTACCTAAAAATATCTTACAAAAATCCACTGTTTAACAGCGTGGCTTCTAAATTCAGATTACACGATTCAGTTGGCGGTTTCAGCTGAATTTCGTTCGGTTTGTGCGTAGTCGTCCGAAAGGACTCATCGACGCGACGCAGGCTGGCCTTTTGCGGCTAAGATCAAGCAAAAGGACCACGGGACGGACGCATGACTAGTCGAAGAGCGCGAGAGCTATCCGATCCGATCAGATCAGATCAGCCTGCGCCGGATAGCCAGCCCAGCCCTGAAAACGAAACGCCGCCGGATTAGGGGAAAAACAACGGGTGCGCCCTTTGGCCCCCTTTGACTCGTACGCCCACGCGCGGCACCACCGGCAACTTGGCGGGCGGGCGCGCGACCGAGGCGGAAGTCCAAGTCGGCAGCCACTTTTTCACCGGATCTCTCGTGGTCTCGCCCACGCGCGACCACGGTTTAGCCACACCAGCTTCGCTTCGGTTGGCTCGCCCCCGGCGCAACGGAGGGGGTGTGTGCGGGTGTGCCGTCGCTTTGCGTGCGGGCACGACGCCGATCCGGTTGCGTTCAGGTGGCGAGTTCCCATTGTTCGGCCACCAAGTTGGGCTGCAACGTGCGTTACCCTTTTCCCGTTTCAACTTCGCTTTGTGCTGTCACGACAAGGCCCTGGTGGTTGGTACAACGGGGGGAGTACTAACTGCTTTGCACTGGATGACATGCGGGGCCTGACCGTCTCTGGAGCTTCTGAAAAGCTGGATTCCTAGCCGGAGGAGCCGCTTTATTATCTGTGGGTGCGATGTTAGAGAGTTCAATCCGCCTCCTTATTGGCTGGCGGAAATATCTTACGGGGGTGCATGCATCCAGGGGAAAAGAGACCGTGGTGGTACCAATACCATCCGACAACGCTTTCGTGATGGCCAACGGTACCATTGTTCAGCCGGGTTGCCGGACTCTTGCTGACACTGACTAGACGTGAGAGACAGTCCAATGGCATGGTTACAGGCCGCCTACAGTTTAGCTCTGTTGCGTAACCAAGGTTTGCGATATGCCAAGACGAGATTAAAACTCCCTGTTTGTGTTTTATGAGATGAGACTAAAATAAAGGACATATGTTATTGTAGATCACGATACAGGCTACTTTCTAAGCTATGAACGTATAGCGCCGTCCGATGGACTGCAAAATTGTTTCATACTCCCTTCGTCCTAAAATATCTTAACCTAAGACGGGATGAGACTTATTCTAGAACTACGTCAGATTCATAGTTCTAGGATGGGATCCCATCCTAGTTTGCTATATTTTGGGACGGAGGGAGTAGTTCTCTTCTGAATGAGAATAATAACATGATTTTTTAATAACTTCTTGGGATGTTATATGTCCAGAAGTGGAGGACGAGGTGCATGTTTGTTTAACGTACAACGTTGATCTATTCAATGACAAAGGTACTATGGTACCGATGAACTGATCAAATCGAAGGAATTAGAAGAAGAGATATACCCCCCTTATCCTGTATGAGTGATAATATACATAAGGTAAATAGAGAACATATTATAGATTCATGTTTAAATCAAATGCCTTAAATTGAAATTAAATGTTCGAACATATGCACTTGCTCTACTTATAGAAAAATAACTTTTCAATTGTCACCTGAAAATTTTCATCCGTCGGTCTCTTTTTACCCGTGAGTGCGTCTTCATCGCATCGATCACTCACGTTTCCTCCCGGCCCATGTCTGTTGCCTCCAATTCTGAGTGACTGAGTCCGCCTCTCTCTCCCTTTTCCCGTGTGGCCGAATCCAGTTCTGGCGTTCCTGCGTGTCGCTGGCTGACCGCCGATCACATAAGAGTCATGCGACCCCGAGAACCACCGCCTCCCCTTGGATCTAGCTGCACCGAGCCCTGGGGCATTAGATCTGGACTAGATCGGCGAGACTACGATGATGGGGGCAACGACGAATGATGACGATGATTTCCACTCCTGATTCGGCTCCGGCCTGAAGAATGACGATGCTCTAGGGACACTGAGGAGACGAGGACTACCCGTAGTAAGATGATGACCAAGAACATTCAACAATTGGATCGTGTCAGCCACGGTGATGGGCTGCTAGACGACGTCTTGCCTGATTCAGGTGGTCAGGGAGAAAACTCGTTCTTCGGCAGCCTGGCCCGGTCGGCAAGTGTTATTCGGCAAGGTATGCAATGCATTGCGAGCTTAGCAATGTTCCTAGTGGTTAGCGCTTAGCAGGTAGTAGACTTGAAATGTGAAACACACCGAAATATGTCATATATTATGCTAACTTTACCTTGGAGTGTTATATACTTTCATAATTTATGTTGTATCTTCCTATTCAGCATCAAAGACTTCAAGATTGGAGTTGGAATTGTCTCTTTAGTAACGTTTCGCTGAATGATATGTTCAAATTATTTAGGAATCATATACACCATGTATATTAAGGAGTGATACACTATTTGTGGTGTGTCGTGGAACCATATACCTATTAATGTCCGAATCTGGCCTTATTTAAGACTTTCATCACGTGGAAATTCTAATAGGCTAGTATCCTGGTGTGCAACGTATCTAGGTGTGTATCTCGTGTAACTATATAAGACCGTGTCTGATTATGTTTTAGTGATTACAACATATGATTTTCTTCTGGTATTTAGGCTGAAGTGACTATGACAATCAGGTTAAAGTGACCGAAACACAATAGCCAACTACTATGCGAGCCAACACTATCTGTTATACAAATACTACATATAAAAGGTATAGCATTTATTTGTTTACACTATGTTTTGTCTGTCATCCCGATTCAAAGTCTGTAATTGGTTCGATAGTTTGACATCTTCCATCATACACTCATCACTGCATTGCTGAATTTTGACAAAAAAATATCCATTGATGAGACTAAACAAAACCCTATATCCCACACTTGCCTCGCAAATCTAACTTGTCCCTACCTATTGCAATCTTCGTTTTTGTTTATTCCGTTGCAACACACGGGCAATTTGTTAGTAGATATGGGATAAATAGAAAACACATTATAGATTCATGTTATAATCAAAAGCCTTAAATTGGACATGTTAAATGCTCGAACATCTTAATTGGACATGTTATAATCAAAAGCCTTAAATCTGCACTTGCTCTTAAAAATAACTTCACGAGGAAACTTGTAGAACTCCATATGACAAAAACATGGTAAACACAACTTTTTATAATGGAAATACTTTATATTTCTTGCCAATGTAGCACACGTAAGGCCAATACATATCCGTAAAAAACAATTGGCATTTGGGACAAATAAGAAAACAAAGTAACTTCATCGTGCAACAGGACCAGTGGCCATTGTTGGGACCCTTGCAATGTTATGCCCAACTTCAAACGCATCATTACTCTGGATCACATTAGTGGATTGGTCAACACCGTATGTATTATAACTTGAGTTGTGGTTTTCACTATTGGCCGCGTAGTCTTTCAGATGTCTATTTTCAAGTTCAATGCACTCTTGCAACATTGCCACCACGCCAGTCATTGTGGGTCGATGTATAGACTCCTGCATGGTGCACTTGAGTGCGATGTCCACAACCTTCCACACACTGTTAATGTCATGGTCTCCATGCATGCGTGCATCCACCACATCCTCGATGTTGCCTCGTGCCAGGTGCTGCTGTACCCATTGGATAATGCTAGTGTTATCTAGGTCCCGTAGTAGGGCTGGCTTCCCTGTGACCAACTCCAACAACACAACACCGAAGCTATAAACATCACTCTTGGTTGTGGGTTGCATTGTCATTAAGTACCTACATGTTTAGCCAATGTAATGCATATTAGTACTTGCACTAGAAAAACAATAGAAAAACTATAAGTGGTATTTGGAAGACCAAATTAAATAAGGTAGATGGGATTACGAACTCTGGATCAACGTATCCAGGTGTGCCAGCAAGTGTGTTTGTGGAAACATGAGTGTCATTGTTGCGATTAAAAGCCTTGGACAAACCGAAATCAGCAATCTTCGCCTCCAACATCGCATTCAATAGAATGTTGGTTGCCTTCACATCCCTATGGATGAGAGGTGGATTGCAACCTTTGTGTAGATACTCTAGCCCTACACATCACGATGTCAATATTCACTTTTTTAGCAAAATCAAGTCTCCAAGAAAAGCAATAGCAGCATTAGGTTTAGCATTACTTGCCTTGAGCAGATTCTAGAGCGATCTGGAGCCGCCGTCTCCAGGGTAAGAATCTTCTCCTGCTGTTTTCTTCTATTGCAGGCAAAGTAAATGAAGTGTATCATATCAACCAAAAGCATTTCAAATGATCTAGAGATAAATAAAAGTAAAATATCAATGGCTTATCATTATCATTATCATTATCATTCTTTTTTTGGGTCAATTTTGGAGCTGTTGTACCATACCATGCACGTAGAATCTAAATATTTTAGGTACTGCAATGTGTTCTTGTAGAGTTCCTTCTGACATGTACTCATAAACAAGTGCCATGTTATCCCCATCCTTGCAGTATCCAATCATGGAAACAAGATTCTTGTGATGAATCCGGGTTAAAATCTGTGCCTAAGTGATCGGTTGCAACTTTCAATTTTCACTCTAGAAAGATCAACAATTAGTCAAAAGAGAACAACATATACCTCTCCAAGGAACTCCTTGTCTCCTTGCTTAGAGTTTTTAAACATCAACTTGACTGCCACTCGAGTGTGATCCTCCAAAAACCCATCATAGACACACCCAAACCCTCCCCTTCCAAGCTCTAGCTGGAAGTTGTCTGTCATCATCTCTAGTTCCCGGTATGTGAACCGACGGTTCTCAAGCTGTAGTGATGAACTATGCATGTGGCCACGATTTTTCGAAGCATACTCTGCCTTCTCATTTTGTGGTTCTGTGGAATTGCTCCTTGGTCCTTGATATGCAAAGGATGCATATGAAATGGGTTAGTTTTGTTTGTGGATATGCTTAGCTATTAATAAACCACATGAGTGATGTATTTGTAGAAAGCCTCACCTAGCCTTTTTCTTTTCAGGTAAAAGAGTATTAGATATATTGGTACTATCACCATAACCAGAACTATGGGAACAACTATGTAGATCACTAACTTGTTGTTCCTTTTCACAAGCTTGCATGAATTGCCATTGGTGTATAAGTTTGGATTATTTCCGTCTCTACCAAAAAATGAAGAGTTTTTAAGTGCATCTTAGTACTTCCCAAGGACCTCAAAGAAGCTCAAAGATAAGATAAATATTTGCACTATGTTTTTGTCGTGGTTGGTGTGTTAATTATTGGGAGACGGGTTGTGCTGACCTTAGATCTAGGGAGCCATCTTGAATTCTTTTGAGAAGTCCAGATGGAATTGATCCACTGAGCTGGTTTCCTGCCAAATCTCTAAACAAAATCATATAGTATTAGTACGAGACAACAAAAGGTGCTATAAAAATTGGAATTAGGCAAATCTTGATGTTTTACTTACAAGACTGACAATAGAGGTAATTGTGAAAGGGCATCTGGAATTGAGCCTGTCAAATTGTTGTTTGACAAATTCCTGCAAAACATGGACCCAGTTTTTCCCCCATATATATTTATGACAGAAATCCCCTCCAAAAAAAGCTTATAAAGAGCTTAGAACATACAAGTATTGGACTCCCTTGAGATTCGCGAAGGAAGACGATATATCACCCCTTAGATCACTTGAGGACAGATTTCTGCATGGAGCAAATATATCTATATCAATTTCATTGTACATTTAATCAGTGCATTCTGCTTTATTTTTTTCTCATTTATCTTTGTGGTGAAGACAAGTCTATATAGATGTGAACTACTTACAGGCTAGTGATTCTTGGACGGATGGAAGTGGAATAGCTGCAGGTCAAACTATCCCAAGCAAGTGTCTTCGGAACACACGGATCACCCATCCAGTTCTTCTTCACCTGATACTTTACCTTGATAGCCATCATGGCAGAGGCTGTTAAATGCGCCCAATGTTTTCAGTAATACACATTAACCATCATCCTGTCGATCTCACTTATTCTTATACTCCTACTAGCTAAATACCTATGTCTTGCTATAGATAAATATGAATTAGTATTGTTGGGAATAAATATTGTGAGGTTTTTAGAACAACTCATCCCTGAGGATGTCTTTGCACAATAAACTTGTATTTTAGAGATAAATAACATATAACCATAATATGCAGAAAGACGATTTTGTAATTTGAAAGTACATCAAGGAGTGGTTTGTAAAAGATATATAAAAGAGTTGGTGAGGTGTAGCTGGTAAAACTATATAAAACAATATGTGGTGTGGCAAATCCGCTGACACCACCATTACATTCTTTTAGGGCATCTCTAGCGTGAAGTTGTGTCGACGCGTGCATGCGGCAAAAAAGAAAAAAACCCGAACCAAATACACCGTGAGATGTGGCTGCTATTTGTTAGAGAGGAAACTCTCAGTCGAGGAGTCGATTTAGCCGATTAAAAAAGCCATTTCTTCATCAGTTTGCATGAGGAAGAAATGATATGGCTGATTTTACGTGGTCCTGGCAAATCGATGCTAACGCTAGAACTACCGAACCAATTTGAACTTCGTTTCTATTAGCGGTGCATATCGAACTTAGGACTGGAGATGACCTTAGAAGAAAACAGCAGCAGAGCCGAGGCCTGGCCACAATGGGCAGGTGCATGGACTCCCGGGAAGGTGCATGGACTCTGTTGCATGCAACTGGTTGAATACTACTCCCCCCGTTTCACAATGTAAGTCATTGTAGCATTTCCCACATTCATATTGATGTTAATGAATCTAGATGCGCATGACTTACATTGTGAAACGGAGGAAGTACTAAGTACTCCTTAGTTGTTTACCAAATTAGCTAATCAAAACCATATACAAACTAATGAAAACCATATTAGCCAGCAAACTAGAAAAGTATAAGCCTCACTACACCACATATGTTCATGTCAATAGTAAATAATTTATAGAGATATATGAACTAGAAAGGTGGCTCGCGCCTATGTGCGAGCATTTATATTGTTGAAAGGTAACATTTTAGTTTGTTCAGAGATTGTCTAATAGATAGCATACTAAAGGGGATCTATTTTTTTAACATATCTCAAAAACCATTCATCGACTTTTGAATAGAAGATGAATTAAGTTCATACAACTTTTGTATCGAGTAAATATTAAACAACCGCAAGCTAATTATCATGCATACCATTTTGTGCACATACCATGTAAATATGGCTACAAACAAAAATTACGAGATCAGCAAACTCAAAGTTTTTGTGATTAAATCGCCTCATGAAGGCACGTGTGACAAACAAATTAAAGATAGATTAAAAGTTGGATTTTTCCCTCTATATAAATTCAACAATATTTTCTCCATAGTTTTATATAACTTTAAAGGGTTTTGGTGCACACAAACACCTACACAATTGCTTAGCTTGGTAGTGCAAAATATCAGTTTGAAGTTAATTTCTTCTTTTTCGCATGTTAGGTTATTTTGTTTGAAACAATATTTATTTGAAATAAAACCATAACTATATAAATTTAATTAGTATGTGCAGTTTACTCATAAATTTTGAAGTGTTTTATAGTAAAGTTTATTTCTACCATGTAATACGGTTATATAAGAATATAGTTTTGTCATGCATGTAAATTATAATCATTAAATTCAATATGATTTATGTCACCATAATGAATGAAACTTTGTAAATGCAACCATGACTACTTAACAAAAGAAATTTTTTTGCCTATTTTTTTAAAATTCAAATAAGCACATATTCATAATCAAAGAAACACTCTTCGTACAACTGACACATCATAGCATCACTCGGTCATATATAGATGTAAACTATTTGTCATTAGTTTCGGCCCGCTCATTGCTCGGTGGTATCCTCTATTCACCCATCATCTTGTGATAGTCCTATAGACCATATTTTATCAAAATTTATCTACTTATTTATTTTACATAAGGGGCAACGCCATGCTTCTACTCCCTCGTGTATAGGGCGCAACGTCCAAAATTCTTTTTCCCAAAGCATGTTCTTAATTAACACATGTAAATAGGTTATTGCATGTGTGATATATATATGTATGCGACACATGTTTTTTTTCTAGCTTCACCCCGTTTATATACGTGTAGAGAGAAATTAATTATATTAAACTCGCGGTGCTTGATTCTTCTTCTTGCTACATTACATCTTTGATTTGTTTTTAAGTTACTAAAAAAACAATAACTATCCATTGATGATTTGATACATCTTCGCCTCGGCAAAAGCAGTAGCGTTGTAGACTTGCAGTGGTCATGATCACCTTAGCTGCCTTAGGTATGACATTTCATCATACGTCTCGACGGCAAAGATACACATGTGCATTGTGCAGATGTCCAGAGAGAGGTCTTCCAAGACTTTTTTTTAAACAAAAGATAGATCTAATGGTCTAAATAGTAGGTCCATTGGTTTATGTGAAAATCGATGGATAAATATTCTTATTAAAAATATTTTAAAATAATAGGTACATAATATAATATAATGGTGTAAAGTTTATTTTCAAATATTGTAGAGCTAATTCATTTATTTCTACATGTAAAGAGTTATATGCTGATATATTCTATGTTTGTAAAGTAACTTTTATTTAAAATTTATTATCACTAATTGTTGTTGTTGTTGTTGTTGTTGTTGTTGTTGTTGTTGTTGTTGTTGTTGTTGTTGTTGTTGTTATCTCAACTATATATCAACTAATTAAAATATTCGTAACTTTTCGATCGTCTCCTCATCCGTCAATGCACTCATTTTTCGTCCGTCCACCCCTCCCCCCCTCCAAAAAAAATCCTAGTCGTTCCGCAACGTTCGAGATGAGAGTCGAAGACCAAAAGAAAATCATCTAGAGTCCGCATCAACAACCAAATGCCCGAGCGATCTAGCGAAAATTTATCACAGACATAGATACAAAATCCAATAGGACAATCAAGCGAAATAGGAAAAATAAAATAAAAACGTCGCTGAAGCCGCTCACACCGTCATCGCCATCGGATCCGGCGCGGGAAGCCACCACCACCGTCGGATCCGACGCGGGAAGCCGGCGCCACCGGCATCGTCGTCGCCGTCAAATCCACCGCGGGAAGCTACCGCACTCCACCCCTCTCTCTTCTTTTCCGCTCGCGAATGGAGTTGTGCCTTCGTTGTCTTCGTGCCGTGTCGGCGAGATAGGAGGGAGAGGAAGAGAGGGACTGGCGACGCCGGTGAGGGGAGGAGGAGAGGGGGCGGCGGAGGAGGAGCGGCGCCACTGGTCGGGAGAGGGGAGGGGAGGGGGAGAGGCGCTGCCAGGAGGGGAGGAGCTAACGGTGGGGGGATGGGAGGGGAAGGTGTGATTAGGGTTAGGGTTTTGATGGATTTAGAATCGATCCAAGCCGTCCATCAAACCGAATGGCTCATATAGATCCCGTGTCGAGCCGGCCTCCATATCGGGCCGCAACACTACTGGGCCATGCACGCTTCATAGTCCGGGCGCGCAATAGCAGGCCGATAGGGTCTAATGGGCCTTTTTCCCCTTTTTTTACAACTTTTTTTTTATTTCTAAGGATATATTTTTTTGAAGGGCTCATATCATGAAAAACTAAATCCTAATCATCTAATATTTTTTTAGTTTACCCGTTGCAACACACAGGCATCTTTTCTAGTATATAAAAAAAATATAAAGGTTGTGTACTAACGTATGCACGTACCTATGGAACATAATGGATGGAGAGGTGGAATTGTAGTCGCCTTTTGGTTTGTTTTAAGATTAATCTAATCTAACGGTTTATAATATTAGACCCGATTTAAGTGAAAGATCGAGGGATATATTTTTTCTCAGATTATTTTTTAATTTTCTCCAATTAATTAAAGCGTCACGTGACGGCGTGAGAGTGTTCAGAGAAAATTTGATGGACTTTTAGTATTAGATTAGCGTGTATCTATTATTATTAAGTTTGCTCGAAAATTTAATGATCCGTCACTGAAAGAGTACATATATGTGCACGTACCGTCCTCGGAATCCGTGGCGACATTGATTGTGGGCATTACGGAGAACACCTCGATGGCGTTGATGATCGGTGGCAGCGTCGAGTTGGAGGTGGCGTTGATGGAGATGTTGTACTCGGGGTATCGTAGGAAGGGTTTTTTCTCGTAGATTAAGTCAGCATAGAGGTACAACGGCGTGTAGCTCTCATTATACACCAACCTGCCGTTGAGGTTGATGTAGAACTGGCGCAAGGCGTTGCTGGGGAGGAGCTGCACCTCCGTGAAGTAGAAGTTGGCGATGTACCCCGGCGTCGGATCCTTCGGCTGCGTGTAGGCATCCCAAGCGAACTCAATGTTACCAGAGGCGTTCCGCGGCGTAATCGCCGTCTGCATCACCCGCGACGGCGCCTCGAATATGTCATTTTCTATGTTTTGCACCATCGTCGTCGTTGATATCACGGTCCAGTCGAAGGGATTGATCCAAGGCACCCATTCTCTGTCGTGTGGATCGTCGGGGTACCTAGTCACAATCGAATCAGTACGTTGATTCACTGCACGTATAAGGATTCAGCATCTTGGGTTGACTATTTATCTGATCAACTCAGATCGATACCTACTTTTTTTTAAAAAAAACACTCAGATCGATACCTGATGATTTCGGTATTACTAGTCGGGCCAAAGTTCCAGCGACCGAACAAGGACAGGCCCTGCGTCTCGGTCACCTGCGGGTAGAGCGTGCTCTTGAGAGGCCTCAGGTCCAAGCCGGAGATGAACGGTGTCCCGGTGCCGGTGTTCACCAGGCAGACCTGCACGAAGTCATCCGGCACGACGACGATGGCCTCCTCCAGCGCCGCACCGTCGAGCCCCGTGATGTTCACCATCGTCAAGAAGTTGACGCCGATGTAGAGGTCAAATACGGGGGGCTTCTTGAGGCCGTCGTAGTTGCCGTACACGAAGGCGGCGCGGATGAGGTACTTGAGCCCGGCCGTCAACGACCGGAGCGTGTAGCAGTTGCGCTCGCCGTCTGGGAAGCTGCGCAGGTTGTAGTTCCGTCTGGAGATTAACGGTGTCATGAATTCGACCGAGATGTTGTGGTTTGTGCCCGCGTCGGTGAAGCCGTCGTCCGGGACATAGGACAGGTTGGTCTTGTCGTCCAGGTAGCCTGTCTTCCCTTCAAGGCCACAGTCTATGCTGATGAAACCTGCAATGCAAACTCTGAGCTATGAATAATGCTCATCAAATCGTCATTCGCTAGCTTGCCTATCTAAACTGTGCACATGTGCGAGCGTGCAGATCAAGAGGGCGGACGAAGAGTGGAGCATATACCTTTGAGGTCAGGCTGCGCACTAGTTTGAAGTACGCCGGCGTCGGCCACGGCAAGGCAGAGGATAAACAACCATGATCGCGCGGCCATTGCTCTCGCTGTTGATTGCTCCAAAGAGCATCCGAGCAAGCATGCAGCTAGCTACTACTACTACTAGAGATCATATACATAATAAGACTATAGGTGCCCCAATCATATATAGCCAGCCTTTAACTAAACAAGCAACAGAGATAATTTGGGGGATAGCACGATCCTGTTTGGCCGCCTCTTTGTGGGACCGCGACGCCATGCCAACTAAGAGAGGAATAGTCAGCGAGTTGACAACAATGAGAGCTGAGTTAATCGTCAGCGAGTTGACAACGATGACAGCTCGTCAGCTGCTAGCCACTTCGCTATATAATTCTTTTGAAAGATCTCTGTCCATGGTATAGTGGAATGTATATTCTTCTCGTTTCCTCTCCATTTTTGAGGCGAAGCATATAATGTAGCAGTAGTACACAAGAAGAAGGTGTCACATAGTGATATTAATTGTTCCAGGAAAAGTGATGTTCGTGCCTTCGTGGATTGTATACTTTAGAACGTATATAGGCATAACAAGGTACTGCTGCCCCACTAATCAAGGCAGTGGAATGAACTAAGCATATTAACATTACAAGGTTGACATTTTCTTAATGAACCCGCAAAAATAATGATGAACAACCCTATTTAAAATTACTCTTATTTTGAAGATCCCGTTAGAGTTACAACAATTAATTAAAAATGAGTACAGGGGCAGGGAATGTGGACATGTGGTCACAAAAAAAAAATGGCCATAAAAGAAGGGGAGAAGAAAGAAATCGAGGAAAATAGAACAGAGAAATTCAAAGGATAGAAGGAATAAAAAAGAGTAAGCGTTGCAAGCTGTTGTGACAAGTATTTAACAACTGGCATAAACATCCCTACAATTATTTAAAATTTTACTATATCCATCTCTGATGTCTTCTTTTGTGCATTGAAATACCAAGTGTAAATATACTCTCCATATAACTCAATAAAGTCACAGTTCATATACGCCACAAATTTCATAGTTTCCCCGTTATTCAGAATATTGCATATTAGTCTACTATGTAAACACAAATTGGGAGTATGTTCTAACCCAAATTTTGGCATTATGCATCAAAGTGGCCTAGGTTGCACTAGGTTGGCATATATGATATAAATTCTGTGAAACCACGAGATATAGCACGAACATATGTTGGAGTTGACTTGTAGGCACTATTTATGAGCAACATAAATAAAGCTATTTACTTCCTCCGTTTCACGATGTAAGTCATTTTAGTATTTTCTACATTCATATTTATGCTAATAAATCTAGATAGATATATATATGTCTAGATTCATTAGTATCAATATGAATGTGGGAAATGCTAGAATGACTTACATTGTGAAACGGAGGGAGTAGTTGCTATCATTTTGGTATATTTGACTGAGTCTTAATAAAGCTTTCATTATTAAAAAAAATTATGAGCAACATGCATGCATGTCCACTTATTTTTCACAAACCTTCAACTTAACACAATAACAGCCTGATCATTTGTACATTTTGTACTTCCTCAGGCCAAATAATAAGACCATCATTGAAGACCACACGTACAAATCAATGTAGTAAGAACCCATAGAAATGGGTAAAGCAGGCTTCTTGTCGTGCAACAGGACCAATGTCCCTAGTTGGCACTACCCTAAGATTATGCTTCATCCCAAAATAGTGTTGCCCTAGCTCATCTCAGTGGTATATGTGTTATAACTCGAGTTTGGGTCTATGCTGCTCCCTGACATATAACTGCTACTCGTGTCGCCTTTAAAGCTGGTTTCCTCAAGCTCTAGACACTCTTTTAGCTGTGTCACCACGTCAGTCATTGTGGGTCGCTGCCCAGGAGCATGTGCAGTGCATTTCAGAGCCACATCTGCTACCTTCCAGATACAGTTGATGTCATAGCGGTCGTCTGGCATGTTTACATCCACCACACCCTCGATGTTGCCTCGCGCTAGGCGTTGCCGGGTCCATTGGATGATAGTAGTAGGTTCCGGGAGCTTTATAATGGGCGGCTGTCCTGTGATCACCTCTAGCAACACCACACCGAAGCTGTATACGTCAATCTTCTCTGAAACTTGTAGGGCTGTGGCATACCTGTGCCATGACAAAACATATCACTATGAAGTGTACTATTTGGTCAATAATCATCAAGGCAACTAGAACGTGGTAATATGCATAGTAAGATCAGCATACTCGGGTGCAAGGTAGCCATATGTGCCAACCACCCTGACTGTGGATACATGTGTGTCACCGTCGCATTTAAAAGCCGTTGTCAGGCCAAAATCGGCAACCTTGGCCTCAAGATTTGCATTCAGCAAGATGTTCGATGACTTCACATCCCTATGCACGAAGCGTGGGCTGCATGCCTTGTGTAGATACTCTAGTCCTGTGAGCAACATTTTTGCAAAGGGAAAAAGGGTATTCTTGTTATTTCTCAATATCAGTATGATCCATATACAATAATACTAACATAGAACTATTGTGCTAGAATGTGTACCTTGGGCAGATTCTAATACGATACGGAGCCTTTCCCTCCATGTTAAAGATCTACCTTTGCGATCTTTGCCTGTCGATCAGAAGATCGTAAATGTATTTTTCTTCCAAAGAGAAAATATCATTCATATTGAAATTCGGGAATATGTGTTTTAATTGTTTATGAAAAATGGTTTTCTGTACCTTTTATTGTGCAAAGGCTATGACTTAGTCTCTTTCCTTAGTTAAAAAGAATATACAAATGAAATACTTAGCAAACCTCTAAGCTTATCTTCCAGAGTTCCTTCTGACATGTGCTCGTACACAAGTGCCAAATGTATCTCATCTTTGCAGTAACCGATTAATGCAACAAGATTCTTGTGATGAATTTTCGTTAAAGTCTGAGCCTGAACAAGGAAAAAAAAGATCACCTTCTAGAGTCGGAAGAAAGTTTTCATCATTCACTTGCAAAATGCTGATGCTTTGCTATGAATTTCTGTATTCACATGTTTGAACTATTCCATAGTATCAGAATATATAATATGCCAATTGTAAAAAGCATTAGTGGGATAACATATTCACTGTCATCATCACTAGATCATTTAAAAGCTGTATAGATATACTATTCTTGATCAAGCATTACCTCTGTCAGGAACTCACTATATCCTTGGCTGGAAGACTCATCCCGTAGTTTAACTGCCACATGAGTACCATCCTTCAAGAAGCCGTCGTAGACGGGGCCAAACCCTCCTTTGCCAAGGACTCGCTGGAAGTTGTTCGTTATGACTGCCAAGTCCTTGTACGTGAACTGACGGTTGTGCAGTTCCAGCAGGCTCCCTCCACTGCCATTCTGACTGTGTGACTGCACGCCATTCCCCAAAATCTGTGGCTTCACAGCACCCTTTGCTGTCCAGGCAAAATGAAACCAGTATTATCGACTGTTAATTGCATTTACATGTAGGAAGTTGATTAGTACTACTTGATTATTGATGCGCTTTAATGCCAAAGCTCACATTTGTTCTTCTTCTTCCTGATGAAGAAAATCAGGAACACTGCAACTGCTCCTATCACCACTACTGGAACAGCAACATAGACGGCAAGCATAGAGTTGCTCTTCTTTTGTGGGAGCTGGCATGAACTGCTGTTACTGCAAAGGTTTGGATTATTGCCGTACCTATCAAAAAGAAGAGATGGTGAACATTTGTTTTTTGAATGATGGTTTAACAATTTTGATCAAGTGCAAAAGAAATATTGGAAAAACCTTAGGGTCAAGGAGCCATCTTGACTTCTTTTCAGAAGACTAGAAGGAATTGATCCATTAAGCTGGTTTCCTGTCAAATCTCTGGATCACATATACATAACGTTGAAGTCAATATTTGATTTTCACAGGCACATGCTTACTCAAAATTTATGAACTTACAGAACATCGAGATTTTAGAGTGGTGATTATGACTTATGGCAATAAAATTGTATGACTAAATTATTAGAGAAAGATGTCAACATGGATCGGACTGCTTACAGAACCGCGAGAAATTGTAGCTGTGAAATGACATTAGGAATTGATCCTGTCAAGTTATTGTGTGACAAGTCCCTGAAATAAAATATAGGCGCATATAAAGTGCAAATTTAACTCCAAAATCATTGTAAAAATGGATTAAAAACTTCTTACTTACAAATTCTTGATTTCTTTTAGATTGGCGAAATAAGATGATATATCGCCACTTAAACCGGCATACGACATATTTCTGTAGAAATGCACAATGGTTTAGAAAGCAGAGTTTTTGAAATAGCATTGTTTGCGTTTGTGCAGAAACTGAAATGAAACTTACACTCCTGTGATTCTTGGAGGGGTTGAAATGGCATAGCTGCAGGTTAACCCATCCCAAGCCAGTGTCTTTGGAGCGCATGGGTCACCTGTCCAATTCTTGTTCACCTGATACTTGGCCTTGATTGCAGTGATGGCAGAAACTGCATTGTTTCAGTGACAGTGCAAAGGAGCAGTGGAGCACAGTTATCAGATCATTCACAAATCACAAATAAAGACAACTAAATGTACCAATCAACCGATGGCAGAAACTGCATGCATTATCTTTGTTCAGTAACACAGCACAAAGAGGCGCAATTATCAGATCATCACGCACAAAGAAAAATATTTACCATCCTGAGCGTCTGTTGCAAGGTCGGCTGTGGAGATGACGGAGAAAGCCTCCGCGGCGTTGAGTATCGGCGGCAGCGTGGAGCTTCCCGCGGCGTTCAAAGAAAAGTTGTACCGGGTGATGCCCCGGTAGGGTCGATCTCCGTTGTACATGGCGTCGGTGGACAGATAAACCGGCTTGTATGGGGCTTTGGTCCAAATCACGCCATTGATGGTGACGTTGAACTGGCGAACGGCATTGCCGGCCAGGAGCTCCAGCTCGGTGACATACAAGGTAAAAATCGACCTATATTTGTAGAGACACCCAAGGGTTAATTACGAATTCAGCATGCAATTACAATTGAAATTTGAAAAAAAAATTGTCGTTAATTGCTCATTAGGCCGTGAAGTTTGGGACAAATTTAAGAAGTGATTGACTTGTACCCGGGATCAGGGTAGACGTGATTGGGTTTGGTGTCCCAGGAGAACTGGATGGGAATGGAGGAGTTGCGCGTCGTGATGGCCGTCTGCATCACGACGGACGGCACGTCGAACACGGGGGCGATCGTGTTCTGGACCTTGTCCGCCGTGGAGATGTCCGACCACTCCGCCGGCGGGTTGCTCCACGGCCACCACACGCGGTCGTACGTGTCGTCGGGGTACCTGATCACGGTGCTCCCGCTCGCGCCGAAGTTCCTCCGGTCGAGCAGGACCAACCCCTGCGTCGCGTTGGCGGGCGCGTAGAGCGAGCTCGGCAGGGGCCTCAGGTCCAGGCCGGAGATGAACGGCGTCCCGGCGCCGGTGTTCACCAGGCAGACCTGCAAGAAATCATCCGGCACGACGGCGATGACCTCGGCGTTCCCCAGCCAGTCGGCGGATGGCACGGTCACCGTCTGCCAGAAGTTGACCCCGAGGTGGAGGTCGAACACCGGCGGCTTGTTGAGGCCGTCGTAGTTGCCGTACAAGAACTTGGCACGGACCAGGTACTTGGACCCCGGCACGACGGACGGGACCGTGTAGCAGTTGCGCGCGCCGGCGGGGAAGCTGCGCACGTTGTACAGGCTCCTGTCCGTGGTCGTCGTCGGCGTGGCGAACTCCGACGAGACGTTGTGGATTGTGCCGGCGTCGGTGAAGGCGTCGTCGGAGGTGAACTTCAGCTTCGTGGCGTCGTCCACGTAGCTGGTCTTCTCCGGCAAGCCGCAGTCTATGCTGATGAAGCCTGCGCGGTACTCCCGATGCATGAACAGCATGTACACGAGTCCAAAATGCCGGCGAGTTGGCGATCGAAGTTTAAAGCTCACCGGACGTGTCAGGCGCGCCGCCCTGGCCGCGAACGACGCCGGCGACGGCGAGGCCGAGCAGCAGCAGCAGCCACCACCGAGCCGCCATTGTTGGTCGATCCATTCCGCTACGTGCGTTGTGCGCACATGCATGCCACCAACCAGTTGCAATTAGACTTGACATAGTATGTGTTAAACAACAAAGATTGACTCTGAACAAATTCGCTAACTGCATCGGCCAGTGGACAGCTTGGACATCACCGAACACGGTCAAAGTCGCGAAGAAGAACAAATTAAGTAGACAAATGAACGCTGATTAGTGGGGCTCTGCCATTTAATTAACATGGTACAACTGTAGGTAACCATGGCAATCCCTCTGTTCAGTTTGATTTTAGAGTGGACTAAGAAGCCACTTTGTGTAATTTGCACTAATAAACCTTATAGTCAGAAGAAGCAGGAAATCACATGGATGATCCTGTAGTTGACTTTGCTGGGAGTTAGTCAACGACTTAGCTGGAACTCAGGCTCTACTACTCTAGTTTATCACTTCAGCCTTTTTTTTTTCAAAACAACCTCCATACTAGACATTGCAAAGTTTCGTATCTATACAGTAGGAAAAAATATAACGGTCCCATCGTTTCGCTTATACGGCATATTCGCAAACGAAAAGTAGTTTGTGAATAAAACTTTTATATATGTGTTCTTAGCGATCTGAAAGCAAAGGCTGAAAAATAAACTTCGATGAAAAAAACCTCAAAAATCAACTTCAAATTTAAGGTTAAAAATTAAAATTGTGGCTGATAAGTATAAGCATAAGCGAAAAGATGAGATCCTAAGATTATATCCTGTGAGGCTATAATCTAAGAAAATAAAAAAGAAAAACACACCACCCCCCATGCTGGCAACTTATACACACAAATTATTAATACCAGCTAGCCACCGTTGTGCACGATCTGTTGTTGTCAACCCTTCAAAGGGGGGACAAACGCATCGCCCTACTCTTCTCTAAACAAAATATCATCTTCAAGCTTCTGAACATCCCCAAGAAAAAGGTAGTTATGGGAGAGAGTCAGAAAGAAGAGAATCAACTCATCCCTCGCATAACCTGAAGACATCCTAGAGTACCATCGTAGACCAAATCGATTGGAGACTAGAAAGATAGAAAATGTGATCTCCTAGACAATATATGCTTCCATGAAGGTCGTGACGTCGCCACGTCGCCCGCCCGCCCGCCCACCCGCCCACCCAAGACCTAGACAAGATTTTTACCTGGAGGATCCCACCATGAAGGGAGAGATGGATGTTTCTCAGCAATGCCCCATGGGGGAAATGAGGCACCCAAATTAAGGCATTGCGACCACCCTAACATCGTAACCCCATGTTCTCCCGCTATCCAACCTGCACCAACAATGTGCCCTGTCGCATGTAACGCCCCGATTTTCGTTCGGGTTTAAAAATCATTAAATAATGCATTTTCTAGAAATTAAATAAAAGTTAAATCAATTTAATCAAGTAAAATAATGGGAGAATTAAAATTTTCCCTTAAAAATCATTGGCCGGGAATATTTTGTAATATTCTTTGTGCCCTAATGTACTCTCCGGAATTTTCCGTGAATTTTCGGAGCTCGAGAAATAGTTTTAAAGTCACGAAGATCATTTAATCAATTAAAATAAAAAGAGAACAAATAAAATCCTCCTTCATCTCTTTGGGCCATTTTCGGCCCAAATTCCTCCCCCTCCTTCCTCTCCCGCGGCCCGCGCGCCTCCTCCCTCTCTCGGGCCGGCTCCCTTCTTCCTTGGCCCGCTCGCAAAAGTCTGTTTTGCGTCCCTCCTTCTCTCCCTTCGCCGACAGGTGGGACCGGCGGTCCCACCCGTCAGCTCCTCCTCCTACCTCTCGCCGGCCGACGCCAACCGCCATAGCCGTCCACGTCGCCGCAAAATCCGGCGCCCTCCCGCACCCGAGCTCGCATCCAACGACGTGGGCACGATCCCCTCCACGTCCTCCACCATTTCCCCCACTCTCCCCGCGAAAATCGGCGCCGGTTAACCCCTCCACCACCCCACGTCGGCGCCCCACTTCGCCGGCCGATTCCGCCACGTCCGGCCTCGATCCCGCCTCCCCTCCCCTATAAAAACAATCCCCGGCCTCCCCTCATCCATTTCCCCCATTTTCCCCAAGCCGCCGCGCCCTCTACCGAGCTCTCCACGCCGATCCCCTTCGCCGCCGCTCGCCAGCGATCTCCAGCCGCCCGCCACCGCCGCTCCCGTCGCTGCCGCGCTGTGCCGCCGCCACCTATAGCATCACAGCACCCCACCGCACCCCGGCATCCACTCCATCTCCCTCCTCCACCGCCGGAACCACCTTCCCATCGCGAGGCCGAGCCACTACCGCCACACACCGCCTTCAGCCGGCCGCTGCCGCCACGTTAGTCGTCGCCGCACCTCGCCGCTTGCGCCGTCGGCAACGCCGTGCCAAGCTCTACCCCGGCCCCTACTCCATCTCCCCTCTCCGCCTCCGGAAAATCGCCGCCTCGCGCACCACCTCTCTCGCGCTGCCGCCATCTCGCCTCCCTCCGTCGGCCGCCTCTTGCCGCCATCCCCATCTACCTCACGCCGCGCCACCGCCTCCACCGCATTCGCTGCATCCCACCGTCCCTCGGCCGTGGCTCCGCCGTGGTCGGGCGTCATCGGAACGCCGTTCTCGTCGCCTCCCGTGCCGACCGCCGCCATCCTTTCCGCCGCCGGTCGCCTCTCCGTGGTCGTCTCGCCGTCGCCGCCCTCGGTGAGCACTCCTCTCCCCTCCCTCTTTCTCCCCTTGGCCGGCCGCCTCCCGTGCTTGCGCGCGCCGTGTGCCGCCGCCGGTGGCCGCCCAGCCCGTGTGCCGCCGTCGCTTCGGTCCCGGCCGCCGCCGCCGCCCGCTTTGTGTGAGCGCTGGCCGGGCCGCGCCACCCGGCTGTCCCCAAGCCGTCCGATCGGCCTTGGCCGATCTGGGCCGTCCACGTGGTGGACGCGCGCCCGAGGTCGCGGTGGACGCGGTCCACCGTGTGCCCTCCCCCTTTGACTCGCTGACGTGTGGGGCCCGCGTGTCGGCGCCGGCCGCCCCTTGCTGACGTCAGCAAGGACCATTTCCTTTGTAAAAATAAATAATAATTGCGCAATAAATCGAGTTTAATTCTAGAAATTCATTTAAATGGCTCAAAACTTCTAAAATTCATATCTAATTCATTCGAACTCCGAATTGAGCCATTCAAATTGCAAAATTCATCTAAAATTGAGCTCTACATGTTTGTTTACTTTTTATGTACTGTTTCTTTGGTTTTTATTAGAGTTTTTCCTCGTTTTGCGTGCCAGCGTGTAGTTTCCGTCGTTTCGGAAGTCCGCGGTCGCGAGGAAAAGAGTTCGGGAGATCAAAGTGGAGAAGCAAGGCAAGTCACACATTCCCCTTGAGCATTTTGATCCTAATTTACAAATGTTTTACTGTTTGCAAACAAATATGCATGTTTTGCTAATTACATGGGGTCAGGGTTTTACCTATCTGCTCGCTTGTGCCATGTTTACTTGATATCTGTTCTTTGTCAACCTTGGGTAATGAATCGACTAGCTCATGTTACTTATGTGACCTAGCTAGAACTATATGCTTAGCCATGCTTAATTACCACTAGCTCAGTTGATGGGATAATTGCAGTATTAGACATTCTAGTATCTTGATGAGCTGCGTGCTCGAGACATCTGGCCATGCTTCATGGTCGTAATTATCCAACTAAAATGCAACTGAATGGTGGGCTGTGGGTGCATGGTTTTGCTAGTCGCACCCATGGCAATTAAGGACCGGTTCGCGGGATGCCCTGGAAGAACTTATCGTACTTACCACAAGCCAGCGTGGGCAACGGCTGGGCTTGTAGTGTAGCTTTCCTCTAGCCGACGCATCCAGGCAAGGGTGGGCGTGATGGAGTTTGGATGGGCCCTGCGACGGCCTATGCGGCTTCCGGATTCACCTAGGCACGAGAGGGGACTGCCCGCTGCCTTGCGAGGAGTGGGGGTGAAACCTGAGGTGTGGTGTGCTTGGTTAGAGGGGGTTATGCGAAGGGTCCTGTCACGGCCTCTTTCCGGTATGTCGTGGTGGCATGTCGGCGCACGGAAACGTGTCGTGGGGCTGTGTCTTGTGGGTACAGTTGTACACCTCTGATCAGAGTAAAACTATTCGAATAGCCGTGCCCGCGGTTATGGGCGGTCGACCAGATTCACCGTGATTAGTCCCACCTTAATAAATCGACCCAATGCACTGTAGTTCAGGTGGGTTGGTTGGGCCTGTTCAACGTGGTGTAGCGTTGATCAGTGGAGATTCAATATTACTTTAATTACTCAACTGTTTTACTGTTTCGCTCAATAAAATGTTTTACAACCGCCTTTATGCAAATAGCCACAAACCGTCCTTGTGTTCCCCTTGCACGTCTGCATCGTTGGTGTGGCTTGCTGAGTACGGTGGTTGTACTCAGCCTTGCTATTATTCCCCCTTTTCAGAAGTGTAGTGCTTCTGAGCTGAAGATGGAGTTAGAGGACCAAGGCTCAGACCCCAGTTGAGTTTTGCCTGTGGAGTGGAGCTGAAGCCCCGCTAGGATCGCCTTTTTCCGCTGCTGCTGCTTTTGTTTCGGTGTGAGGACTAAGTGCCTCTTCTGTAAGTATTTTACGCGTTATTTACGTTTGGAACTGTTTATTACTTGTCGTTTTGTGTACCCTGGCTGGTCCTGGACAGGGATTTAATACACAAAATAGTCTGGAAATTTGGGCTAAATTTCTGGGCGTGACATCGCACCACCATACGCCTCTTTGTCAGCCACCCCCTCCCCCCCCCCCGGGCCACCTTCAACACTTCACCTCTGCACAACGACATCTCACGACCTAGCATAGCTCGACCATCACACTAGTCAGAACTCAAAAGGGCTAGATCCCCCTCCGACCCCTCTCGCACATGGGACCACTACTCCACTCGTCATGGAGTTCCCCACGACTGGATCTGGAAGCATACCAACCCTAGTAAGGGATGGGCTCCTTAAAGAAGTCAAAGGCTGGCTAGAAAGTTCTTGTTCAATAATTGAGCATTCATCCTTTTATAACTCTATTGAAGGAAAATATTAGCATTTTCACTTCAAGTACATGCACATAGAGTTCTGTCAAATGGATCTTACTTTTGTGTTCTCCCTTAGGCCTTATTCGGTTAATCCCACCAACAAGGGGATTGAGGGGGGGCACACCTCAATACATGTGGAATTATTCCTCATCAATCTCTTTTAATCCATATCTCATGGGGATTACCGAACAAGGTCTTAGGAAGGTATACAATGTGTGACTCCATCCACCTGAAATCCACCCAAAGGAATTTTTTTTAATAACAGCTAAATGTACCGCAAATAGACAGGTGGTAGACTACCAATAGAAGATGAGTAAAGTCACTAGATTATAGTCCATCTTGGCGAATAAAGTTAGCTTCAGTTCCATCGAAACTAAACCCTTCAGGAAAAAAAATGCATGCAAATTGTGGTATGCTAGCCTACTAAGCTATGCAGATTCCATAAATTTTGGCATCCCAACACTAGGCTTATGAGTTTATTTCCAACATCAAAGCAAAGAGCATTTAGAAAAAATAGAAAATGTGGATTCTGGTTACTACAAAACATCATGAATGAACAGATAAATTGGTGTTTCTCTTCCTAAAGAATAGTACAGGACAATAATGCCACTCAAAGAAGAGACAAGTATATGAATTCTGAGTTCATAACCGAAAGGGTTTATACTGAGGATCTTGAGTTTTTGAAATTAATTTGTACATTTGCATTTACTTTGGTAAAACAACATTGTTAAAACTTCCATGAAGATCTTTCCCAGAAAATGACAGCATTCAGATCAGATGGGCAAAATGATTTATCGTGCAGCTGGACCGGTGGCCGTTGATGGCATCCTTCCAAAATTACGCTCCGTCTCAAATGCAGCGCTGTTCTGACTTACATCAATAGAGTGGTCAGTGGCATACATGTCATAACTTGAGTTAGAGTTGCTGTTATTGTCGGTATAGAAATTGTTGTTCGCATTGCTGATGGCACAACGCCCCTCCTCGAGCTCGAGGCACTCTTGCAGTTGTGCCACCACATCGGTCATAGTGGGCCGTTGTGCCGATACTTGTGTGGTACACTTGAGTGCGATGTCCGTAGCCTTCCATACACCATTTACATCATGGTCACCATGCATACGTGCATCCACCACTCCCTCAATATTACCCTGTGCTAGGCGCTGTTGCGCCCAATGAATGATACTTATGGGCTCTGGATCACGTAGGACAGCCGGCTTCCCTGTGACCAGCTCCAATAGGACAACACCAAAGCTATAGACGTCACTCTTGGTCGTTGGTTGCATTGTTGCCTGGTACCTGCACATTCAATTAGTTCCACAAGCCTTAAACTTTGTGTTTCTCACATAAAACACTAAATAACAACATCAAGAAATACATATGGATTAACATACTCTGGATCCACGTATCCAGGTGTGCCAACAAGCGTGTTCGTAGATACATGTGTGCCATTCTCAAGATTGAACGTCTTGGATAAGCCAAAATCAGCAATCTTAGCCTCTAGCTTCGCATTCAATAGAATGTTGGTAGCCTTCACATCTCTGTGAATAAGAGGCGGATTGCACCACTTGTGTAGGTACTCTAGCCCTGACCATTAACCAGGAAATTTAATTACTGATCAACCTTCTAGAGAAAATGTAAAATCAAACCTCACGAAACAGTATTACAATTTTAAAGTAGTTACCTTGAGCGGATTCCAGCGCGATTCGAAGCCTCTCTCTCCAGGTTAAGTATCTCCCGTTGTTTCTTTTACCTGCAAATAGGAAGAGAACACAGAAGGGGGAGATATCATGAGGACTATCAAATGAGCCACTAGATGAAGTTTTACAATGTACCCTGCGAATTGATCGGGAACAACAACTTAAGTACATACCTGAAATATGTTCTCGAAGGGTTCCTTCTGACATGTACTCATAGACAAGTGCCATGTATTTCCCATCCTTGCAATAACCGATCATAGATACAAGGCTCTTGTGGTGAATCCGAGTTAAAATCTGAGCCTAGACAAGCAAAACTTGACTAATTAATCATACTTTTCTTAGTAGAATCTTTATGTAGCAAGATCAAATTCAACCGAAGAAATTCTACCTCTGCGAGAAATTCCTTATCCCCTTGGTTGGAAGATTCAGACCTTAATTTGACTGCCACTTGAGTGCCATCTTCCAAGAAGCCATCGTAGACCTTCCCAAACCCTCCTTCGCCGAGCACTCGCTGAAAGTTGTTTGTTATCTTCTCTAAATCATTGTAAGTAAACCGTCGGTTCTCAAGCTGCATTGATGAGCCATGCCCATGGCTGCCATTTGTCGGCACATAGCTCGCTGTCTCATTCTGCGGCTTTACGGAAGTGTTCATTGATCCTTCATAAGCGAAGAATGGAACTACTAGCATCAGAAATGTTCAAGGACAGAGAAATAGAGTTGATAATTGCTATGTTTGTAACAAGCCTCACCTTGCTTCTTTTTTCGTCCCAGAAGGCAAAAGAGCAGTATTGTGACTGATACTATCACCAAAACCAGAACTACAGGAACAGCTACATAGATGGCAAGCTTGCTCTTGTGTTTTGCTGGCTGACATGAATTGTCGTTGGTGCAGAGGTTTGGGTTATTTCCGTATCTGTTGATGGAATGAAGATGTTTAGCCAAATCAGTCTATTTTGTCAAATTGACTGAATTTGGACATTCAAAGATTACTAAGAGAAGAGTGGGGGTGTACTTAATTACTTTATATTTAGGGTACCATCTTGAATTCTTTTGAGAAGTCCAGATGGAATTGAACCATTGAGTTGATTTCCTGTCAAATCTCTAAAGAAGCCATATGCCCATAAATTATATACATATGTCAGTTACAAATGATGCTAGGCAATAAAGTAAAATTTGACAGGAGTTGCCAAACTTACAATACTGCCAACGAAGGCAACTGTGAAAGTGCATCTGGAATCGAACCTGTCAAATTGTTGTTTGACAGATCCCTGCAAGATATGAAGCAAGTCTTTTAACGCAAAATTCCACAAACGGTCAACAAATTAACATTCTGAACCTCATAACATACAAGTTTTGAAGAGCCTTGAGATTCGCAAAAGCGGACGATATCTCACCACTTAAACCACCGGATGACAGATTTCTGCAAAAGGAATATGATCAGATGACCGCGAGTTCCATACTTCCATAATTCCATTATGCAAGTCCAATATTCAGTACTCCCTCCGTCCTAAAAAAAAACCCACTTAAACACGGATGTGACACAACATAGTACAACGAATCTGGACATGCTCATGTCCAGATTCGTTGTACTATGTAGTGTCATATCCGTGTCTAGTTGGTTTTTTTTGGACGGAGGGAGTACATGTGGACTGAATTACTTACATGTCTGTGATTCTTGCAGGTTTGGAGCTGTCATAGCTGCATGTCAACTTATCCCACGCAAGCGTCTTTGGAACGCACGGATCACCCATCCAGTTCTTCTTCACCTGATACTTTTCCTTGATCACCATCATGGCGGAAGCTGTCAAGTGCACCCATGTTTTCGATCAGTAACACGCACAAACCATCACACCGTACGTTTTACTCTTATGTATTCTACCGTCTGTCTATCTACATACCATCCTGACCATCTGTGCCAACGGTGGCGGTGGAGAAGACGGAGAACACCTCGATGGCGTTGATGATCGGTGGCAGCGTCGAGTTGGCGGTGGCGTTGATGGAGATGTTGTACTGCGGGTATCGTAGGAACGGGTTGCTGTTGAAGATGGCGTCGGCGTAGAGGTACGCCGGCGTGTAGCCCTGGCTAAACACCATGTTGCCGTTGAGGTTGATGTAGAACTGGCGCGTGGCGTTGCTGGAGCGGAGCTGCAGCTCGGAGAAGTGCATGACGGTGATGTACCCCGGCGCCGGGTCCTTGGGCTGCGTGTAGGGTACCCAGGCGAACTCGATGTTGCTCGAGGCGTTGAGCGGCGCAATCGCCGTCTGCATCACCTTCGTCGGCGCGTCGAATACGTCCTCGTCCGTGTGCTGCACCGGCCTCGTCGTCGATACCTCGACCCAATATGATGGCGAGACCCAAGGCATCCATATTCTGTCGTGTGGATCGTCGGGGTACCTGGCCATTAATCGGTTGTGTTCCGTTTGATCAATTCATTGTACCCTCTTGGATTGACTATTTATCATCTTTCTTTTTCAACTGTGTGTGCCCAATGGTAAAGATCAAAGATGTAAACCATTTCTATTATCTAGAAAAAAACTTGGATGAATCTTTTAATTACTCACCTGATGAACTCGGTAGTACTAATTGGGCCAAAGTTCCATCTGCCGAACAAGGACAGGCCCCGCTTGTCGTTCGCCTGCGGGTAGAGCTTCTTCTCGAGAGGCCTGAGGTCCAGCCCGGAGATGAACGGTGTCCCGGTGCCGGTGTTCACGAGGCAAACCTGCACGAAGTCGTCCGGCACGACGACGATGGCCTCCAGGAGCGTCGCGCCGGAGGGGTCCGAGATGTTGACCATCATCCAGAAGTTGACGCCGATGTAGACGTCGAAGATTGGCAGCTTGCTGAGGCCGTCGTAGTTGCCGTACATGAAGGTGGCGCGGATGAGGTACTTGAGGCCGGCCACGAGCGACCGGAGCGTGTAGCAGTTGCGCGCGCCGTCGGGGAAGCTGCGCACGTTGTGGTAGCGCGCCGAGAGCGCCGGCGTGATGTACTCCGCCGAGATGTTGTGGAACGAGCCGCCGTCGGTGAAGCCGTCGTCCGCCGCGTAGGATATCTTGGTCTTGTCGTCCACGTAGCTCGTCTTCCCCGGGAGGCCGCAGTCTACGCTAATGAAACCTGGAGTTCACTTTACATTTAATTAGCAACTGCGAAAGTATGATAGCTTGTGCATATTGATTTCACTGTGAAGCGCTACTTAATGCCCGATGAAAATTTGTGTTTGTACCTTTGCTATCAGGCTGGGCACGAGCTTGGAGCACGCCGGCGGTGGCGGCGGCGACGAGGCATAGTAGAATTAACCACGACCATGCCGCCATTGTTCCCGGCGTTGAACGCCCCATTGCACATGCAGGCGGTGAGCTACTAGAACTGTAATCTCTATGTGACCGTGCTCTAGCTATTTATAGCTAGCCTTTTTTTTTTCGGGCTATGTTCGTTGGTGGGTATTGGGAACCCATCTCCCACGTACTAAAAACGAAACGGTCTAACGTAGGATTAATTAAGTATTGTTTTTTTAAAAAAAATGGATCAATATGATTTTTTAAATAACTTTCGTACATAATTTTTTTTTTGAAAAAACATACCGTTTAGCAGTTTGAAAAGCGTATGTGTGTGCAGAAAATGAGATGGAGGGAGTTGGGAACCTAATTGAAACGAACGCAACCTTAGGCTGTGTTTGAGGGAGAGGTGATTGAGAAGATTGGGAAGATACGTAAAGCGATGTGAGCCATTAACGCATGATTAATTGAGTATTAACTATTTTAAATTTCAAAAATAGACTAATATAATTTTTTAAAGCAACTTTCATATAGAATTTTTTTGCAAAACATATACCGTTTAGTAGTTTGGGAAGCGTGCGCGCGGAAAACGAGTTACAATCTCTCCAATCTCATTTGAAATAACGCAGCCTTATTCCAGTGAATAACCAAGTAATCAAGCTAATAATCTTATTACTATCACTTACTCCAGCTAGTACTACTATTATAGCCTAATGATCATCACAAAGACTCCATCGTGATTAGTTTAACCACGTCAGCACATCTGTCTAGTAACATAGCTTGCCAAGCGCCGTCTTCACACATATATGTGGACTGTCACTGACGAGTGGGCCTTTTCTGACATTTTACTGGCCACCTCTTTGTAGGACCGGCATGTCAATGACCCTGCAAGTCAGCAAGGCTGCAAGCCCGGGAAGAGAGCAAAGACGAGCAGATCACATGGGCACGTAGTTGACTTGGATGGCAGCTGGTCAACTGCTTGGCTGGGGCACGACTCGAGGCCCGAGATCGGTGGCCACTGGCCACGGCCCATAGGCGCTTGACTTGTTCTCTGAACTGGGTACCCCTGATGGGCTATGGATCGCCGTGGAGATAGGGTAGCGATCAGATTCGCTCTCCACCTCCCCCCTCCCTCCCTCAACCTGGTTTTCTTTTTTGGCACCGCGTTACTTTCCTATTTTAGTAAATTTATACACCTAAAGTTTACACATCTAACGTTTAGAGACCAAAAGTTTATAAGTCAAAAGTTTATATATCCGATTCAAATTTGAATTTGAATTCAAATATTTTTTTATATATAGTATTTCTATACATCTAAAGTTTATACACCTAAAGTTTATATAGATCTAAAGTTTATAGACCTAAAGTTTATAAGTCAAAAGTTTATATACCCATTTTAAATTTGAATTTGAATTCAAATATCCGATTCAAATTTGAATTTGAATTGAAATATTTTTCATATATAGTATTTCTATGCATCTAAAGTTTATACACCTAAAAGTTTATAGATCTAAAGTTTATATACCCGATTCAAATTTGAATTTGAATTATATCTTATTCAAATTTGAATTTGAATTCAAATATTTTCTATATATAGTATTTCTATACATCTAAAATTTATAGACCCAAAGTTTATAAGTCAAAAGTTTACATACCCGATTCAAATTTGAATTTGAATTCAAATTTTTTATATATAATATTTCTATACATAAATTTTTCTAACTTTTCGCTGGGCGGGTGGGGGAGCGATCACCCGCCCATTAGCCTTTCCGCTCTGAACTGGAAAACATGCAGATAGAATCATTTGCCATGAAAGATTTAGTTCCTCTTGCTTGTCTGCCTTTTAAAACTTATTTACGTTGTACCTATAATAACATGATAGTCTTATGTACATTCTCATGAGGTTAGAGGTCAGGTTTAATATAATCATTATCTAAAAGAAAGAAAGATTATTATGCAATTGCGAGAATGCGAGGTAGGTAGAAGAGTTTGTTCTCCACTGATTCAACAAAAGCAGTACTACGAAATTGAAAGTCCCCTAGCTAGCAAGATTTCGGTGCAGAAAAGTATAAACTAGTACTCTCTTCGTAGACATACATATAGTTTTATTTAGCAATTTTACAGTTCTTGAGAAGTTTTATATCATGAGATAAAAAAATTAGTGTAAAGTTTGGTACCTCTTGATACCTACCTAGGTACCAAATTTATAATTGAAAAAGTGGTAACTCATGGTACTTTCTAAAGAACTATAAAATTACTCTATTTTTTAAAAAAATGAAAAGAAGTGTTAGAGTACTAAGAAGGAATTTAGCATCCATCATTGATAGAGAATATGTAGTCTAGTACTTGCAGTTATCTGAGTAGCACCCCAAGATCCTGAGTTCAAATCTTCGTAGGAGCGAATTCCGTTCCCAATTTAAAAAAGCTGCATACATCGGTTGGATGTAGATGCCAGCTAAAAAATACTCTTTACAAAACTAGCATGGTGGCCCACGCAGATTGTGCGACTAGTATCATTATATTTTCTCTCATGTAATAACATATATATTTTCTCAATGTATTATTAAAATATATTAAAAGGACAACATAATTTTAAATTCTGTACTAGCTTTACGAAACTACTAATGCGTGTAATATTTATATTGTATTTTATATACGTGTTAGTTATTAATTATTTTTAATATCAAATTTTAGATATCTGTAAATTATATTCCTATATGGACTCTAGACTCGTCTTTCAATTTTTTTTTAATTCCAAATTTTTGTTATCCGTAAATTGTATTTTTATATAGACTATAGGCTCTTCTTCTAATATTATTTATTTTTAATTCTGATTTTTTATTTTTTTTCTAATTGTATTTCTATGTGTACTCTAAACTCATCTTTCATATTCTTTAATTTTTAATTTCGAATCTCAGTTACTTCTAAATTGTATTCCTATATTGACTTTAGATTCTTCTTCCCATATTTTTTTAATTTTGAATTTTAGTTATTTGTAAATTGTATTTTTATACAGTCTCTAAACTCTACTTTTAATTTTATTATGTTTATTCTGAATTTTAGTTAGTTTTAAATTCCTATACGGACTCTGTGCTCTACTTCTAATATTCCTTATTTTTAATTCCGAATTTTTATTATTTCTTAGTTATATTTCTATATCGACTCTATACTCTACTTCTAATATTCCTTATTTTTAATTCTGAATTTCTATTATTTTTTTAATTGTATTTCTGTATGGACTCTATACTCTTCTTCTAATATTCTTTATTTTTTAATTCCGAATTTCAGTTATTTATAAATTGTATTTCTATATGGACTCTAGTCTCCTCTTCCAATATTCCTTTTTGTTAATTCCGAATTTCAACTATTTCTAAATTATATTTCTATATGGACTCTGTTTTTTCTTTTCTCCGATTAATATGAGAATTTCTAGGCTGTGAGAGTGAACGTGGAGGCTCTTTTTTCTATTCCTTTAATAAGTTAATAGATAAAAAAAATATTGATAGAGAAGAAAATGGTGAGAAAACCTAGTTACCTTCAGTTGCATCAAAGCTAAACCGAAAAAAGGCATGCACACAAATTGTGGTAAGCTATGCAGATTCCAAAAGTTTTGGATCCCAGCTCTAAGCAAAGCAGCATTTAGAAATATGGATTCTGGTTACCATAAAAACATGAATGAACAGGTACATTGGTGTTTCTCTTCCTGAAGAATAGTAGGCGACAATAATTCCACTCAAAGAGGAGACAAGTACATGAATTCTGAGTTCCAAACCAAAATCTTGAGTTTTTGAAATTAATTTGTACATTTGTATTTTAATTTGGTAAAACAACATTGTTTAAACCTTCCATAGAGATATCTCCCTGGAAATGGCAGCATTCAGATCAGATGGGCAAAAGAATTTATCGTGTGGCGGGACCGGGGGCTGTTGATGGCATCCTTCCAAAATTTTTCTCCATCTCAAATGCAACACTGTTCTGACTCACATCGATAGAGTGGTCAGCGGCGTATGTGTCATAACTTGAGTTAGGTTTGCTGTTATTGCTGGTGTAGAAGTTGTTGTTTGCATCATTGACGGCACAATGCTCCTCCTCAAGCTCAAGGCACTCTTGTAACTGCGCAACCACGTCAGTCATAGTGGGCCGTCGCGCTGATACCTGCGCGGTACACTTGAATGCGATGTCCGCAACCTTCCATACACCAATTACATCATGGTCGCCACACATACATGCATCCACCACTTCTTCGATATTACCCTGTGCTAGGCGTTGTTGCGCCCAATGGATAATGCTTATGGGCTCTGGATCACGTAGGACAGCCGACTTTCCTGTTACCAGTTCTAGCAGGACGACACCAAAGCTATAGACATCACTCTTGGTCGATGGTTGCATTGTTGCTTGGTACCTGCACATTCAATCAGTACCACAAACCTTAAACTTTGTGTTCCTCATAGAAAATACTAAAGAACAACATCAAGAAATACATATAAATTAGCATACTCTGGATCCACGTATCCGGGAGTACCAACAAGCGTGTTCGTAGATACATGGGTGCCATTCTCAAGATTGAATGACTTGGACAAGCCAAAATCAGCAATCTTAGCCTCTAGCCTCGCATTCAATAGAATGTTGGTAGCCTTCACATCTCTATGAATAAGAGGCGGATTGCACCACTTGTGTAGGTACTCTAGCCCTGACCATTAACCAAAGAATTTAACTACTAGCCAACCTTTTAGAGAAAATGTAAAATCAAACCTCAAGTAGCACTACTACAAATTTAAAGTAGTTACCTTGAGCGGATTCTAACGCTATTCGAAGCCTCTCCCTCCAGGTTAAATGTCTCCCGTTGTTTCTTTTACCTACAAATAGGTAGAGAACAAAGAGGGGTGAGACCATGAGGACTATAAAATGATCCACTACATGATGTTTTACAGTGTACTCCCTCTGTTTCATATTATAAGTCGTTTGACTTTTACTTTTTGATCAAGTTTATAGAAAAATTTAGCAATCTAAAATATCAAATTAGATTCTTTAAATCTAACATTGAATATATTTTGATAATAAGTTTGTATTGTATTGAAAATACTACTATATTTTTCTATAAACTTGATCAAATTTAAAGAAGTTTGTCTAAGAAAAAAAAGTCAAACAACTTAAAATATAAAATGGAAGGAGTACTCTGCAACTTGATCGGGAACAAAAACATAAATACGTACCCGCAATGTGTTCTTGAAGGGTTCCTTCTGACATATACTCATAGACAAGTGCCATGTATTTCCCATTCTTGCAATAACCGATCATGGAGACAAGGTTCTTATGGTGAATCCGAGTTAAAATTTGAGCCTAAACAAGCAAATGTTAACTAATTACTTGGACTTTTCTTAGTAGAAATCTCTATGTAGCAAGATCAAATTCAACTGACGAAATTCTACCTCTACGAGAAATTCCTTATCACCTTGATTGGAAGATTCAGACCTCAATTTGACTGCCACTTGAGTACCTTCTTCCAAGAAGCCATCGTAGACCTTCCCAAACCCTCCTCGGCCGAGCACTCGTTGAAAGTTGTTCGTTATCTTTTCCAGATCTTTATATGTAAATCGTCGGTTCTCAAGCTGCATTGATGAACCATGCCCATCGCTGTCATTTGTCGGCACATAGTTCGCCTCATTTTGCGGCTTTATAGAAGTGTTCATTGATCCTTCATAAGCGAAGAATGGAGCAACTAGCATCAGTAATGTTCAAGAACAGAGAAATAGAGCAGATAGTTGCTATGGTTGTAACCCTCACCTTGCTTCTTTTTTTGTCCTAGAAGGCAAAAGAGTAGTATTGTGACTGATACTATCACCAGAACCAGAACTACAGGAGCGACTATGTAGATGGCAAGCTTGCTCTTGTGTTTTGCTGCCTGACATGAATTGTCGTTGGTGCAGAGGTTTGGATTATTTCCATATCTGTTGATGGAATGAAGACGCCTAGTCAAATCAATCTATTTTCTCAAAATGGTTGAGTTTAGACATTCAAAGATTGCTGTGAGAAGAACGTGGTGTACTTAATTACTTTATATTTAGGGTACCATCTTGAATTCTTTTGAGAAGTCCAGATGGAATTGAACCATTGAGTTGATTTCCTGTCAGATCTCTAAAGAAGCCATATGCCCATAAGGTATATGTAGATGTTTGTTAATACAAATGATGCTAGGCAATAAAGTAAAATTTGACAGAAGTTGCGAAACTTACAATACTGTCAATGAAGGTAACTGTGAAAGTGCATCCGGAATCGAACCTGTCAAATTGTTGTTTGACAAATCCCTAGAAGATATGAAGCAAGACTTTGCAAATTTTAATGCAAAATTCTTACAAACAAGGTTAACAAATTAACATTATTCAACTCAGAACGTACAAGTATTGAAGAGCCTTGAGATCCCCAAAAGAAGATGATATCTCACCACTCAAACCACTGGAGGACAGGTTTCTGCAAAGAGAATGTGATCAGATGACCCTGTTTCATACTTCCGTTATGCAACTCCAATATTCAGTACGTGTGGACTCAATTACTTACATTTTTATTACGTGTTTGGAGTTTTCATAGCTGCATGTCAAACTTTCCCATGTAAATTCTGTCGGAATGCACGGATCACCCATCCAATTCTTCTTCACCTGATACTTTTCCTTGATCACCATCATGGCAGAAGCTGTCAAGTGCAAAGATGATTTCGATCAGTAACACGCGCCAAAACAATTAGGCCATTTCACTTGTGTGTGTGTGTGTGTGTGTGTTCTCTATCGTCTATGTACATACCGTCCTGACCATATGTGCCAATGGTGGTGGTGGAGAAAACGGAGTACACCTCCATGGCGTTGATGAACGGTCGCATCGTCGAGTTATAGGTGGCGTTGATGGAGATATTGTACTGCGGGTATCGTAGGAAGGGGTTGGTGTTGTAGATGGCGTGGGCGTAGAGATACACTGGCTTGTAGCCCTTGCTGTACATCATGTTGCCGTTGAGGTTGATGTAGAATTCTCGCACATCACGGCTGGGGGGGCTGAGCTCCAGCTCGGAGAAGTGCATGATGGCGATGTACCCCGGCGACGGGTCCTTGGGCTGTGTGTAGGCTACCCATGCGAGCTCGATGTTGTCTGTGGCAAACATTGGGACAATAGCCGTCTGCATCACCGCCGTTGGCACCTCGAACAGGTCGTCGTATGTCTGCTGCACCGGCCTCGTCGTTGATATCTCGGTCCAATTTGATGGCGAGTCCCAAGGTGTCCATACTCTGTCGCGTGGATCGTCGGGGTACCTGGACATGAATCTCTTGAAAATATAGCACCTTGAATTGACTATTCATCGATTATTTTCACCAGTGTATACCGGCCAACAGGCAAAAGCTGAAAATGTAAACCATTTTCTGTCATCCGAAACTCAAACTGAGGTCATTTATACTATACCATACTACCGTATATTAGGGTGGTCATACTAATTACTACCTCCGTCCTAGTAATCGCTTTGACTTTTTTTCTTTTAACGTTTGACCATTCGTCTTATTTAAAAAATTAGTGCAAATATAAAAACGGAGAAGTCATACTTAAAAAGTACTTTTGATAATAAAGCAAATCATAAAAAAAATTCCATAATTTTTTAATAAAACGAAAGATCAAAAGTTATAAATAAAAACTCAAAGCGACAAGTATTCTGGGACAGAGGTAGTATCCAATGATTCCATTCTATTCTATTAAAATTGACACTTGTTTTATCGGTATTATAGTACACCATCGGTATAAATATTATATGGATATTATGGGGAAAATATGCATATTTATAATTTGTTGCGCGCGCGTGTGTTTGGAGGGACGACAACCTCCACCACCACTATCGTTGCTATTTGATAATTTAACATTTATTAAAATGGGCTTCCATTATTTGACATCTTGACCTAATTTCATTTACTCAGATAGTCTTACATGTCATCCTCACAAGTATCAATTAGAGCAATTGGACAACGAAAAAAAGTATTAAATTATCAAATTTCTCACCGACGGTGCCATGCCCATGGGAGGGCTTGGCATTCGTCATGAATGTAATCGACAAGCGAACGAGGCTGGCTGCTTGATTACTCCGCTCGCCACTGGCCGATCCAGTGAATACCCCTCGCCGTCGGCCTCAACATCCAGGCACCGCTGAGGACGTAGAGAGGCGACGCGATCAGATTGAGGAGACCAGGCGCAAGAGGGCTTCCATCTCCCTCCGCCGTCACCGCCTCTCGCCTCCCCCTTATACGGCTCATGTTTAGGCGAAGCAGCCCGCGTATATCAACCCGCTATCACCCCCTCCTCATCGTCGCTTGAAGCAGGTACAGTGGCGTGGATTCTTTTTTAGTTGGATTCCTTTTCATTTCTCGGGTACTTTTTCCTCTGCTCACGACTGTCGAAAGTCCTAACGGGCGATCGATCGCTGGGCACGATCGGTCCCCCTCCCCACATCGATCACCCTCTCCTCCACGTGGTTTCTTTTTTTTACTACATTACTTTCCTATTTTAGTAAATTTATGGACCTAAAGTTTGTACACCTCAAGTTTACACATCTAAAGTTTATACACCTAAAGTTTAGAGACCCAAAGTTCATAAGTCAAAAGTTTATATATCCGATTCAAATTTGAATTTCAATTCAAATATTTTTATATATAGTATTTCTATACATCTAAAGTTCATACACCTAAAGTTTATAGATCCAAAGTTTATAAGTTAAAAATTTATATACCCGATTTAAATTTGAATTCAAATATTTTTTATATATAGTATTTCTATACATAACCTTTTCTAACTTTTATTTTTTTATTTTTTTAAAATTTATGGTGTAGTAGGAAGAGAAGAAGGGGAGGAGGAAGGGGGAGCATATAAGGGGGGATGGGGGCGATCACCCGCCCATTATCACCCTCCCACGACTGTTCTAGATGAGATTACGTATTTTGTAAAAAAAAAAAACCTCTCAAAACTATCGATTTACATTTAGGTCTGTTATCGTTTTTTCACCGTTAATATATCATCGGACGGCTGCGGATAGGTGCGAACACGTGGCATGCTTCTCCAGCCGAGAATCCGGCCGGGACTCTATCTGTGGTGCAACATGGCCCAATGAATAGACGGGTTTCGAACCCTGAAATCGATCTATAAGATACCTAAAGACACTAGCATGTCCAGCGCTTCACTCTTGTCATAGTGATGAGCAAATTCAGAACATGGAGGAATAATAACTAAAGAAAACAGGAATTAGTTGCAATTTGTGTCGTTCCATTCTTCTTCAATTCCATCTCAGGATGCATTACCGGTCCAACACCAATATACTATTCGTACTAATAGTCTTGATAAACTGATGCCTTAATTGTATTAGCGTGTAGAGAGGCTTTGATTTGTCTTGTGAAACGGGTACACCCAGGATTAAAATGCTGGGTCTGCCACTGTTGGGTTACTTGATCTGGAAAGATGTGATCGGCTGTTCTTTTGACGGCAGAAGAGAGAGAAGTAACGGAAGTAAAAACGGCATACTTTAGGTGCTACAGAATCAAAAACGTAAACTTTTGATAATCTAAAATCAATTTTCACTCGTGCGCACCAGGGAATCAAAAACGTAAACTTTCGATGATCTAAAATCAATTTTCACTCGTGCGCACCTGGGAAAAATTTTCCAGTCGGTCACCCATCCTGAAATTACTCCAGATTAACCTCAGAGTTCTTTTGAGATCGGCTTCCGAAAAAAACTATAACTTGTTGGTATGAGTATTCTATTAATTCTATTAAGCCCTGGGTCGGGATGTCACATTAAATTTCACCTAAATGGTTAAATCAACATGCACGTAAAGGACTCAAACTCGGATGGATCGTTACTCACCTGATGATTTCGGTATTACTGGTCGGCCCGAATTTCCATCTACCGAACAAGGACAGGCCTTGCGTCTCGGTTGCCTGCGGGTAGAGCTTCTTCTTGAGAGGCCTGAGGTCCAACCCGGAGATGAACGGTGTCCCGGTGCCGGTGTTCACGAGGCAAACCTGCACGAAGTCGTCCGGCACGACGACGATGGCCTCCAGGAGCGTCGAGCCGGCGGGGTCCGTGATGTTGACCATCATCCAGAAGTTGACGCCGATGTAGACGTCGAAGATTGGCAGCTTGCTGAGGCCGTCGTAGTTGCCGTACATGAAGGTGGCGCGGATGAGGTACTTGTGCCCGGCCACGAGCGACCGGAGCGTGTAGCAGTTGCGCGCGCCGTCGGGGAAGCTGCGCACGTTGTAGTAGCGCGCCGAGAGCGCCGGTGCGAAGTACTCCGCCGAGATGTTGTGGAACGAGCCGCCGTCGGTGAAGCCGTCGTCCGCCGCGTAGGAAATCTTGGTCTTGTCGTCCACGTAGCTCGTCTTCCCCGGGAGGCCACAGTCTACGCTGATGAAACCTACGGCGAGTCGGCGACAGCGACACACATTAGCTAGCGATAACTGCGAAATTATGGACAATCTATGCTAGATCTTAGTTCATTGATTGGCATGGGTTGTACTTGTAGCTTTGCTGTCAAGCTGGGCACGAGCTTGGAGTATGCCGGCGGTGGCGGCGAGGGCGAGGCACTAGAACATAATAAAGGCTGAACTCTCTTTGTGATCGTGCTCTACCTATTTATAGCCAGTCTTAATCCAGTGAGCGTAACCATGCAGGTAATCAAGTTGGAAGAAAATTGCGTAGGACTGAAGTCCTACCCTTATCTGAAGGACTTGATTCCTCTGCACGACACCTGTCCCACATGAATCTCAGAATAGCCTTTCTCCCTCATCTCTCCAGTTCCCATTTATCTATCTTCCTATCGTCGGCGAGGCGTCAAGGTCAAGCACTCAAGCCCGAGCACCAAGCGCAACGCGCTCGTGCCCTGTGGCATCAAGCTCATGAGGACAGCCGAAAATTAGAGTCAAATTTGCCTGCCGACCTGCCGCGAGAAAAATCTTTGGTTTGGAATAAGCTGGGTTATCGATTAGATCGAATCCATCTCCATGAACCGCAAAAAGTTTGCCTCAGTGAAATTGTTCAGTCAGTAGATTTTTCTTTCCTTTGCTTTTAGTCTGTATGGTGCACTGCACTGCTCTGGTGGTTGAAGTTGATTGAGCTTTCAAGGATTTCTGTTTGCCGGTGAATCTTCTAGCTTCCATGATTACAAAATTGACTATTCACAATTCTTGGTGAGTGCCTCATGTGCAAGCTTGGATGCTACTTAGTTCCTCTGACACATTGTGGATGCCACTCGATTCCGGTGACAACGGCAGCCAGCCGCGAGCTCCAAGGCTGCTGGTCGGACGTGAGCGAGAAGAGGAAATATGGGGAATTGAAGAGAAAAGAGAGTTAGCCTATTCAAAGATTTGCGCAAGAGGTGCCGGCGGCGAGGTGACCGGCAGGCGGCGGGGCGTAGGAGGCGGCGGCGAGCCGTAGAGATCCCGACGGCGAGGCGGGGCTCGCCTGCACACGGGCCGCCGGATCTGGCTCCTTTCTCGCCGGATCCGGCGCCCCCCTCCCTCCCTCCCACTAGATCTGGCCTCTCCGGCGAGGAAGGCCAGCTCCCGACGACGAGACAGGTACAGCAGAGGAGGCAGTGGCGGCGGGGTTGAGGGCGCGGTGGCACGTGGTGAAGGGGCAGGCGGCAGATGTGGCCCTCGGTGACGGCATCAGGCATGGGGAGTCCAGCCTGTGAGGCCCGCGTCTACGTCAGTGAGTGGCGCCGGAGGCAGTGAAAAGGAGAATGTGTGGAGGTACGGCGGTGCTTGAGGTGTAGGGGGAGGCTGGACGATGAGGGGTGACGGAGGGAGGCTGGCGCGGCACAGGTGGCGCCGACGGCAGCGGGAGGTCGGCGTGGCATGCGATGCGGCGGGCGGAGGCATGAGCAAGTGCATCCATGGCCGGCGGGGCACGCCCAGCGCGACGAGTGGCTGTGACCAGCGGCGGGATGTGTAGGCGTGGTGGTGACCGGCGATGGTCGTGGATTGGGCTTAGGTGCTAAAGGGATGGTGTGGTGGTCGGGCAATGGTCGTTGTACAGGATGGTTGTGTGGAGTTTTGATTGGAATCGCTGGCGAAAGCCTTGCCAGGCCATGGGCCGGCATGACGACAACGACACCATTAGGCGTCGTTCCCCTTCTTGAAGGCGTCGTTCTGGCGTTGACCTCTCCTGGCACCAAGAACCTTCCCCCGTGCAACGGTAGTCATTGGTGGACTCCTGCATTGCCTCTGAAGCTCTACAAGCCTAAGGTGTTTGACAAGGTCTTCTCTGTCTTGGTTCTGTTTCTTGCTCTACGGCAAGTGTTCATCATTCTTATTTGGTTACTGCTGGGTAGAGTCAGAGCTGCTTCGCTGTAGGGGTGCGACGAAGTTCGGCAACGATGACACACTGCAATCTCTTTATAAGATTGTTGATGCCAGCTGTATGTAGGAAGTGGTTCCTTGGTTGTTTGGGCTAATGTCCTTCATGGGTATCGTTTATGCTTGTTCTTTTGGCGTTAGGGTAGCATTGCAGTGAAGTCGAAGCTGTTGTGTCGTTTGGGCGGCAAGCTCAGTAACGAAAACATGTGTGGGCTGTTGTGTCGCCACTATGACAAGCTTGGTCGATGCCTTGTGTCGGGCTCCGTCGTTGTAATTTAGGTTATGTTAGCTGTTAGTGTGGTGTTGTAGTTGTGGTTTTCGTTCAATTTTCCCTAATTAACTGGACACTGTAAAGTTTGGTCCTGTTTACTCCTTAAATTGGGGCACCTTATTCTTAATATAAAACGTCGGCAATGGCCTGATCGTTGAAAATAAAATTGTGTAAGACATGTGTCAAGTAGAGAGACAAGTCCTTTGAACGAGGTGTAGGACTTCGGTCCTGCTCTGTAATTTTCTTCCGATCAAGGAGAGATGGATTCTAATATGTGATGTGAATGTACACTCTTTTTTTTTTCATGTAAACTAAATGGTTATAAAATAATTTTTTAAAAAAATAACAAGATAGATTATGTAATATATTACTTCACAAATTAACATACAAGTTTAAATTTGACTTCTCTAAGTAGGAAAAAAATAACTAGTCGATTTTGAAGTTGCATATTCGTAGAGTGATACATTACATATTATTAATACCTATCCTGTCAACTTTTTTTAAAAAAATTCATAACCATTTAGTTGACATGTAAAAAAGGGTGAACGTCCAACCAAGTGCTTAAAATAGTTTTCTATAATCAAGATAATTATATCACTATCACTAGCAAATAGTTACCGTCTCCATGTTTTAATATCGGGAATGCTAGGGGACGGGATACCGTCCCCCAACGGGATAGCTCCTCTCCACAACACGATTCGCGTCCCTCGCCGCTGCCGCGCCCGTCCCCCGTCGCCTCCGCGCCCGTCCGCCGCCGCCGCGCCCGTCCCCTGTCGACGCCACCGCCGCCGCCGCTCCCATCCCCCACCGCCGTCGTCGCTATTCTCCGCCGCCGCCATCGCCGCCGCGGCGTCCGTCCCCTGTCGTCGACGCCGCCGCCGCCGCCGCGCCCGTCCCCCGCTACCACCACCGTCGCCGCGCCCGTCCTCTACCGCCACCATCGCCGTCCTCGTCTACAAGGGACGGCTGCAGGGGGCGACCGCGTGTGTCGGGGTGCTCCTCCCCAACGGTATGCCCAGCTATATCTAGTAGGAATCACCTGATACCTGGTAAGTATCATCCGATACCTCGCAAGTATCACGTGAGACATGGTAGAAATCGTCTGATACCTCATGAGTATGACGTGATACGTGGTAGAAATCGTATGATAGATGACATGTATCGTATGATACCTCGTGAGTATCACGTGATATGCGGTTGAAATCATCTGATACCTGACAGGTTTCACATGATACCTCGCGAGTATCACGCGATACGTGGTAGAAAATCGCATGATACCTGATAAGTATCATATGATACTTTGCAGGTATCACCTGAAACGTGTGTAGAATCGTCTGATACCTGATAGGTATCACACCTGATACCTACTCAGGATCATCATGTTATGTAGAATCGTCTGATACCTAATAGGTATCACACCTGATACCTACTCGGGATCATCCTGTTCGAAAACGGGATTCCGTTATATAGCAGCCCCCTTTAATATATAACGTTGTTGGCTTTTAGCTTAGCGTTTAACCATTTATCTTGTTAAAAATTTACATATGTATTATTAGTTTTGTTGCGACTTAAAACCATAATCTTCACTTATTTTTATATATTTATACTAAATTTCCAATAAAAAGAATATTTTAAATGTTATGTGAAAAGTTAAACTATATTAGACTATCGATGATCACTAACGAGTAACGACTCCATTGTGATTAGTTTAGCGCCGTCAACACATCCATCCTCTGTAAGGCTGTAACACAGATTGCCACTGACGAGTGAGACTTTTCTGAACTTCCACTGGTCACTTCTTTGTAGGCCCGTCATGTCAGTGACCTTGTAACTATAGCTTGGAAGAGACAAAAAGAGATCACATGGGCAGGGAGTTGACTTTCATGGCAGCTGGTCAACTCATCTGCTGGGTGCACGACATGGAGGCCCGTAGAGTACTCTTGACTTGTTCTTGAGAACAGCATAAAAAAAGATACGTTCGTGCAGATAGAATCATTTGCCCTCTCAAATAAAAAAAGATAGGTCCGTTAGACCATGAAAGATTATTACGCACTTGCGTTACAATGTAGAAGAATCTGTTCCCCAGTGAGGCAGTGATTCAACAAAATACTTCCAAATTTACAAATTCCCCTAGTTAGCAAGATTCCGGCGCAGACTGTAGCACAAGAAGTATATAGCCTCATATTTTTTATGTATATACTTATGCTTATAAGCTATTTGGAGTTGATTTTGGGTTTTTTTTATCGTAGTTTATTTTTCAGCATTTGCTTTTACATCATTAAGAGTACGCACATAAAAATTTTATTCACAAATTATTTTTTATTGTAAATATGCCGCATTATTTGCTTTGTACTAGTAGTTTTTGGTATATACATGACTGGAGGGAGTCCATTTTAACAAGAAAGTTCTCGTTGTATTATTGATCATCATTTATCTATTTTTTTTAACTTTAGTTATTGGCAGGAAATGTTTACATTTTTCTTCAAGCGCGTGCGCTGCAGTTGCGAAATTGACACGATTCCATCTACTTGATGGATGATTTTTTTTTTTCAAATGGATCTTTCTCGCGCGATTCCTCTTAGTAGAGCATGTAACGTGCAGAGTCGTCCCTCAAAATCTAAGGACCCAACACTAAATATAAAACGATGCCTTATATTTATAAAATATACTCATAGAAAATTACATAACAGATCAGGGTTATATGCATTTTGACTTGATGCGGATAGTTTACAATGCAATGGGATGGGTTTCTACTACCACTACTTTTTACTCAATTGCACCACAGCCAATGACTCTAACCACGCCAGAAAAGTCAGTATCAATCTAATGCTTATATGTTTATAAAGGTATAGTCAGACGAGTAGGAATCATTCACGATCAACGGCAACTAGAGCTATGCCGAAGAAACTCTTTTTTTCTACTTAGCCAGATCGCCACTACATATGTGGTGAGTAAGACGATCTGGCTAATTAAGTAGAAAAAAAACCATTGCACTAATTTAGTTTTTCTTATTAAGTGAAAAATGGAATTATTATTGCTTGGAACATACGTTCACCTCGTCGTCATGAACTACACATTTTTGAGATAGCCATGATTATTACCAAACACTTACTGGATTCAAGAATAAAAATCTCATTCTAGCCAGATCAGTGAAGCAGAAAGAGAGAAAATCAAAAGGAAAAAAAGGAGTGAAGAGATCTTACACATATTAGAACGTCTCGACATAGATTGAACTCACAAATTTTGGGGGCCCAAATTTCTGGTGCCCTGTGTAGTCGCTCATCTCGCACATGGCCAAAGAAAGCCTGGTAATGTGTAAGACACTTTTCCATCTCTGAATTTCCATTGCATGCTAGCCTACTAAGCTTAATTTGCAGATTCCATATCTTTTTGTACTGAACTTATGGGTTTATTTCCAACATTGAAGCAAAGTAGCATTTAGAAAAAAAAATAGAGAAAACATGCATGGGTTCTGATTAAACCCCGTTGTAAAAACATTATGAATGAAGTTCATTGATTCTGAGTTCCAAACTGAAAAAAGTTCTACTAAAAAATCTTGAATATTTGAAATTTCTACATTTGCATTTGCTTTGGTGTAACATCATGTGAAAGTTCCATAGAGATCTCTACCATGAAATGGCATTCAATCGAAATGAGCAAAATAATTTATCGTGCAGCAGGACCGCCAGTGATTGATGGTATCCTTCCAAAATTTTGCTCCATCTCTAATGTAGAGTTGTTCTGACGCAAACCAGTGGATTGTTAAGTGGTGTAGAAGTTAGAGTTTAGATCGCCACTATTGCCATTATAAAAGCCATTGTTTATATCACTGACCTGGTGCTTATCCTCTAGCTCGAGGCACTCTTGCAACTGTGCCACCACGTCGGTCATAGTGGGGCGGTGTGCTGACGAAAGCGCCGTACACTTGAGTGCAATGTCTGCAACCTTCCATAGGCCATTCACATCGTAGTCACCATGCATGCTTGCATTCACCACACCCTCAATGTTACCCCGTGCTAAGCGTTGTTGTGCCCAATGGATGATGCTGATGGGCTCTGGATCACGCAAGATAGCTGGCTTCCCTGTTACCAACTCCAACAGGACAACACCAAAGCTATAGACATCACTCTTAGTCGTTGGTTGCATTGTTGATTGGTACCTACGCATTTGGTCAGTCCCAATAAGTCTTACAATTAGTATTTCTCTAACAAAAGAACTTTAAAAAAAGGGCTTCAAGAAAGACAACATACTCTGGATCCACATATCCAGGTGTGCCAACAAGTTTGTTCGTAGATACATGGGTGCCGTTCTCAGGATTGAAAACCTTGGACAAACCAAAATCAGCAATCTTGGCCTCTAGCCTCGTGTTCAACAAAATGTTGGTTCCCTTCACATCACGGTGAATAAGAGGAGGGTTGCACCCTTTGTGTAGGTACTCTAGCCCTGATCATTAATTCACCATGTAATTGAAATACTGATCAAGCTTCTAGAGAGAGAAAAAATGTAAAATCAAACTAAAAATAGCATTAGAAATTCTAAGTAGTTACCTTGAGCAGATTCCAGCGCAATTCGAAGCCTCTCTTTCCAGGTTAAGTATCTCCCATCATTTCCTTTTCCTGCAAATATAAGAATTGGAGATCATGAAAGGACTAAAAAAATAAGCTGGTAGATGAAGTTAGTTCGGACCTGCAATGTGTTCTTGAAGGGTTCCTTCTGACATGTACTCATACACAAGTGCCATATATTTCTCATCCTTACAATAGCCGATCATAGAGACAAGGTTCTTGTGATGAATCCGGGTTAAAATTTGAGCCTAAAGTGGTGAAACTTGTCTATTTAATGATGCCCCCATGGAGACTTTTCTTGATAGAAATTTTTACATAGCAAGAAAAAGTGCAGCTTAAAAAATTCTACCTCTACAAGAAACTCCTTATCACCTTGGTTGGAAGATTCAGTCCTCACTTTGACTGCCACTTCAGTGCCATCCTCCAAGAAGCCATCATAGACTTTTCCAAAGCCTCCTTGTCCAAGAACTCGCTGGAATTTGTTCGTTATCTTCTCCAGTTCATTATATGTAAACCAGCGGTTCTCAAGCCGCAGTGATGAATTATGCCCGGAGCCATTATTTGTTGGCCCATATCTCATTGTCTCGTTTTGTCGCTTTACAGAATTGTTCATTGATCCTTTGTACGTGAAGAATGGAACTAGCATCAGTAGTATTCAAGAAGATGAAGTAGAGCAGACAAATGATAGCAAGACCCACCTTGTTTTTTTCTTCTCAGTAGGCAATAGAGTAGTGTCGTCACTGATACTATCGCGAGGACCAGAACTATAGGAACAACAATGTAGATAGCTAGCTTGCTCTTGTTTTTTGGTGGTTGACATGAGTTGCCATTGGTGCAAAGATTTGGGTTATTTCCATATCTATATATTAATGACATAAATATGTTTATGTCCATTTTCTGAAAAATTGATCTGCACCTTTTGCTGAAGAAGACTGCTATAAGAAGAATGTGGTGTCATTACCTTAGATTTAAAAAGCCATCCTGAATTCTCTTGAGAAGTCCAGGCGGAATTGTTCCATTTAGTTGGTTTCCTGTCAAATCTCTAAAAGAAGACATACAGTAGGATATTAGTTCAAAAGGATTCTAAAGAGTACGTAGGTAAAAGAGTAAAGTACATGGTCGGTCCTTAAAGTTGGAGCGAGGTGTTACTTAGGTCCATGATCTTGAAAAATAGACATTAGGGTCCGCGATCTTGTTTAAGTGACTCATTGAGGTCCAAAGGACCTCTGACCAGGTTGACTGGCTTACGTGACCGTCCAGAGTGGCAGTATATTTGCATTTCGCCCCCCTCCCCCGCATCCGATCCAACCCTTCTTCCCCATATCTTCTTTCAGTATGATTTCTATGGTTTGCGGTTGCAGGGGCTGGCGGCGGCAGTGACGACGAGGAGGGAGACGGGTACGGCGACGAGTTGGCGAGCATGCGCAAAGAGGGAGAAGGGCGAGTAGGGCGGTGGCGGCGGCTGGCCAGTGGAGCGAGACGGCGGGCAGCTTTTAGGGTTTTGGAGGGTTCGACTTGGGGCGGTGAGGGCGAGGTGGTGTCGGAGAGGGTGAGGGGACGATGAAGGGGTTCGACGCCACCAATGGGTTCGGCTTCATCACTCCCGACAACGGCGGTGAGGACCTCTTCGTCCACCGGTCCTCCCTCAAGTTCGACAGCTATCGGAGCCTCAATGACGGTGATGTCATCGAGTTATCCATCGGATCCGGCGACGACGGCCGCACTAAGGCCGTGGACATCACCGCGCTAGGCGGCGGCGCGCACACCGGTGGATCCCGTCCCAGCTGCGGCCAGATCCCTACGGCTGCAAGCCGCCGTCTCTCGACGTCCCCTCGTTGTCTCCTGGCCCTTGATGTGTTGCTGCTTCCTGCTCCGCGTCGATCGCCACCACTCGTCATCCCCTCGTCGTCTCCCGGCTAGATGTGCGTGGACGACACGAAGTAGCAGCACGAGGGTGACCTCCGGCGAGCTCGCTCGTGTCGTCCCTGAGCTCAGCCGCTGCCGCCACCATACCCCGAGTCGTCGCCGGTCCAACCTCCGCCACCGTGGCCTCAAGCTTGTATAGAGCTCAGCTGCCGGAGCTTGACGCCCTCTGCCCTTACCGCTGCTCCCTTCTCCTTCGGCCCTCAACCGCGCGCGCCGCGCCTTCAACCGTCCGCCATCGCTGTCGTTGTCTACCACCAGCTGCGCCATCGTTGTTGTCCACCATCAGCCACCCGTCGTCGTCCTCACCACCAGTGCTGAAAGAAGATTTGGGGAAGAAGGGTTGGATCGGATGTGGAGGAGCTCACATGCAAATATGTTGCCACTCTGGATGGCCACATAAGCTAGTCAACCCGGTCAGAGATCCTTTAGACCTCAATGAGTCACTTAAACAAGACCGTGGATCCTAATGTCGATTTTTCAAGATCATGGACCTAAGTGACACCTCGCTCCAACTTTAAGGACCGACCGTGTACTTTACTCTAGGTAAAAGTTGATAAAAGAATTGCCAAACTTACAAGATTGTCAATGAAGACAACTGTGAAAGGGCATTTGGAATCGAGCCTGTCAAGTTGTTGTTTGATAGATCCCTGCAAGATATGGAGCAAGATTTTCCAAATTTTAACTCAGATTACGCAAACAAGTTAATACATCCGACATCATGAACTCATAACATACAAATATTGGAGGGCCTTGAGATTCCCAAAAGAGGACGATATCTCACCACTCAAACCAATTTTTGACAGGTTTCTGCAAAGAGAATATGATCAGCCCAATTTCATTGCACAGTTAATTAGCTCCCATTAGATTTAATTTCCTCTTGCTATTTATGCATGTGCTGATTTGGCATTCTGAGGGTGCTAATAATAATAATAAAAAAGATCAGGCTGGTGATTGATGGTGGTATCGACCACCATAGATTGTATTAAAATTTCATATCAAATAAAAAATTCTATTGGAAATAACATGGGGTCTTAATTAATTTTTACTGCCATGCATGGCCTCTTTAGTTTCATTAGTATCCTAAAACTTAATAATTTCTAAATTCACAAGCAACAAGTATATCATCTCTTTTATTAATTTAATTTTGAACTTTAAATTAATAATTAGCAAGTTATAATTGATGGGTTCTCTTTAATTATTTTAATCTAAGCCATTAACTATGCATTGTGTATACAATTAAAATTTTCATATTTACAATAGTTTAACAATAGCCATACACGTTTGCACTCTTTTTATTTGGGATGGAGGTAATAGTTTTGTTTTTTCATCACAATAGTCATGTTGTTTTTGGCTAATGGAATGAATTATTACTTACAAGCTCGTGATTCTTGCAGGGTTAGAAATGGCATAGCTGCAGGTCAAATTATCCCACGCAAGATTTCTAGGGAGGCACGGGTCACCCATCCAATTCTTTTTCACCTGGTACTTCGCCTTGATCGTCATGATTGCTGATACTGTCAATCACCAAAAAATTTCATCAATGCACATGACATGCTTGACCATCAGCTAGCTCATGTATGTGCATATTTCAGTTTTTCTCAAATTTTTTATGAATTTAGTCAAATTCTGTTAAATTGTGTCAAAATTTCAGAAAATTTCGGTCCAAAAATTTCTGAAATTTTCAAAATTTTAAAAATTTTAATTCTACCGAAATGGCTGAAATTTTAGATGAAATCGAAATTGAAAACCCTGAGCACATACCATCTTGTGAGTCGGTGCCAATGTTAGCGGTGGAGATGACAGAGTACACCTCGACGGCGTTGATGAGCGGCGGCATCGTCGAGTTGGCGGTGGCGTTAATGGTGATGTTGTACTGCGGGTGTCGCACAAAGGGTTTGGAGCTGTAGGAGGCCTCGGCGTAGAGAAACGATGGTGTGAAACCATCGTCGAACAATATGCCGTTGATGTTGATATAGAATTGCCGTGTGGCGTTGTTGGGGAGGTTCTCAAGCTCGGAGAAGTGAAAGATGGCGATGTACCCTGGCGCTGGGTCGTTGGGCTGCGGCTGTGAGTTCCAGAAGAAGTCGATGTTGTTGGAGGCGTTGATTGGCGTGACCGCTGTCTGCATCACCGCCGTCGGCGCCTCGAACAGGTCGTTGTCTATGTTCTGAACCCTGTTTGTCGTTGATATCTCGTTCCACTTGGCCGCATCAAACCAAGGAAACCATACTCTGTCGTGCGGATCATCCGGATACCTGGCCATTGAATCGATCAGTTGCATTTCCTACAGATAAGGGTAATTTTACCATCCTTAAAAAAAATATTAGAAGATATCATATTTTCTAATTTAAAAATTGGTACTTTCTCAAAAACCGTAAAATTTATCTACAGAGAATTAGAGCAAGTTTAATAGTATAGCCAACTATTAGCTCCAATTTATCTATAGCCAATCTAATAGCTCATTCATACAATAGTTACATACTACACTATTAGTACCTGGACCCACATGTCATACACACTGTGTATTGGAGTCCATGCTACAGCTGGCTATAAATCTGTAGCCCGCTTCCCTTCTCTCTCCTCATCTATTTCCTTAAAATATGTTTGCAGCTGGCTTATAGCCTGCTATTGTACCTGCTCTTAGCTAAATATCTGGCTCTTATCGGGAAAAGTGATTTCATCCTTTAAGAGATATCCCCTCATTTTGCATGTTGGTAATCAGAAAAAATATATGAAAGTATCTGTAAATACGAATCTAATATTACGCTATTTATATCACTAAACCTATATATTGTGGAAAATTTTATGATATTTGATAAAGTGCCTAAAGATACCAAGATTTTACACCAATAATTTTGATACCTCAAAATATTTAGTACCGGGAGGTACCAAATTTTACACTAAAAAATATGATACCTTTCGATAACTTCTTAAGAATAGTAAAATTACCCTATATTGTGAGACTAACTTTTAGTTAAAATTTATCGAGTTTGAATTATCACCAGTAATACTGATGATAGTATAAATAAATGATATGATAATAAATATAAACAGTCTATACGCGTAGGAAACTTTAACTTAGCTCACCTGATGGAGGTTTCGTCAGATGGGCCGAAGTTGAGCCTGGCGAGTTGGAGTAGGCCCTGAGTGGCGTTCACCTGCGGGTAGAGCTTGTTCATAAGAGGCCTGAGGTCCAACCCGGAGATGAACGGTGTCCCGGCGCCGGTGTTCACCAGGCAGACTTGCACGGAGTCGTCGGGCACGACGACGATGGCCTCCCGGTTCACCGGCTGGATCGGGTCCGTGATGTTCACCACCGTCCAGAAGTTGACGCCGATGTGGAGGTCAAACGACACGGGCAGCTTGTTGAGGCCGTCGTAGTTGCCGTACATGAAGGTGGCGCGGATGAGATACTTGAGGCCGGCCACGAGCGACCGGAGCGTGTAGCAGTTGCGCGCGCCGTCGGGGAAGCTGCGCACGTTGTAGTAGCGCGCCGTGACCGCCGGCTTGATGTACTCCGGCGAGACGTTGTAGTGCTTGCCGCCGTCGGTGAATCCGTCGTCCGAGGCGTAGGATATCTTGGTCTTGTCGTCAATGTAGCTCGTCTTCCCCGGGAGCCCGCAGTCTACGCTGATGAAACCTGCAAAAGCATGAAAAACATATGCTCTTTTAGTTCATTGAACATTGATGTCTTTTTGATTTGTGAAGCATTGCGCGCATTACTATGAGGTAGGATACTAGGATTGTACTACGTACCTTTGCTGTCAGGCTGGGCACGAGCTTGGAGTACGCCGGCGGTGGCGGTGGCGAGGCAGAGAAGAAACAACGACGACCGTGCCGCCATTGTTGCCGGTGATGAACGACGCTCCATTGCACATGCAGCCATGCATGCAGGTAGCAAAGCTGCTACTCTCTAGGGACGTGCTCCATCTATTTGTAATCCAGCATTCCAGCTAGTAAACAAGTGACCAAGCTAATAATCTCACTGTCACAAGCTAATAATAACTAGCCAATTGATCATCACAAAACTCAATCTTGATTAATTTAACCACGTCACTACGTCAGCGCATCTATCCAGATTCCAGTAACAAAGAGCGCCTCGCTTTGTGGGTCATATAGATATTCTTCCACTGACGAGTGGGGCTATTCAGAATTTACACTGGCCACCTCTTTGTGGGCCCGGCATGTCAATGACCCTGAGGGAAGAGGCGAGTGTATCACATGGGCCGGGAGTTGACTTGTAGCCCGCTGGTCAACTGCTTTGCTGGGCGAAGGACTTGGAGGCCCGAGATCGGTGGCCACGGCCCGTCGACTTGACCTTATTTTCCGCGCCGGAAACTATGAGCAACAAGATTATTATGCACTTGCCCACTACGTAAAAGAATTTGTTCTCTCTGTCAGAGAATGCATCTGAATCTGATCTGGCAGTTTTGCACAAGAGACAGGCAGCGCAAGAAGATATATTTTGCCTCTGACGGACTGCGGCTAATTAGTACTAAACATAATTAGGTACCTAAAAGTTTTAGTAGGAGTATCTACACGACTCTTTGGATTAAATGATTTGGTGTTTTCTAAATCTCCAATTAAAACTTGCATGCAGGTACTCTAGAACAACACAATTCAGTTTTAGGCTCAGCTGTAACGGCGTTAAAAGAACCAGGACAATATTCATCTCGCATACCGGAAACTGGAAACACCGGTTATGCAAGTATTCGTCAATCATGCATGAGATTTAGTAATAGGATTGCTATGTAAGTAATATCTTTTCAACCAATAGGGCTCCAAAGAAACATTTCAAGATCTTCATCCTGCTGTGCCTTTGGTGTCTCTGGCTTCACAGACACGACGTGGTGTTCCGCAATGCTCAACCATCACTGCTTTCAGCCCTGTCAAAATGCCAATAGGAAGTTAACCTCTGGGCGGTTCGCTTTGGTCCGAAAGACCGTGATATTATTCTGGCTTGGAAAAATGTAATTTCATCCTCTGTTCATGCTCTAAATTAGTTGTAATCTGGACTGTAATCCATCTTGTACTCAAGTGCTATTGCTTATTGACAGTTTGAATGAAATTCAGGTGGGGAATCTCTCCCCTCCAGTGACTTGGTAAAAAAAAATATTTTCAACCAATGGCAATTGTTTCTTGATTTGTTCTTATCTAATGTGCAGCCAAGTCTTGGCGGAGCTGGCGGCACAAGAAAGGAGCACATCCAAGGCTACGGAAGTCATTAAGGGTGTGTTTGGTTTCTCGTATGTCCCCAGCCTGGCCGTATCCCTCATCCAGGATGCCCTCAGCCTGGCTAGGGTAATGCAATTGGTTGTGTTTGGTTACTTGCATGGGTTTATCCTGGATGATATGAGATGTTGTTTGGGAGGAGCTGCGGGAGGGAAGGTGAGGCAAACGAGCACACCCGCTCAGCAACGAGCACTCCCGCCGGCTACGAGAGTTCGCAGCAGAGGGAGCACCCACGACGGTGCACAGGAGCCCCAAACCCTAGCTTCTTCTCCTGGGGAGTGAAATGAGGAGGGGATGTGGCCGTGCGGGGAGGTAACCCTCGCCTGCAACGAGGGGTTGTGTGGGTGCAGTTGCGCTGCACCGGATCAGCCTGGATGCGCAGCGATGCTCCCCCCTCGCGTTTCTGCTCAACTTGGCCCAGACGGCGATTTTGAATCCGCCTAGCCTGACTCGCGGGCCGGTCCAGCCAACCAAACAAGTTGGATTTTGCTGGCTTGATGCGATGCAGGTGCGGTGCACCCATTCAAATACGCCCTAATTGATGAAGGTGGAGGCGCGGGGAAGGAGCAACTACAAGTGGTCACTAGCGGAGGCGGCCATGTGGTCGCCGGCAGAGATGGCTGAGTAGGGATGGAGCAACCCCTCACGGGGAGGAAGCAACGGCAAGCAGCTGGAGTCTGTGGACAGCAGAAAAAGTAAATAGTAGAAAATCCTTTTATCAGGAATTTTTGTCTAACAAAACGACCTTAGAAACTCTAACTAGGAATGAGGCTACTGAGTAGCAGTAATGAGCAAAATATTAACCTCTTCCGTGTTATGCTTGCTCCTGAATTCTTGAAGTCATTTATGGCTTCTTGGAGTGCGTGATGAGTCGGCAGCAAATTATTCGCGGGCTTGATCTCTCTCCTCTCACCCCCATCGTCATCGGCTCACATCATTTTATTACACTTACTCTTATGAGTGAATACAATGGATGTGACCCTTGTTCATGTTACATGATTTCCATTGCTTGCTAGTCCACTAAGTGACATGGATTCCATTTGATATCTCATCTTACATTATCAAGCAAAGTACATTTATTGTGGGAAATCATAAAATTTGGATTCTAAATTCTTGATAACTATATTCCAAGATAAAAAAAATTATTAGGTGTATATTGACTTTTCTCTTCTTGAAGAATAGTATGGAAGAGTTATAAATATCAAAGAATAGATAAGTGTATTGATTACAAATTCCACACGGTAAAAGCTCTAGATCTTGATTGTTTGAAACTTTATGCGCTTGCATTTACTTTGGTAAATTAAAGCAACAATATTGTTTCAGTTCTGCATGTATCTATTTTAGGACTAGCAGTCTCGGATCAGATTGGCAAAGGCCTTTATCGTGCAACTGGCCCTGTAGCCATGGTTGGCACTCTTTCAAAATTATGCTCCATCGTGTTGTTTTGACTCACATCAGTGGACTGGTCCGTGTTGTACATGTTATAACTTGAGTTGGGATCATTGTTGTTGCCGGCATAGAAGTTGTTATATGTATCTTCCATGCCACATCGCCTATCCTCGAGCTCTAGGCACTCCTGCAGCTGAGCTACCACATCGGTCATAGTGGGTCGTTGTGTCGATGTCTGTGCGGTGCATTTAAGGGCAATGTCTGCGGCCTTCCACACACCATTCACATCATGGTCACCATGCATGTGTGCATCCACCACACCTTCGATGTTACCTCGTGCCAAACGTTGCCGTGCCCACTGGATGATGCTAATGGGCCCTGGTTCACGTAGAATAGACGGCTTCCCTGTGATCAACTCCAATAAGACAACACCAAAGCTATAGACGTCGCTCTTGGTGGTTGGTTGCATTGTTGCTTGGTACCTACATGTTCATCCAGTTCCACAAGCTTCACTTAACATTTGTAATAGAAAACACTGAACAACGGTTTCGAGAAATATAGATGAGATTTACATACTCTGGATCCACATATCCAGGTGTGCCAACAAGCGTGTTCGTAGATACATGGGTGTCATTAACGTGATTGAATGTCTTGGATAGGCCAAAGTCAGCAATCTTCGCCTCAAGCCTTGTGTTCAATAGGATGTTGGTCGCCTTCACATCCCTATGAATAAGTGGTGGGTTGCACGCCTTGTGTAGGTATTCTAGCCCTAACCATTATCAGTTATCCAAATAATTAAACTAGTGATGATCAACTTCTAGGGAAAAGTGTAAAAAAGCATACCTCCAAACACTTTACTAGAATTCAAGTAGTTACCTTGTGCAGATTCTAGTGCTATTCGAAGCCTCTCTCTCCAGGTTAAATATATCCTGTTGTTGTTTTTACCTATAAATAGGTATAGAATGAGAATTGAAGATCATGAGAGTCATGTGAAATGATACGTTAGATGAAGTATTACAATGTATCCTACAAGTTGATCATAAACATCCTATGCATACCTGCAATGTGTTCTTGTAGTGTTCCTTCTGACATGTACTCATATACAAGTGCCATGTATTCCCCATCCTTACAGTAACCAATCATAGAGACAAGATTCTTGTGATGAATCCGGGTTAAAATTTGAGCCTAACAAGTGAAATTAACCAATTATATCCCACTAGCAACAACTTGGTGTAAGTATAGGCAAAGCAAAATATCAACTGCAGCTGAAGAAATTTTACCTCCGCGAGGAACTCCTTAGCACCTTGATTGGAAGATTCAGACCGCAATTTCACTGCCACTTGAGTGCCATCCTCCAAGAAGCCGTCGTAAACGTACCCAAACCCTCCACGGCCAAGCACCCGCTGGAAGTTGTTCGTTATCTTCTCAAGTTCATTGTACGTAAATCGACGATTCTTAAGTTGTAGTGATGAACTATGCCCGTATCCGCCATTTGACGACACATTGCTCACTGTCTCATTTTGTGGCTTCACAGAATTGCTCATTGCTGCTAAAATATGTGAATAAGCATCACTAGTGTTAAAAGGATGAACAAGTAGATGGACAATTACTGTGTTTATAACAAACCTCACCTTGCTTTTTCCGTCTCAACAGGCAACAAAGTAGTACTGCCACTGATATTATCACCACAACCAGAACTATAACTATTGGAATAACTATGTAGATAGCTAGCTTGCTCTTCTTTTTTGCTGGCTGGCATGAATCGCCATTAGTGCAGAGGTTTGGATTATTTCCATATCTATCAATGAAATAAATATGCTGAGTCAAATATAATTTATTTTCTAAAATTGACCTGGGGTTTTGGCAACTTGAAAATAGAGGTGTTATGGTCCTTAAGAGGTACTCCCTCCGTCCCATACAAAATAAACCTAGTATATGATGTGGCACATCTCTGTCTAGAACTCCAGATTCGTTGTGCTATGATGCGTCATATTTCGTACTAAGTTTGTCTTTTATGAGACAGGGGCAGTACCAAATTTTGTTATCAACTTGGTACCTTCTCAAGTGTTGTAAAAGTTCTCTTTAATTAGAAGATATTGATGTGTATACTTACCTTAGATTTAGAGAGCCATCTTGAATTCTCTTGAGAAGACCAGACGGGATCGATCCACTGAGTTGATTTCCTGTCAAATCTCTAAAGGATGCCATATCGGTTAGAAATGATGCTAAGTAAACAATACATGCAGAATTTGGTAAACTTGTCAAGTTACTACAAACTTACAGAAATGTCAATGAAGGTAACTGTGAAAGGGCGTCTGGAATTGGACCTGTCAATTTATTATTTGACAAATCCCTACAAGATATTGGACAAGAGATTTTTCAAATTTAACACGAAATTCCACAAATAATTTTAACAAGTGAACATCGTGAACTCGGAACTTACAAGTTTTGAATAGCCTTAAGATTCCCGAAATAGGACGATACCTCACCGCTCAAACCACTGGAGGACAGGTTTCTGCAAAAGACAGTATGATCAGATGACCCAGTTGCAATTTGCAATTAATAATCTCCAACTTAAATTTTTTCCCCCTTTTATTTTTTTTCATGACCACAAATCCTTACTAGCTCGATACACATGGACTGAATTACTTACAGGCCAATGATTCTTGCAGGGTTAGAAATGGCATAGCTGCAGGTCAACTTGTCCCACGCAAGCATCTTCGGAACACATGGGTCACCCATCCAGTTCTTCACCACCTGATACTTCTCCTTGATCGCCGTGATTGCAGCCACTGCCAAGTGCACACATATTAATTTTCACAAACACGCATGACATGCTTGATAATTAATCTTACATGTGTCTGCAACCAATGTGCACGCACGCACGTACCGTCCTCTGGGTCAGTGCCAATGGTGGCAGTGGGGATGACGGAGAACACCTCGACGGCGTTGATGAGCGGCGGCAGCGTCGAGTTGGCGGTGGCGTTGATGGAGATGTTGTACTGCGGGTACCGTAGGAATGGGTTCCGGTTGAAGGTGGCGTCGTTGTAGAGGTACTCCGGCTTGAAGGCGGTCAGGGACCACGGCTTGCCGTTGAGGTTGATGTAGAACTCGCGCACGGCGTTGCCGGGGAGGAGCTGCAGCTCGGAGAAGTGGAAGATGGCGATGTACCCGGGCGTCGGGTCGTTGGGCAGCGGCACGGGGTCCCAGGAGAACTCGATGTTCCTGGAGGCGTTCCGCGGCGTGATCGCCGTCTGCATCACCGCCGTCGGCGTCTCGTACATGTCGTTGTCTAGATCCTGCACTTTCTTCGTCGATGATATCTGGCTCCATTTGGTCGAGTCCACCCACGGGAACCATATCCTGTCGTGCGGATCATCCGGGTACCTGCAGCAATGCAGCTCGATCAATCGATCAGCTAAGATCTTAATTTTTTTTTAGATAATGGAAATGGTTAACGTAAGATATGAATTTAAATTGAGGCTTGGATTTACCTTATGACGTCGGTGTAATCGGTCGGGCCGAAGTTGAGCCGGCCGAGGAGGACAAGGCCCTGCGTGGCGTTCGACTGCGGGTAGAGCGTGTTCTTGAGAGGCCTCAGGTCCAACCCGGAGATGAACGGCGTCCCGGCGCCGGTGTTCACCAGGCAGACCTGCACGAAGTCATCCGGCACGACGACGATGGCCTCCACGATCACCGCGTCGCCGGGGCCCGTGATGTTCACCATCGTCCAGTAGTTGACGCCGACGTAGAGATCAAACACGGGTAGCTTGTTGAGGCCGTCGTAGTTGCCGTAAAAGAAGGTGGTGCGGAAAAGGTACTTGAGCCCGGCGACGAGTGACCGGAGCGTGTAGCAGTTGCGCTTGCCGTCCGGGAAGCTGCGCAGGGTGTGGTAGCGCTTGGCGAGCCCCGGCGTGATGTACTCCGCCGAGATGTTGTGGCACGCGCCGCCGTCGGTGAAGCCGTCGTCCGCCGCGTAGGATATCTTGGTCTTGTCGTCCACGAAGCCCGTCTTCCCCGGGAGGCCACAGTCTACGCTGATGAAACCTGCAGCCAAGCATATTACACACGCTAGCACATTGATTTCATTGTGAAGCAGCACTACCTAGTTGCGGATCAAAACTTGAAAGACAGGACATGGTGGAATGTACCGTTGCTGTCAGGTTGGGCACGAGCTTGGAGCACTCCGGCGGTGGCGACGGCGACGAAGCAGAGGAGAAGCAACCACGACCGTGCCGCCATTGTTCCCGGCGTTGAACGCTCCATTGCACATGCAGGCAGCAGCGAGCTAACTGAACTACTGAAGCATAATAATAGGGACGTACGTGCTCTTTTTATATCCAGCGTTAATCTGCCCAGTAAATAAGTATCAAATTTAACATTCTTAATATCACTTACTACAACTAGCCTTTTATCACACCATCGAGGTTAGTTTAACCACGTCAGCACTCAGCACATCTGTCCAGTCGTCGCTTGCCAATTGTCGAGCGCCGTAGTCGACGCGTCGCATATGTATGGACTGTTTCCTCTGACGGGTGGGCCTATTCTGAATTTACCAAGGCCAGTAGGGCAGTAGGCCACCTCTTTGTCAATGCCTCGACCCTCTATGGCCCTGGAATTTTTTTTACCCAAATAAAATGACCCTGCAACTAACTGGGGAATTGACGAGCAAATCACATATTCACATGGGTTGGAGTTGACTTCAGTGCAGCTGGGCGCATGATTGGCCAGTGGACTCTTGACTTTTTCGCCGCGCCGGAAACTGCGACCAGCATTCTGTGTGGGCAGTTCGTGCAGATCAAATCATTGGCCATGATTTCATGAGAGCTCGTTCTGCATTTTGCGTACTGCGTACTGGTAATTGTTTTCTTATTATCATCAACGATTTTGCCAGCTTGGTTGTTGATCTTGTGGCTCGTCCCAGAATTCGTCTGAATCTTATCCGGGACATCTGGCAGTTCGGCACGGGACTGACGGGAGACACGCAGCATATGATGATATTCTCTGACAAACTCCTGATCTGCTGTTTGTGCGCAGAATACTTAGTAGTAAGTGGTATAGTATTCCAGTAACCAAGCAGGCCTAATTTGGGTACCACAACATAAACGCATTGCACTGCAGTGACAGAGACAGAAAAGGTCAATATACGATCAGCTGACGAAACATATCTTCAGATCAGCAGCATATACAAGACACAACACGAGTGTTGCTTATGAGAAATAGCTTCATCAATAGCGCTTTTCTTATTACGCTTGTAGTTACCAGCAATCCAGGAGAGTATCCGTGGATTCATACAGGTGATATTATGCATATTAAATCAAAACTGCGTAGCGTGGCCCAGGTTTCTCAACGGGAATAGCAACAGCTTCTATATAGAACTACAGATTGGATTCATCTCGCTGTTCGAGGACGATGACGCAGACTGGTCGAAAGGGTTTGCCACATGATGGAGTTCATATCTGGCTGTTCGACGAAGATGATGCAGACTGGTCGAAAGAGTTTGCCACATGATGGCTGAGGCCGGTGGGAAGTGGTGGCTTGTTGGCCGTCCTATCGTTCTCTTTGGCTTCGTCGATGTCCTTCTGGCTTAGGAAGCTTGGCTGGTTGGTTGATGATAGCAGCCTCGCCCACATCCTATCAGTGATCTTGACCTTGTTCCGTGTGGATGTCACCCTCTGCCATCAAGGGAAGATTTCACGTTAAGTTGGAACTGATGCTTAGTATGAGAATGCAGTAAGAACAGCTCTTGGATAATCAGGAAAAAAATGGGATGCCCGGGTGTAACGAGCACTACATTTCTGCATTTTCCATGTGAACAAATAAGATCACTTGAAGTTACTCACATAGAAAGGTATGTAGGCATGTCTGCCGTTGACATTTCCAACAGTGAAGCTATAGCCGGCCATTGCACCATGAATAGCACTGTGGGCCAGCAGCGTGCAGTAGACATTGTCTGATGCATTGCTTGGAATAGCTCGGATCATGTAGGTAGGATCTGCAAATAATAATAGGGAACTTCACAACTTAGTACAATAGAGACCAGTAATAAGATGTGTAACAACCTTATCCTGTGTGAAGCAAACATAGTTACCTATATATTTAATAGTCATCTCCATCTTTTTGCTCTTGAAGTGGTCCTACAATAGAAGTTATGAATAGTGAGTAGAAGAAAAAGATGCATGCAAGAAGTGAGTAAAAGGAGTGATACTTGAAAGTCAAAGTGAACTGTATGGCAAAAGTCATCACAGTTTTCAGTGGGAATTGCTTAGTGTTTTAGTTACCTATATTAACAAGAGCAGCAGACCTGAATTCAGAAGCAAAATTAAGTGTTTTGTGTACCTTTATCTTGTGAGTCAGCCAAAGACCAATATCAAGCAGTAGCTTATTTCCTGATGCATCTTGCTGCTCAGAAGTAGATAAACTTTTGGCTATAAGATCCTGCCCTGCTCCCTCAGCAACAACAATAACCATGTGCTTGTTCTCTTTCAGCCTTCTCTCTACATATTGAAGCAACCCACCTTCACCATCCATATAAAATGGGGACTCTGGAATTAAGCAGCAGTCCTGTGGAGATTTGAGATCCAAAAAATAAATAAGTACAACTCTTAGGTAGACCTCGGAAAAAAAAAACTACTCTTAGGTAGAAGTAGATTTGTGGGGTAAACCAGAAAAGTAGGAATCTCACTACTGTATGAAGAGGGGGGATAAAATATACAGGAATTAGACAGAATGGTTGCATCTGCTTACCACATCTCGACTTGCAAGAGTAGCATACATTGCAATGAACCCTGCAAGATGAATATAACAGTTTAAGGGCAATAGACTGAAATACATACTAGAGAACAGATAGCAGAGTAATCAAGCATTCAAGCTTGAAATACAGAAAAATCAAGAGATCTTCTGCATGAGTACAATCACAGGCAAAAGGCCAAAATGCTGGCTTGTTTTTTCTTGTAATTTTTAAACTGATAGGTGCTTTCAGCAAGGTCAACAATGGAAGAAACATAACAGCATTACACTCAGAGAGATGGCAAGGAATACTAAAATACGTACCACTATAACGGCCCATCAGTTTTACTAAGCCTATTCCATTCTCAGCACTGCAAGCTTCCACATGAGCTGAATCAATGGCACGCTGGGCCTCTTCTACGGCCGTATCAAAACCAAATGACTTGTCAATGATCTAAGAATCAAGAAAAAGGTAACATAAGCAATAAGTCATAATCTCGTATGAACCGTCAACTGAACAGCATGCGTACAACAAATTTCTACACAAAAATAGACACATCGCACAAAAAAAATACCGCTATGTCATTATCTATTGTCTTGGGAATCCCAGCAACAGAAACCTTTAGCCCACGTTTTCGGATTTCCTGCCACCAATATGAAAACAATGAGGTAACGATAAAATAATATTTAAATAGATATACCGTATGCTACTGCAATGCATTGATGAATAGGATCTATTATCACATTCTTTCAGCAAACAGCATACATAGCACTTGTACGGTTGTACCACAGTGGTAAATTACCTTGAAGATCTCATATGCACCCTTCTGTGTTCCATCTCCTCCAATGATATAGACCTGGGTAATGTACATAAGCACATGAGACAATGACCAATCAGAAGAGCTATATCACATAGGTGCAAACAACCGCATTTACCTGATTAATTCCACGATCCTGAATGTTGTCAACAATCTTTTTTGTATCATGGCCACCTCGTGATGTGCCAAGAACTGTCCCACCCCTCTTGTGGATGTCATCGACACTCTTTGGCGTCAGAGTAAGGTAATTGCTAGAATAGAAGCCCTTGTATCCATTCTATGATAGGTAATATAAGGTATTAAGAGGTAGAAGATCTGGAAATATAATGAGAACTGAACGCAGTAATGATTCATGTTTATAGTTGCCATGGCAAGCCCTTGTCAGAACACATATCCATTGTTCTAAACTTATAATACAAGTATACAAATTTATAATTGCATTTTACTAAAACAATCCAAAGCAGCTTATTCAATTTGCCACTATTTTAGTAGAATAATACTATAAGGTTTGAATATTTATGGAAATGGACATTATGCAATACAAAATGATTGATAAGCAGTGATAAGAATCTGAAGATCTTATGGTAAGCTGGCATATCCTTTCTGGACCAAAGAAAAATTAGAAAGATGGATCAAGCATGTCTGGAAAATGCAAGAGTAGTATTTAACTAGAGTATTTAGGGCCTATTCACTTTGATGCCATTTTCAACCTTACCAAATTTTAGCAACTGGCGGGATTTCTTATATAGTTACCAAAATTTGGCAGTAAACTAAATGTAGCCACTTTTTTGGCAACTTTACCAAAATTTGGTAAGGTTGAAAATAGCATCAAAGTGAACAGGTCCTTAACATGCGCAAGCTGTCTTTCTCAGTGAAAAAATATGATACTGTAAGGGCCTGATCACTTTGATGCTATTTTTAACCATACTATTTTTTGGCAAAGTTACCAAAATTTTGGCTACGTTTAGTTTGTTGCCAAATTTTAGTAAGTGCATATGAAATGTTGCCAAAATTTTGGCTACCAAAATTTAACAATGCCAAAACTTGGTAAGGTTGAAAATGGTAGCAAAGTGAACAAGCCCTTAACTATCTATTGAAGTATTATGTAACCATTTAGAGAAGGGCCCACACCTGTATACCATAGATTTTGCTGACATTATACATGTGCGCCAAACCACAGACGAGCTCTCTGATGACAGTGTTAAGACCAGGGCAAAGGCCTCCACAAGTTACAATGCATGCTTTCACTTCATCTGACTCAAAATAAACCTAAAGGTTCAAGTCCAAATGTTTCTGTTAGCCCACGCGCAAGTGATGAGTTTCAATAGTTAAAAGAGGGGGCAGCATATCATACCTTCTGACGAGGTCCAGCACGACGGAAGTGAACCCCCCGCCGGCTGTTCTTCTGAACGACCACCTGTAAGCACAGAAATAGCTACCTGTAAATTCACCATCGACTACAACATCACAGTGTAAACCATAATTAACACTGCTTTACCTTTTGGGGTACAGTGTCATCTTCATTAACAAAATATTGCCTGATAACGATAAGAACAAAAGTTTCAGGATTACACATGGCACAAATTACAAGCTCAGATATTAGAAGAAGAAAAAAAGTGGAAGATCAAAGCCTTACTTGACAGTTGAATAGGCTGGATGATCTTGTAGTGGATTGGGATAAGTCTGCACATATGAACAAAATAGCAAATCATCAGCTCAATTCACATGGACCATGGTTTCACCTTTCCAGAAACAATTCAATCCAGCACAGTGAATTGGCTATAACTAACTCATGCTTTGGCAGTGATAAGCAACCAGCCAATAGTGACAGTTCTTCCAGTGGAGATATCCTCCAATCTACTCAATCAAATTTCCTATCCCAAAAGCAGAGACCAAAAAGCCCAAAGCAACAACTTATTCTGTTACTACATAACATAAAGCGTCAATAGCATTGCAGCGAAATTTTGACAACTTAATTGCTCTGTTCTATCATGCCCCCTTTCGCTCCTAACAGACTAATTGGCTCACTGCATGTCCAAGCTCAAATTCGACAGTCTAAAATCAGCACAGTATCCAAAATGGATTTCCAAACCAGAAAATCTGATAGAAAAAAATCCCGCAAACATCGCAAATGACAGCCCCCAATCAGGGATCCCCACCCAGATCACTTCGCTATTCGAGTATACTTAGCTAGAGCTGCACTTCACACAGTGGCACAGTTCAACAACGCAAAGGCCATCACAAACCGGAACGATCGGAGCATCACCGCAGCAGCAGCTTGCGAATCGAAGCAACGGGAAGGGAGTGTCGGGAGGGGGCCACTCACGGGGGCATCGGGGAGGTGGTCGACGAGGTGCGGCACGTCGTCGAGGACGTAGCCGAAGTCCCCCTCGGAGATCTTCACGTAGGCGGCGTCGGCGAGGCTGACGGAGGAGGCGTTGCGGAGGGCGCGGAGGTTGGGGTAGGAGTCGCGGGAGATCCGCACGCACGTCGCGGAGAACGGCAGCGCCGCCTTCATCGCGTGCTCCGGCGCCGCGGGGGGAGGCCCGCTCCGCGCCCACGGATCCTCGTCCTCCTCCTCCTCCAGCCGGCGCTGCTCCTCGTCGTCGTCGTCCGGCGGAAGGATGATGTGGGAGGACGCCATGAGAAGAGCAAGTGGTCGGGATCGGAGGAACTCGCTTTCGCTTCGTTTCGCGGCGGGTTTGGGGAGGCGTAATCGAGGTTTAGCCTTTTGCGGGCGAGAAGCGAACGAGGTCGTCTGTTTTTCCTGGGGTTTAATAATGGCGCTCGATGTGTGAGTGAGCGGCGGTGGTGGTGGTGGGGTCGGAGCGTCAGCGAGGGGTCCGGTGCGGGCCGTGCGGCGGCGCTGGTTTTGTGAGCCGCGCGTGGCGGTTTTTCGGAGGTTGGGCTAAGTTTGACGCCGTGGAAACGTGTCGCCGCTGATGGGATTACGGGCATTGGTTTGGTTTACGCTGCGGTTTGGCAAACGGCGGTGGGCACGGCGAGTAGCCGTCGAGCAGCATCCGATTCGCATGGATGCACATCATGCGCTGCCAGTGCCATCCCGTGCGAGATGGCCTTTAGGTCTATCTATTTACCTGTTTCTTTAGGCCTTCATTTAATCCCTCTACAAGAGAATTGAGTTAAATTTAAAGAGAGTATCTTAGGAAAAGAAAAAAAATACGGTATCGGTATGTCATACGTGAAAATGATATTTTAGCTGTGATTGTGAATCACGTTCTGGTGTGCTTCGAATTTGCACCCGGTGTATGCATATCTTAGGAAAAGAAAAATTAGCTCTACGGATCAACCACCTGGAATCAGGCAGGATAAATTCAGTAAAATCAAATCCCAGTGCCGTCGCCCACAGGCTGACAGGCATACGTATGCTGGTTTTAGGAAGAGGGCACGGTCGGCCGGCCCCATACCGCATCGCCGCCCGCCATGTCGTCCACGTCCAGAAGCAAAGCCGAGTCAATTCCCGGCGTCGCGTAACTGGCTTGCGCCGCAGGAAACGAAAGCTGCAGATCCCATGTAGACAGATCATTTATTGACCTTTGCTTACGAAACAGCACAATAGGCGGCGGATGAGGGGATTATAAACTCAGAGTTTGTTTTCATCTTGTTTGCATTCTCAAATTCCAAAACGTTACTACCAAATATACATACAGTTTTTCATTTCCGAGGGGAAATCAAATTTGTGTTCCGCTATTAATCCGGGAAGTTGGCTGACTAAGCTCCATACGCAAGTACGCAACACACAGACTGACAAATAGAAATACTCTTTTTACTCGTATATGTTTACAGCTTGTTGGTACAAATGGGCAAACACGCTAATAAAAAAAACACCTGACACCGATGAATAGGCAAATGGCTTAACCATGAGGCCATAACATCTGATTCTATATTAAAATGTAAAACAGGAAGGACGATATTGGCGTGCGTCTGAACAAAAACGCAGCATGCCACTGAACAAAACGCAGCATGCCGCCGAATGATTTAGGGGCCGCGGAATTGTGGCAGCATGATCACATGCTTAGTTGAGAACATGAATAGGGAGGGTAGTTGATCATGCACCCCTCATCTGTCCAGCAAAAATTGTGTATGGGCTCTATTTATTCCAGTCGATGGCCATTTGGCCACTGCAAAGCTGCGGCTTGAAATTCCAGAACAACCCACGCAGGTCCAGGTGCTGAATGCTCACTTGGAATGGAACTTGCGCCTGACAGATTCGTAGCTAGGCACATGAATAACTGCAACACGAGCGTTTCAATTAGTCAGTGCTCAGACTCTCAGAGCTTGCATAGGGCCATGCTTTAACTTCCAAGTTTCGACATACCATCACCCCATGATGCCAATGTAAGCGGCGAAGAAATAATCTTCTTTGCAGTTGAAGAAATGTCATTTAAAGTGATCTCCTCAACAGTTTTCAGGAAGTACTCAATAGGTTTCCTGCACAACACAAAGCACTCCAAGATAAACAAGGTTCTCTGGCAAATGGAAGTGACTATCTAAATTAATACCCTATGCAATTGCTGGATTACTTAGAAAAAATGCTAGCTTAACAGATTTAGCACTGCTGCATGCGTCAAATGTATGAACCTCTGCCTCATGGTACTAAAACTTCTGGCTCACTTCTACCATGTATGTGCACCTTTTCTAGATGCAACGGCATGGTGATGACAATAAGTTTATAGCACCAATGGGCACGCAGAAGAAACTATAGAAATAAATCCTGAATATATGCTTGGACGTGCTGGCAGTCTGACACCCAAAATACTTTGGGTGATACCATAAAAAAGCATCTACCACACCATAACCACAGCATCACTTTGGAAAAGGAACACCACAACCACAGTAAGTGTGTCCAGAACACAGTATTATAGGTGACTTGTCAAACTTTGGGACATGATTGCAGGAAAAAACCACAAGACAACTTTAGTTGCCTATGTAATATGGTCAACATATATTGCCCAACCAGCTTGGAAACATAATAATTTACGCAAGCGTACATAGATTGTGATAGTTCATGGTGATGACTCATTATTTTACGCACATTAGTAAAAAGATTTGCATTCCATGCATATAAACATGACATGGAAATATGCTATTTAATTAGGAACATAGGGATTAATAGGAAATTGACTCCATTAATGTACTAGCGATTACTTATAAGCATACCTTTCACCATAAGTCAGTACCTGTCTTCCAATATCTTCAGAGGCCACGATCTGCGATAAGGAGGAAGTACAATTAAAAAAACATTTCAGGGAAGAAGCATGAAATTCATGCGATTGGAACTTGATCAGGAGTAAGAACAACATACTCTTGATTCCAAGTCCATCAGAACTGAAGACTTGGTAGCCTCTTTAGCACGATCAAGTTGTTCTTGTGTAACTGAACAAAGTAAAAGACAGGGAAAGGACAACACATAATGACCAGTCTAATCTGAAAATAGATTGTAACTTTGAGGTAAAAAATTAAAGAAACCTTTTCCAGGAGTTGCAACTTCATGGAGTTCCCTTGCTGCCAAATCCACAGCACTTGATACAAAATCTGGGTTCTGTTAAATTAACATGACAGTCAAAAGCAAAGTGGAATGTATGAAAATCCATGATAAATGCAGAAACTTCTATAGAAGCTTGAGTAAATCATTGAGCCTTTGACTTGTATTTCAATCTGACTGTTCGGATGGTTATAATTAAAGACCAGGGCATAATTACTGGCCTGAAATGTGCATTTATTAGTTACTACCCTCTTGAAACATTTGAAACCACAAAATTGTACACGAGATGAAATGAGCATTGATGTACATAGGAAGAAACTAAATACTCAGTTTCAGTGAGTGCTTTCTGCATTTCTTACTGAGGTACAATATAACTTCGGTTTTAGTTACTACTACTTACTAGCATAAGCCACCAACTCCTTATTTTAAACAGTAAGATAAAATTACAGTTGTTTGTATAAGGCATTAATCCAGAATTCAGGTAGGACAAATGTAATGGTGTGGTAAGAGGGACAGACATTACTTAGAATAGAAAGGGTATTATATTTACAGTAGTTTGAGAATGATATTCAAAAAAAAAAGGGAAAGAATTCACAAGCAGATTTGATTCTGTTCATTGCTTGAATATAGAAGGGAAAACATATCATTGGTTATGCTCCAAAAGAGACTTACAGTGGTTGCATGTATTCCAAAAAGGCCAGAATTGTTGTAAATACTGCTGAAAGCAGAGAATGATTCGATCTGTCCATAATTGTTCAAGACACGGAGATCTGTCGGTACAGAATCACAGCTGATGTTAAGACACTTTACCAAGGTATATGCTTATTGATGCTCTGATATGCATAATGGTTAAAAGAGAAGCATTAAGCTTACACAACCAAGAATGCATTCCTTTCCCAGGGCCACCGGTCGAGAAGGACCCTCCTCCACCCATGAGCACCTACAATTTATATTAATCTTATGTTTCAGTACAATAGATTTGAATAATAGAGCTTGCAACGCAATAAAATATGAAATAATCCATCAATTCCTATATAGTACAGAATCAACAGACCATATAGGTTAGCCATAAATAATTGGATCACTTCAACATATTGTTAGGCATACCTGAAGCACAGTCACAATCATTGCAGTTTTCTCTTGACGCCAGCCACCTGGAACCTCAAAGGCAAGTGCAATGTGTGTACTCTAACAAAAAATACATTAGGAACAAGAAAAGTAACTGTGAAGACAGACTTGAGCCCTTGAGAATGATAATAGAAGAGGCCAACTCACTGTAGAATCTGCTTGGCAATGATAATCCCCTCCTACATACACTGATTTTGGCTCTTCAGGACGTTTCACACTGGGAAGGTCTGATAGAAGTGGTTCTGCGACTGAAACCAACTCATCGTGCTCAATTCCTGATGCTGCAAGTACCATCCTGGGGGCAGTGTAGTTTTCCTACATTTCTCAGCACAAGCAAGAATGTCAAAGGGTGAAACAGAGGCATCTGTGACTGACTATTAACATGATAAATAACTTAGTCTTACAGAAACGAATTCCTCCAAGGTAGCAACATCCAATCTGTTCACCGCGGATTCTGAAGCCATCAAAGGTTTTGCCAGAGCCCCAGAATATCCAGCCGAATGGAGCGCTTCCATAAGTAGACCATGTGGATCACCAGACACTTCAGATATTTCAGATTTTATCTTCTGGAGCTGTAGAAGCAATTAGCAAATAATAATCAGTAAAAAAGAAGCAAAATTAGCGAAATATAATGCTCAAAATGATCATGCACCTGCTCTTTGACCTCCCATTCTAAAAATGCTGGGTTCCTCACACTGTCGATGAGAACTTCAACCATTTCTGGTGCATAACACTTCAGTGCATCATAAGTATAGCTCATTTGTTCGCGAGAAGCAGATGCAAAGACATTTCCTCCAATGGCTTCTACCTCCCTAACTAACCGCAAGTGACTCCGGTTTGTCGTGCTCTTGAAGGCCATTCTCTCCAATAGATGTGATGTTCCAGATGAAGAAGATGTCTCATAAACAGAACCACAATCAATGTACAGTCCCACTGATACAGCCGGAATCTGAAATTGAGTCACTGGAAAAAGTTAATCATGTGAAAAAAACAAAAATCTTGTAACATAAGGAAGCATGAAGCAATACCGGTGATGTCTCCGATGCGATCTTGATGCCATTTGGAAGAGTGGTGATCTTTGTCTTAGATGGCTCTACAAAATCTGGCAGAGGTGGAGAAATTATAACGCCTGGGAGTGGAACATCAAGCGGAGGAAGCTGGCTTGAGTTACCACCAAGAAACCAGCCAAGCAGACCACCTGAAGACTGCTTCACAACACTTGTACTAGCAAACCTACTAGCACCATGATGCTGAAAGTCGATAACAAAAGGTACTTATCTTCATAATATAGAATGTGTCAATTGATACAGAGAAACAACACAGCACAAAGAAGATACTAATATACTACATCAAGTAGATGTAGAATGGGATGTTACTATTACAATGATGTGACAACAACCAAGGCTGTAATATATCCCAACTAGATTAACAAATATTAAAGCCGAAACGATACAATTAAGTAAGAGGTTCAAAAGGATAAGATCCAAACGATAGACAACTTGTGAATCCAGCTCTTTGCTTCTCTATCCAAATAAACAGTAGGTATCACAGAATTTACAATTAGTTTCACCAATTTGGATAGATCAGCTGCTGACCATGAAAAGCAAAATGTCACGTCATAACTTCGCTCATATAGCGACTATAACAACTTAGACCACAGAAGTCTACACTTTGCGAGAATGAAATGTAACAGCTTGTCTTCTCTGCATCAGAGATACCTCTTTGGTAACGACCTATCAACACCTCTGTGCCTAAATTCACCTCAAACATGATTGAACTCCTCAATTTCCGCACCAGCCACCACCCTCGGTAAGTTTGATAATTGATACCGAAGTATCGAACGCTACTAGAACAGCAGAATGATCACCGTTCTACGCAAAATCCTAAGTCCATTTAGCCCAGAATCGGATATGGATCAAATAAAAAGCCACAAGCTCCCATAAATCAAGCCGCGCCACATGTTTGGATCTAACACTCCAGCGCATTCATCCCAAATGGATCGAGACACGCAACGCCACACGTCGTAGAAGGTTGGGGGGGTGCAGACGGGGAAACCTTGAGAGAGCGGAGGGCGCGGTACATGGTCGCCGGCGAGAGGCGACGTGTCCAAGTTCCTGGGACGGCGATGCAGCGGCGGAGGAAGAGGAGGGGAGAAGCCGCCGGCGAAGGGGTGGCGCAGGATCGGTGCGGGTTGAAGCGTCGGACGAGATGAAGACGACTCGCATCCGCCTCTTCGTGGGCCGTAATTGACTGCAATCTCGGGCTCGGCCCACATGGTGCGAGCCGTGGGGATCAAATGGGCCAGAATAATATTTCGTTCAGCCCATGTTCCGAACGCGGGGGCGGGGCCCAGGCCAGAGCGTGAAGCGGTTTCCGAGTCGGCACGGAGCGCCCCGTCCCGTCCGATCTTTGATCTGACGGCTGTGAGCGCACAGGCGTTGCACGATGGGAATATGCTGCGTGGGTTTTGGCATCTGGCCGATCTGTGGAAGCTACGGGGCGAAAGCGATGGGTTGGGTAATTAGGCTGGCCCGGTCGCCGTCAACGTGACGTGTTCCGAACCAAAAAGAAAGCAGAGGCGGTGACCGGCGATGGGGGAAAGTGATTAGGCAGTTTTGCAATTCTGCCCTCCTGAACATGCTCGTTTTACTGCTCTTCCTTTGGCAGATTTCTTCCATGACACCATGTCATTGGTCTCATGGACGATTTTTCTAAGGGAGTGGTTGTCGATTCCGTATACACGATGACAATAGAAAGAATTTGGCCAACCAGGCTTATGAGCGATCTATCTACTAAGTCCGGGTGAGGAAGTCTAACAAGCTACATGGTTTTTTTAGAGTAATCAAAGCTTGATTTCATCGTTCGTATTGAAAAGGATGTTTTGAAATATTTGAATGTGACATATTTTCAATTAGTTTATGTGATACGCTATGACGGCTACGCTCTTATTACTTTTAAACCTTCGTGTCAAAGTATATGGCTATATCTTAGTACTGGATTGTGAAGTTCTTGGTTCAAATTTGGTTGCTCTTCATGTATATTCTTACATTTTTATACATGTTGGTTTGGCACACCACAAAATCTAGGGAACTATAGTAAAACATTTTGATGCACCCACGATAAAAAAGATAGCCAATGGATTGATGAAGTGTGGGTATAAACAATATAATAGCTTATTGTGTCAAAAGAACAATATAAGAGCTTAATGGTAAATCTATGGCTCGAAATAACTCTCCCCATAATTATTTATATTTGATATGGCAAATAAATAGTACGAATCTAAACATGTCTAAATTATAATGTAATATTCATAGACCTGGTGAGGGCTAATTAAGGCACAACTTGGACTCCACAAACTTGTCTTGGTGTGGTTCATAACAAAATGTGTATAACAAAATCGGACAATAAACAAGACGCGTAAATAATACCATATGGTAAATCGAAACGGAAAAGGTACCGTAGTATACCATTTATTCATTTATGTTATGAAATTTGTTTTTTTTCCACGAATTATGGTAGTTGGATGAATCTTCCGTGAATAACAAACTGAAATTAATTAATTACATTGTTGTAGCTCCACAAATACCCTTAACTAAATGTTCCATCCAATAAAACAGTGTTTTAAAATCTAGTGCAGTGAACTTTCTTTAACAGTAGAGAGCAACAATTAAGAATAGTATATAATAGCAATTCCGCATGGAATTATGGGCTTATTCAATTTATTACTAAAATCAACCATACCAAAGTTTGGTATTATCAAAGTTTGGTAAGACAACAAAATAAACAAGACTTTACCATGTAACCTTTTCAATCCCTACCAACATTTGGTAATTCTAGGAACTTCTACTCATAAAAACTATACTAAATTTTGGTAAGGCATCAAATTAAACATCACTTTCATATCTTTATGTTGCCAAAATTTTACAAACTTTTAGCATTGCCAATTTTTGACTTTACCAAAAATGATCAGTTGCTTTTTTTTTTCTTTTTTGGCAATGAAGCCCAATGTAACAGTCAAAAGGACCAATATGCTCCCCCACAGAAAAAAGAAGGTGTAGTATGCAAATAGAGTTGCATAATAAGCATAATCAAGAGCCAAATCAATGGCGAAAGCAGATTTATCGCAGCGTAATTCGCCACCTGTTGCTGTCGCCGTCCTCCTCCTTGGGCTTAGTTCGGAGCGGCCCTACCCGTTTGTGGCGTCTCGAAGGCACTAGGAGATTAATCACCTCCCGAGTCCCGATCCGCGAATTCTTCTCCCCAATTCCAACCCAAAATCCCCAAAATCCAGCGGTGCAGGAGGAGAATTCCACGAGGCGAGTCGGCTTCTAGGGTTTGGTGCGCTCCCGATTGTTGCGGCCATGAGGATACGGGAGCTGCGGGATGGCGCCGGGGGATCGGAGGAGGCGGAGGAGGACGAGCGGGAGGAGGCGAGGGGCGGGGGCGGGGGCGGAGGCGGGGGCGAGGTGGTCGCCGTCGTGCGGCTGAGGGCGAAGCGCGCGCTCGTCGGCGCCGGCGCGAGGGTGCTGTTCTACCCGACGCTGCTCTACAACGTCCTCCGCAACCGGTTCGAGTCTGAGTTCCGGTGGTGGGATCGCATCGACCAGGTGTGTTAATCTTACCCTCATCTCTCTCCCAATATACTGCACCTTGTCGTTCTGGAGCGATTTGGTGCTTTAATTTCACTCATGGATATTGGGGACGATCAGTGTAGGCATAGTTCCAGGTCCTTGAGCAGAGTTGATTCATTGTGCTTGCTTTGTTACCCTCCAATGCTTGATAAGCAGGTTGTAAATTCACAGTATGTGGCCTGCGGCTGATTTTTTGGGTCCAATACTACACTTTCGAGCAAATCAACATTCTGAATTGTACCAATATCATGTAGATTCGCATGTGTTATGTTTGTATCACTTACGCTTGTGATTACTCTTGAAGGATGGTTATAGGGATTTTGATTAGTGATCCTATTGAGGTCTAGAGCTATGGTATGACCAATATGAGTAATTTGACCAGCTACTGATAACCTATAGGAATCCTTTCCAATTTTTATTTCCTACTTTCATTGTTAGCTCTGTCTACCATCCATGCACGATGCATGCAGTTTTAAACTAGTATCTGATAATTTGAACAGTTCATCAAACAATATGGTGATCTTCTGTTCATTGGATGGTGTGTACTGATTTTCTTCCCACCTCCCATCTCCAGTATGTTTTGCTAGGTGCTGTCCCTTTCTCTAGTGATGTACCGCATCTCAAGCAACTTGGAGTAAGGGGCGTTGTCACACTGAATGAATCGTATGAAACTCTGGTTCCAACATCCTTATACCAGGTAAATAAATACCTTCACCTGATTTTGTAGCTGCAGATTTTCTTGGCATGTATCAAGATCTTTGTGCGTGCATATTTTTATCTACTGTTCTTGTTTTCATCTGTGAACAGTTAAGCCCCATACTTGAAGTTCAATATATATAGTTCATACACCAGGATCCACTTGTCTCGTGCATCTTTACCATTCATATTCTATATGTACATTCAAAATATCAGGGCAAACAAGCTGTGGCCATTTTCTATATCCTTTCTTTAACTCAATATACATGGTGTAATCGGCATCACGGCATGACACTTGGCATAAGCAGGCTTGTATCAAATTTTGTTCTGAACAATAAGAAGTTTTTTCCTCTCTTTATCAGGCTCACGGGATCAATCATCTCGAGATTCCCACGAGGGACTATCTATTTGCCCCTTCTCTAGAGGATATCTGTCAAGCTGTCGATTTTATTCACCGTAAGTACCATCCACCATGCGTTCTAAACCATATTATCAGCACCAGTTTGCTTTGATGATGATTAAGTGAATTAAGGTGGGCACTGCAGTTGAACTTTGGTAGTATTCAAATCATTTTTATGAGCAGGAAAGATATCTTATTAAATCATGTCAATGTGTCGCAATCATTCTCAAGTATTTGATTTTATTTGAGCAATACTTTTCCTTTTGACTTTCGCAACCATTCTTTATTCGAGTAATAAAATCCTTTGACATTTCTGTTGTCTTGCATATTGATGTCTGATGATAAGCCCCCAAAGTAAATTCGTTTGATTGGACAGAATTGTAACCATCATTTGAACAACAACTCTGAGTTACACTAGAAATTGGATTTATGCATATGTTTTTTTTTTCTTCTCCAGGAAATGCATCACAAGGTGGTAGCACTTATGTACATTGTAAGGCTGGAAGGGGACGAAGCACCACTATAGTTTTATGCTATTTGGTATGAGAAACTGCATTAATCATGTGATGTTTATTGTATGCATTATTTTTATTTGTTTCATATATGGCATCTTATCTTTGGTGTAACTTGCAGATTAAGTACAGGAACATGACTCCTGAAGCTGCTTTAGATCATGCACGGTCTGTAAGGCCCAGAGTACTTTTAGCACCATCTCAATGGCAGGCATGCAACCCACTTAATCTCTTATGCTTTCGTGTGCTAGTTGAATGACGAATTGATAAACACTGCTCTGGTCCATATAATTAGATCCCTGAAGTTTCTGATAAATTTTCTTGTTCGTTTCTTCTTTGCTACAGGCTGTTAAATTATTTAGCAATCTCAACACCAGATGCCTTTCAATCGAGAACTCAAACCAAACTCACTCGGCAAAATCTTGTGAAGAATCGAGTGAACCATTTAGTCGCCTCGCTTCCAGCTGCCATCAAATTCAGAGTTCAAACCGCACCCACCCAGTAAGATTCAGTGAACAATCAAGTGAAGCTATTGTGGAGGCTGAAGTTGATGGGTTCACCACCGAATTCGACAACGAGCATTTTGTTTTGCCGTTATGGGAAGGTATGCTAGCCAAGCCTTCAAGCCCCAGCAGGTCCATCGATGCAGTCGTAGTAACAGAGGAAGATCTCGAGGGATACGAAACTTATGCCGATGCTAGCAGTGACACTGTATCAGTGGAAGTGGTAATCCGTCAGAAGCCCATGATTAGGAGGCTATCCTGCTTCCTTGGGTCGTTGAAGCTTACCAGCAATTGCGAACCATCTCCTCCAAGACGTCTTGCGGAGGTTCGTGCCTGCTAGGTAAATGTCCAAATTTTACTGCTTTTTCCACGTTGTTAGTCAGCAGAGTGTAAGTATCGGCATGCATGATGCTCCACAGCTTGAGGGAATGCCCTCCGGAGAAATTTATACTCCTTCATATGTTGTTGTACTAGTGTCTGCGATGTACACGAGAGAGAGAGAGAGAGAGAGAGAGAGAGGAGAGGCGAGTTTTGAGAGCTTGTGATTTCATTTTTCCAGTAATAAAAAGGGGTGATGATTTTCTTGGGTGAATTCGTGTTGTTTGTCGGCTGCTCGTTGTCGGCGCTTGAGTTCTTTTTCCTACCCAGCTTTATCATATGTATGTTTTGGCTTGCTGCTTGTGTCAAACTGTCAACGTTCTTTCATAGCGTTGCCCATAATTCTTTTGGGGGCCTTAAGTCTGAAAACCGTTCGTTCACTGGATATAATTTGACTTTAAATGCCCTCGTCTGTTCACATCGACCATCGAAAGGGAAAAAAACCTGACGAAGGAAAGCACATCCGAATGTACTTTTAACCTCTGCTCCGTATTTACAGTACACAAAACGATCGTTTTTCAAACATCAACAAGAACAACCCTCCTTACTATGACTGCTGCAGATCACGAAACGCCTCGTAATTAAGCTCATTCATTCACAGGCTAATGCGCCTGCGAACAAAATCCCCAAAAATAGAGGTAGGGGAGAAAAGACCTCAAGAACAAAATCTACCGCGCGGCTACGCTACAGAGTCGCTACTACTGATGGTAGCCGTTCTTGTTTACAGGGATCGGGGGAGCCCTGAATCCGCCCGCCCCCATCATGCTCAGATTCGCGCAAGAACTCGACGACTGCGTCTTGGCGATCCCTCCCAGCGCGGCGTAGCTGTTGCACGACTTGATCTTCGACTTGTATGGCTTCTCCTTCTTGCGCAGATCCTCCAGGCACCTCACCTCCGACATGCACGCGAACGACTGGGACTTCCCCTCGTAGTACCTGGACAACCCTTTCCTGCAGATTAACACGGTGTTCTTGGACGGTGAGCACACAGGACAGAAGAGTTGAGATTTCTGGATGGAATCGAGGGTTTCTCGACGGGTACTCACTTGGCTGGGAGCTGCTCCGTCATGGACGACATGTCGTAGATGCTGTCCGAGTTCAACCGCCGCAGCGGCTGCGGCGCGAACCGGCGGTGCTCCATCTGGTCCAACGCCGCCGCCGCCGCCGCGCCGCCCTCCGAGAACTGGTCCTCCCCTTCCCCATCGTCGTCCGACTCGCCGCCGGACACCGACGACGACTCCCCGAACAGCTCGTCGTCCTCCCCCTCCTCGTACATCCCCGCCCGATCTCCCCCGCCGAGCCTGCTGCTGCTCATCTCGTCGGCGAACGCGATCCCCCCAACAGAAAACGGCACGGAAAAGTAGCTGAAAACGCAGCTGCTCCGGTGGCGGTGGCTGTCTCTCGCTGGGCGCTGGCCTTTGCAGCGGCGGTGGTGCGGGGGTGGCGCGTGTTATATACGGGAGGAACGGAATAACGCGCCGCGCACCCAACAACCCGCTCGCTTTCGAACGCGGCACCGGCACGGCGCGCGTCCGTTTGACCAACAAAAAACGCAACGTAGCATGCGGAATTTGCCGCAAAAAAAAAAAGAAAGAAAGAGCGGAGGCAACGGTGCGCGCGTGCGCGATTGCGCGAACGGACGATCCGCCTCGCGTCACGTTTGCCGGCGAGCGTGGCGCGCGGTTACCTAACATGGCACACGGACCGGGAGGTTGCGCATGTGACACTGACAAAGGTGGTCCCACTTACGTGGCCCCCGCACGCCTTAAAGGCGGTGCTGGCCAGGCCAGTGGCCACTCCCACATGGCTTTCCCGGATTCTGTTCCAAGGATGCCCCGTTATGTCTGATCTTATCCTCATCTCGGCTGGTTCGTGGCCGCTGACATGTGGGGCCGACGGTAACAGCTGTCAATAAACTTCTGACTGTTGGTTTATCCAATCGAAGTGGCAGAGACAGCGGCAGAGGACAGGTGGCTATCTGCGGTTCTTCTTGATCTGAAAGGCTCCTTTTCAACTTGCATTGAAAAGGTTTTTCTCCAGCAGTTCATCAGATGCCAACAACGGATCACAGGAAAAGATAAAAACGGCTCCAAAAACTAGCGGCTAATAACGGGGTTAAAGTATTAAACATCCATTTCCCACGGAACTCATCCTCCGGACAAAAGCAAAAGCGGGGGAACAATTTCCGTTGCCATTTCTGAACAAAGCAAAGACATTCTCGCATAAAAAAGGTCGAGGCCGTAGAAAAACTGGGCTGCTAGACCGGGAAAACCTATAGTAGTACGTGACAACGTGCCTGCAAGTTCCCGAAACGAGGACACGCGTCGGGCTTGAATCGGCTACGCGCCAAGTGCGTGTCCCGTGCGGGAACCGGCCAGCGTGACACGTCGCGCGCTAAACCCAACACGTAGACGCAGCGGTGAGACAGATAAAACGAAAATAACTCGGGCGCGCATCGCTGCAGCGGCGCGTCCGGGAACAGGAGCCACGCCGTTCGTCGGCGTGTGTGCGCGACTGCCTGCCTGACTGACCACCACGACGGACGGGCCAGACGACCGCCGGCTTTTCTCGTGCTCGCATGTCGCTCTCCACGACGTCGCCGCGCTGCTGCACAGATGCGGCTGTCTTTGCTCTCATTTTCTTCTGCTATTTTATTTTCTTTCTCTCCCTTGGCTTCTCGAGCCATTCAAGTGTCGTGATCCTTAACGTTAATCTCCGTGCTTTTGGTATCAAATCGAGATTATGCCTTGATCTTTAGCGTAAATCTCCAGCGCTTTTGGTATCAAAATCGAGATTATGTCAGGCGATAATGGTCCTTGTCCGGATCGTGGGTGTTCCTAGCCAAGCGTTGTGGATGAGGACAGAGCCATGTGTGTCCTTTCGGTCCTCGCGACGTGACGTGGTTTTAGATCAAGTCGCCAAACCAAGCTAATTTAGGGGTGGAAATTCCAACCACACATGGCAAAGAAAGCGTTTTAGACCAAAGCCATACTCGACTCGACCATAGCATCGTGTGCAAATGAACTACTAGTACCAGCTCGTGGGAATTGAAGCTGCTCAACCATAAGAAAAGACCATAATGAAGATCATCGGCACCGTCTCGACCGCCCTACTGACTAGCTTGATCTGCTTCCATACCAGAAACAGGCGAAGAGCGTGGAGTTGACGAGTCATGGGCGTCAAGCTTTTGGCCGACGAGTCCTACTCCCCTAGGACCCCTACCAAGGCAGGACGCAACGCATCTGGCCTGGGCGGCAAAACACGTTCGCTGAACCCGTACGTCGCTGGGAAACGACCAGCCACCACGGCACCACCGGGCAGGCGCGCGATCACGACGACGACGACGAGGACACCGACCGCCATCTGCTGGTCGTGCGGGCTGCCAGAAACGCGGCCGGAATTCTTCGTTTTTTCTGGCCCGCCCACCCGCTTCGCCCGGCTAATTCTCGGCTCCGAATTTAGCCGGACGAAGTGGCGAGCAACGCGGCCCCCGCCTCGTGCCCTCGCGGGAAAAACGCTATCGTCGCGGCTCGGTTGACTGGGAGCGAGAGTGACGGCAACGTGCAGCATCGCCATGGCGTGTGGCTCCCGTGCTGATAGCGATTCGTTTTCTGTCTTCGGTTGCGAAATCAGATGCCTTTGTTTATCCACGGAACGGTGTAAATTCTACTGGCGTCGCTTTTGGCCAAAATTTACCTTTTCTTCACCGGTTACAGCTGGTGCAACGTAACAGGTGGTCAGGTGGCGTGGCTGGTTGAGTGAGCGGCCAATCCATTCCGTGGTGTAACCATCGGAGGATTCACTTCACCAATAATAGCTCCAGGGCTTTTGATCATTTGGAATAATAGCAAAAGATGAGAGGATAAAGATGTGCCTGGACGAAATGCATGCATATCTGTAGGCAGAGTTTTCCATCGTAGAAACGAGAAGTGACAGAAGAAAAGAGGCAGTTAGCCAGTTAACTTCAAACCAGATGTCAGTATACGAATACGTGCTTGGAGTTAAGCCTTAAAATATAAAAACTACAAATAACTTGAGCTATCCGTGTATTAGAGCAAGTTTAATAGTATAGTTCACTACTAGCTCCAATTTATTTATAGCCAATCTAATAGCTAATTTATACAATAATTACTTACTATACTATTAATATATGGTCACACCTGTCATACACACATAGCGTCTTGGAGTCCGCGCTGCAGCTGGCTACAGATCTGTAGCCCGCTGCTCTTCTCTCTCATATTTTATCTCATTAAAATAGGTTTATAGCTGGCTAATAACCTGCTATTGTACTGCTCTTAGTAGCTCAGCAAATGGTTGCAATTAAGATCGTGTTCCCTGCGGGGGAAGCATATGAGTGGACACTTGACTTCACTCACTGGATTTTGAAAGCCGATGTTCACCACTGTTTACACATACATGTATGCTTTCAATATAAAGCTAGTCATATCAGCGCTTTATCCTTGATTTTTATCTTTTTAGCGTACTCTCTCCGTAAAAAAAAAAAAGACAAACCCTGAGTATGTTACACTGGTGAAGAAACCATCTTTGATCGGTCCGGCAAAATTCACAATAGTCCCGGATCAAAAAGAACCGGGACTAAAGATTGTTTTTAGTCCAGGTTATAAAAATTTTGATCTTTAGTCCCGGTTTGACGGAGCTCGGGGCTCCTCACCGGGAGACCGCGCAGGCCCCCCTTTGCCAGTTCGGCCGGGGGCTTAGGGTGAGATCTCAAGCTCTCTCTGTGTGTGGAAAGATCGCGTGCCAGGAAGAAACGCGAGACACGGACGATGTATACAGGTTCGGGCCGCTGGGAAGCGTAATACCCTACTCCTGTGTTTTTGGTGGATCTGTGTAAGAGCAAGTTACAAAAAATCAACCAGCCCTCTCCTCTCCCGGGAAAATCCAGCCCCCTCTCTTTGTGGGCATGGTCCTCCTTTTATATCTTAAGGGGATACCACATGTACCCTTTCCTTTCCAAACTGGACTTTTCTTCTCTTTATGGACGGAGATTGGTATGGTTGCCGTCCGAATGACATTTCGATGGGACAGCCCACACCTACCTCCACTCCCGGCGGAGACAGGCGCAACGTGGGATCGTGGCTGTCTGTTGCTGACGCGACCAGTGTCAGACCGGTCACAGATCGGTCATTCTTGTCCTCTATGCGTCAGTTCAGCGATCTGCATGATCACCCTTCTTTTTGTAGCATCTTGCCTGTAATGGTTGGGATGAAGCCTGGTATTCATCTAACCAGGGCTAACGTGCCATCTCTAAGAGGTAACACGCTAGCTCCGGCTGGAGACGTGTGCCTAAAGGCTCTCGTCTTGACGGGACGGGGCGAGGCGTGCGTCAGACCACCAGTCGCCACCTAACCGTTGATCCGACCGGTCTGTGACTGGTCACAGACCGGATAAAAGAGCGCGCTGCATTGCGCTGCATGCAACGTGACACGCTTGACCAGACCGCAATAAATGCGGTTAGGTGAGCCCTACCGTGTTCACCCAACCTATGTACATAGTGCAAACCCCACAGGGGGTCGGGGCACCTCGGCCCTCAGGGTCGGGGCAGGAGCCACCCGACCCCCCCTCGGGGAAATCAGGAGGAGGGCGGACACCTCACCCTCGGGCCCGACGTCCCCGAAGGTGCCAGGCCACGTGGGCGATTCCATCTGCCTCAAGCCTCCGGGCGCAATACTCCCGGTCCCATATCACCGACAGTAGCCCCCGGCGTTATGTCAGGGCAATCATCCTTCTCAAGGGAAGCGGTCGGGCATGACGCCACTCATAAAGCCTGGTGACAGGTGGGACCGGTCTCCGTGATTGGGCAGAAACCCAACGGTCTCAAACCACGCATATCGGTAACGGTGTCTTGGCCGTCAGTCATGGGCGGTCTCTTCAAGACTGCCACATCACTTGAGCAGCGCTCGAATCTGGGCGTGTAGATTCGTTTCGTCTGGAGATATGGTAACGTCACTTCGGTCAGCGAGCGTAATTAACGCACACACGATACGATCTATCTCGACTGCCACAACCGCATATCTACCTTATGCGCCGCAAGCGGGCGAATGGAATTAGTGGAAGCGTGGGCGCGAGAAACGAGGGAGCGAGATAGCGAGTAACGAGGGAGCGAGATAGTGGGCACGAGAAACGAGGAGCCGGGCTCAGCGATGGCAAGGGTATAAAGCTATCGAGGAAAGGACTTGCTCCCTTCCTTTCGCCACTATTCCCCTTTCCTTCGCCGTTTGCGCCCCTAACTCTCTCTTTGCTGCGCCTCACCTTCGCCACACACACTCGTTCTCAACCCTCTCTTTCTCCGACGACATGGCACGGGGCTCCGCTCTGCTCGACGGTAGCGTACTACCGCCTTCCCGCATTGTGAGCGAGAGGCAGGCTGGGCTGCCGCGCCGCTTCATGCCGGAATCCGCCACCGGCCGTGAGATAGTAATGCTGGGTGAGGGACGCCCGGCGCCAGACTACCCGGGGCGGTCCGTCTTCTTTCTCCCCTTCGCAATGGCCGGGTTGGTTCCTCCTTTTTCTTCTTTCTTTATGGATGTTCTGGAGTTCTACGATCTTCAGATGGCGCACCTCACCCCCAACGCAGTGATGACTTTGGCCATCTTCGCGCACCTGTGCGAGATGTTCATTGGGGTGCGCCC